AATTGTAGGGAATTTTTATGCCTCTGTTCGGTTTTTTGTTTTAGTTTCTTAACATGTGGGATTTGTTTTGTTATGCCTACCTTTCTGGTTGCCAAACCCCTGTTGATGGCAGATAAGGAAAACCCCTGACCACAAAGGGGTTTTCCAGGGCCATTGCTCCCTGAAACCTCTCTGAAAAGGCCAGGTTCTGGAGCTGGTCCCTGGTAGGTTTGAACTCCATAGCTAATGTTCGGTCTAATATAACGTACATTAGCCCGATAAGCTCCAGGGAGCCGTAGGGGCTCCCCACAGAAAAAAGTTTAATAACACACTAGTTTCTATAGCAGCTATATAGCCCTGTCAGAGTAGGAGTGACATAGGTGTATGTATATGTATATTAGTATATTTTGGTAGCAGTCTTTCTTGTGAACATATATTATTAAATAAGACCGAAAAAGTAAGATTAATAATTCTAACACAAATTTTCTCAATATTTCTTGTTTCTTTTCACTGTCGATGGTAATTGAAAAATCAATTCTACAAAATTCATTTTTATTTCTAGTCTGACGCGACACTTTGAACGCGTTTCGTAATAACTTATTACATTTTCAAAGACTTTAGTTTACACACACACACAACTATAACCTGCAAACACTAAACAAGTTCTACTATGCTATAATTTAAACAGCTTTCATTTTATATACCTGCATTTGGGTGAGGTGATATGTTACAACAGTTTTGGATGAGGTGAAAACAAACTTTCCAGATAAGACAGAACTCAAAACAATGGGTATAATATTGGGTAAGTTAAAGGGAAGAATGGAAGTAACTGCAGAGGGCCTATTGGCCCATATTTATTGATGCTTCTATATTGGTGTGGAGTCTTGAAGTGGGTAGAATATAGTTGTGCATTAATTGGCTGTTGATTGCTGGTGTTGACTTCTTGATGTGTAGTGCCTCACAGATATCAAGCCGCCTGCTATCGCTGTATCTATCGATGATTTCTGTGTTTTTTGTTAAGACTTCTCTGTTGATGGTCTGGTTGTGGGAAGAGATTATATGTTCCTTAATGAAGCCCTGTTGCTTATGCATCATTAATTGCCTGGAAAGAGATGTTGTTGTCTTGCCTATATACTGAGTTCTTTGAGGCTTACAGTCCCCAAGTGGGCATTTGAAGGCATAGACAACATTGGTCTCTTTTAAAGCGTTCTGCTTTGTGTCTGGAGAGTTTCTCATGAGTAGGTTAGCCGTTTTTTTGATTTTATAGTAAATCGTCAATTGTATCTTCTGATTTTTGTCTGTAGGGATAACGTTCCTATTAACAATATCTTTCAGGACCCTTTCCTCCGTTTTATGAGCTGTGGAAAAGAAGTTCCTGTAAAATAGTCTAATAGGGGGTACAGGTGTTGTGTTAGTTGTCTCTTCAGAGGTTGCATGGCATTTCACCTTCCTTCTTATGATGTCTTCAATGAAACCATTGGAGAAGCCGTTGTTGACTAGGACCTGCCTTACCCTACAGAGTTCTTCATCAACTTGCTTCCATCCGGAGCTGTGGCTGAGAGCACGATCTACATAAGCGTTAACAACACTCCTCTTGTACCTGTCTGGGCAGTCACTGTTGGCATTGTGGCACATTCCTATGTTTGTTTCCTAAGTGTAGACTGCAGTGTGGAAACCTCCGCTCCTTTCCATGACTGTTACATCTAGAAATAGCAGCTTCCCATCCTTCTCCATCTCGTAAGTGAAACGCAACACAGAATTCCGCTCAAATGCCTCCTTCAGCTCCTGCAGATGTCTAACATCAGGTACCTGTGTATAAATGTCGTCAACATATCTGCAGTATATGGCCGGTTTCAAGTTCATGTCGACTAAGACCTTTTGTTCGATGGTACCCATGTAGAAGTTCGCAAACAGGACACGTAGGGGAGAAACCATGGCGACCCCATCTACTTGCTTATACATGTGCCCATCCGGGCTCAAGAAGGGTGCCTCTTTAGTACAAGCTTGGAGTAGTTTCCTTAGAATGTTTTCTGGTATGTCAAGAGGAGTACAGGCCGGATCACGATACACTCTGTCCGCTATCATCTCGATTGTTTCATCCACAGGTACGTTGGTAAACAGTAATTCTACGTCCAACGAGGCTCTTATCCCTGTAGCCCGTATTCCCCGCAGTAAGTCAACAAATTCCTTTGGAGACTTCAGGCTGAAGGCGCAAGGGACATAAGGAGTCAGCAAGCCGTTGAGTCTCTTTGCCAGTCTATACGTGGGTGTGGGTATCTGGCTGATGATTGGCCGAAGTGGGTTTCTAGGCTTGTGTGTCTTGACATTTCCATACGCGTATCCAGGTTTCACAGTTTCGATCAATTTGCTGACCTTTGCTTTCAATTCGGCTGTAGTGTCCTTCGTTACCCTTTGGAATTTAGTTTGGTCAAAGAGTATGAGGTTCATTTTTGCCAGATATTCGTCTTTTTTAAGAATGACATATATTGGCGAACCAATATATGTCCCCGCATTTCGGTGCTTTTGTTTTCGTTGTCGACCCCTGGGTCTTTTCCCTACCTGGGCACTTTCCTTGCCTATCTTCGGTGCCTGACTGCACCCTGCTGTCCGTGAGGTCCCTCAAGTATGTACGCGCTCCTCTACACATTTTGTGGTTGGTCGTGTGCATTACTTCTCGGCCACTCCTTGGGCCGTATTCGTGGTTTTCCTTACCTATTTCCGTTTTCCTCCCCCATGCTACATTTATTTGTGTATCTGGTTCAGTGCTTCCTGACTATCCTGTTTGGTGCTTCGGTGGGCCTCTGTCCATGTTCAGTTCCCTGGTTTTGGACTTCTCCGGTGTTCCGTTTTGGTACCGAGTTCCTGTGATTTTCTGTGTGGTTTCCTGCAGGCATCGGGTTACACTGTCTGTGGGGGGTGTGGACTTTCGGTCTGCCTCTCCTGCCTTCCTGGTTCCTTTTCTTGGAACCGGGTTTGCTGGGTTCCGGTCCTGGTTCCGGTTTTTCTTTGTTCCTTTTTTGGACTGGGTGTGTTTGCTTTCCTGCGGTTCACGTCCTGGGTAGTTCTCCTCTTGGATGCCTCAGGGATGCGTGCATCATTCTTCCTTGCTGGAGCTGGTTAGGTTGCTCCTTTGGGTTGCGGGGTCGCTGTTTTTAGATTCGCGTTTTGCGCTTTCGATCGTGGTGTTAGTTTCTCGTCGTTTGTGTCAGCACTGGTGGGTTCGTTATTGGTCTCCCACCTGCGTGTTTCATCTCGGAGGCGGTGTGTGGTTTTCCTGGCAATCTTTCCGGTTTTCCTATCACTGCGAAGGGTCCTTTGGTCTTTGATAGGGTTGGCTTGTCTTCCCTTCGGGGTTGTTCCGGGACCGTCGTCTGGGATCGTGTCCTGTCACCTCGTATTGGGTGGTGCTGGCAGAGCCACTCCTGCTTGCGTTCAGTGTTGCGGTTCCTTCTGCTCCGTTCCACTTGCTGTCCTGGGTGTTGTTCCCCTCTGGCCTGCTCTTGAGTTTTGGTGCCGTCCTGGTTGTTGGCCTGGGTGGTCTATTTTCTTCTCGTTTTGGTCTTTGTTTTGTCTCTGGTTTTGGTTGTTCAGTTAGGACGTGTGGTATCCGCCTCCTGGTTCCTTCCCTATTTTACTTATCAGTGGTGAGGTAGCTCTGGGGAGCCAACGGGGCTTCCCCAGAAATCCAGCGTTGAATGTAATGAAATGCCATTTTCTGGGTGAGTCCCGGAGGCTCCCTGGCATCCCTCCCTCCCTCCGGTCGGCGGCGTTTTTTGCATATTTTGACATCCAGCCTAAGAACTGCCAGTTGGTTCGCCAGCGTGGAGGGTCTGGGGCTCCTTCTTCCCCCTCTCATGGAGGGGGGGTTGCGCAGACGGTGGAGTGGCGACATGATGACGTCATGCTAGTTTGATAATTTTGTTTGGGGAGTTCTGTCCACTCGTTCGGCTTTTGGTAGCAATATTTTCACCAGAATAGGGGTTTGTTTTGGGGCGCCTACCTTTCTGGGTGCCTGTCCCAGTCGATGGCAGACATAGAATGCTCCCAATCACAAGGGGGGGTTTCTATAGGCCATTGCTCCTCGTGTCTCTCTGAGGGGGCCAGGTTCTGGCTTGTGGTCCCCGGTAGGCAAGAACTCCTAGCACTTTGACTGATGCCAGAAAGTTATATATATTCATTCAGCCTGGATAGCTCCGGGCAGCCTCCGGGACTCATCCTGAAAATGGCGTTTCATTACATTCAACACTGGATTTTTTACATTTCTAATTTATTTGTTCCCTCCATCTCGTTTACGAACTTACATGATAACTGACGGGTCTCGTCCCTGTCAGTTTGGAAACCAAGTGGTGCTCTGTATTTGTTTACAGGATATGTGGAAGCTGGTCAGAATTGCATTTCACCTTTGTAAATGCACGTTAATGATGCTATGTAAAAAGACACAGTGAACACTGTTTATATAGGACAGATGTAAATCTGTGTATTTATGTTTGTAGATTGGATTAGCATTTTAAAAGCACTACAATCACCTTCTATGATATATTGTTCAATAAATCACTGAACTATATGTTTAATAGATCTCTAACCCTGTCCATGGAGGACAGAAGTTAATGTATATATGTTGGTTAGCATTGTAAATGTGTGGCCACGTTTGTGGTAGAAAATAATTATAAAAAAACGACAACAACCAACAAGTCTTATAATGAACCACCAGGCCACCAGGAACCACGTGCTTGGTCAACCCATACGTGCATCAACAAACTCGTCGCCAAGCAAGGTAAAGGTTGTCAATGATAGAGTCAAATTTTATGAAGAAATTGAGATCGTAACCCAAAAAATTTGTAAAGAGGGACAGTTGTCAACCAAAGTTCCACTGTATTCATAAACCAATATTCTGGCTCAATTTAAAAGAAGGATTGGGATTATAAAAATCCTGATGAATGTTCACCTTACCAGTAACTTTATATAGAAGTAAATTAAATTTAACAAAATAATAAAATAATTATATATTATACAGTACTTACAAAGTCTATAGGAACAGATGTTATGCATGTCAGTTTGACTTCTTGAGAAGGCTGCACTGTAAGATTGGTGTCGTTGTCTCCAGTTAATGATAATGGCTCCTCTAACAAGAAAATAAAAATATACATTTTATTAATACATTCAATGGAATATTTTGTTATGTACAGTAGTATAACAGTGTCTAGTAATTCTATGATGACAGCCAGTTAGAAGGATAAGTAATGCACTCAGTAGTAACACAACAATAATTACAAACTTTTAATAGATTACAAACATGGTAGAAGGAAGCAAGAGGGTAAATGCAGCCAGACATAAGCCAATGCGGGCTGAGAGGTGAGGCAATATACACTATATTGGCAAGTCTGAGTACTGACAGTATCAGTGACTCAAGACAGAGGACCAGGAGGTCAGATGATGTAGCAGTAGGAATTCAAGAATTTGTTGAGTTGGTATGTTGCCAGGAGGCATGCTACTTTTGTCTGGCGTGTTGTATTTTTTTTATTCTCAAGTTTTGTCTGTGATGCTTATCACAAGATCAAATTAATGCAACAGCTCAGAAATCCAACTATAACATGAAAAGCACTATTTCAAGTTGTGTCATTTAGTTTTTCTGGTCTTTTCTTACTTTACCTTTCTATGTGTTTGCAGCATCTTGCGCACATCTCAAAAAGATTGTGAAGAATAGGGTGTTTAAGGACTGCTTTGTTGAGACAATACTGCCTACTGGTGGTGAACAGAAGTGCTGGACTTGTAATGGGTTGTTACGTGGAACCTCATTTGGCAGTTGTGTGTGATTCTAAGGTAGAAATCTTATACTGATTTTAGAGTTTACTGAATGTTCTTCTGGTAATCATTCTGGGCTGGATTTAGCTGATCTCCAGTGACCCCATAACACCTTTTAATGACCCTACAGGGTACACTTGAAATGTTTCCTGTGGTGATGATGCATAGAATGTCTCCAGCTTAAATGTTATAATTCTTGTACAGAGTTTGTGCATATTTTACTACTTTGGGCAACCAAATGGCACAGCTCATAAAAGGTGCTTTTCATATTAACCTTGGCATTTTTGTTTAATTATTTCCATTTAGCATATGACCTTACAGAAAAACAGTAAATAGGATAACTGAATGCTATATTGTCTCACTTACCTTCTGTCATGCTGAAGATTTTATATAAAATATTGACATCTTCTCCTAATACACCACATCTTGCAGAATTAGCATGGCTCATCTTATAAACAAAATTCTTGCCTTCTTCCCGGATGTAGGTAAAACACCGGAAGCGCTCTTCCAAAGATAGGAATAACTCATCTAATTTCCCAATCAGGTAGTGTGTGTTGCCGTCTGTCCAATTTGCAACACAATGAAATTCTTCACCTGTAGTGGGTAAAACAATATTTCCAATGATGTTAACAGAATTGGACTTTTGGAAACTATTTATATACAATATAGGGAGAAAAACATGTCTACTGAGATTTTGCCAGGTATGGTTCAGAGTGTGCTAACAAAGATCAACCCTTGTAATGAAAACTGAAATGAAGCTACGTACTACTATCACATCACCCTTGTCCCACCCTTTCATGTGTCTTGTCTTTATCCATGCTGTTGATGTCTAAATATCTCATATGTAATCACTACAATGTGTATCATTATTCAGTTCTTTAATACTCTTCATATCTAAAGCTTTATTTCTTAAAACTAATCTAGTGGCTAATTACAGTACCTTCTGAATGTTCCTTCTGTGTTGGAGGTGTGGGGTCCAAAATGATACTGTGTTCTCCAGTATTGGTCTAGTACATGTGTTGTACACTATTCTGAATTATTCATTGTCAACATTGCTGAAGGGTGTTCATATATTTGCTAATATTGCATTTGCAGCCAACATCCTGTTTATGTTAGTCTCTGGCAGTAGTTGGTGAAATGACTAACCCGAGGTCATTCTCCCTTTTTGATATGCAGCAGTTTCCTACTCGGCTGGTACAGTGCTATAGCACTTCACTACTATCTATTTGTTATGGTTGAGCTTTGAGTAGCTTTTGTCATTCCAGTTATGCAGTTTGTCCCCTGCCCAAACTTTTAACAAAAACATTTTTAAAGCATTGACACTATAGTACCATGGCTTATATTCCCAGTGGGCATTGTTGGTTGAAAGTGACAAACATTATGTAATGTTGTCACCTAATGTTGGTCACTTATGTAATTTTGCCCACTGGATTCTAGATTCTATACTCTGACATACAATATATTGTGGATAAATATCAGACATATCTTCACACCATAGCATTTGGCTGTTTTTCAAGAGATAGACTATTGATTATAGTTATGGATGTGTCATTAGTTATTTTGTGATTACCTAATTGTTGTTACAGAATGAGCAACTCTTGTGGTGTCCCATCTTCTTTATACAGAATATCTTATTATACATATACAGTAATGCAAAATCTTCCAGTGGGTTTTAGCAAACACACTATCTCTTCCTAGAATGTATTCTATTCTCTAATACAGTAAGAATAGAAATATCTACATTGTGTGCATATGAGTATGATCTATGAAGTATAACTTTAGAAACTTCAAAAATCAAAATGTAAATACCCATCACAAGGAGGTTTATCATCAAATTTCAAAGCGATTAGCAAAGTGTTTACTAAATAAATGTGCTTACAGAAAATGTGAACCAATAAGAAAATTTAAGCAAAACTTTATAATGTTGTATATTGGAATTAAGTCAATCAACTTTTCTGGGGGGTACGAGCCAATCCCTGGCCCCCCCTCTGAGAAGTATGAGGAGCAATGGCTTATAGAAACCTCATTTTCTGTGGGGAGCCCCTACGGCTCCCCACAGAAAAAAACCTCTCTGCCTCTTTGTTCTATTTTTTGTTTTAGTTTTTTTACCATGTGGGGTTTGTTTTGTTATGCCTACCTTTCTGGGTGCCTAACCCTGGTCGACGGTAGATAAGGAAAACCCCAACCACAAGGGGGTTTTCCAGGGCCATTGCTCCCTGAAACCTCTCTGAAGGGGCCAGGTTCTGGCGCTGGTCCCTGGTAGGTCTGAACTCCTTAGCTAATGTCCCAGTATAATATAACATACATTAGCCCGATAAGTTCCAGGAAGCCTCCGGGGCTCACCCAGAAAATGGCGCTTCATTACATTCAATGCTGGTATTTTAGGTCCAGATAGATGCAGTCAACCCAACCATCTCTTTCCTGTAATATCTCTGTGGCTCGATCATAGAAACTGAGTAAATTTGATACACAGGATCTTCCAGATCGAAAACCATACTGTCTGTCTGATATTTTATCGTTTCTCTCCAGGTGTTCTACCCATTTAGTTTTAAGGCCACCTACCACAAGTTGCCTTCGGAGCGACTGCAGGGTACTGCACAGCTAGTTATCAGGTGTTAACTAGCTGTGGTGCACACTACTAGAGGTGCCTCTAATAATGGTCGGCTCTGTTCCGACTGGATACATTGTCTTCTTGCGGGGCTTTTCTTTTGTTTTATTTTTTCTGCTTGGTGGGAGGTCTGCCTTTGGTTGGTTACCCCCTATCTATCTTTGGGGGGTCTTTATATAGATATACAGTATCTGTGTTCTTGTAGTGCCCCCTACTAGGCCTCTGTGAGTGGACACGTCCCAGGGGGTTCAGCTGTTAGAAGTTTGTTTGGTAGTTTTGGGCGTGGGTTCACAGTACCCTGCCTGAGCTTACCTTAGCATGTTCCCAAGGCTAAAGGCCTTGGGAAACCTCACGGGGGCTCTGTGATTTAATGGATGTGATCCTTGAGTCCCCTCTTACTTCGTGCAAGACTGTTGGTTGCTCTGTCCCCTTGTCTCAGGGTGACAATCACTGGTTGTGCCTCCGCCATGCTACCTGTAGGGTTGGTGATTATTTTGACCTGTAGTCGTGCGACGTTTGTTGTTTGTATGTGCTCCAGTTCACCCAAGCTACTGATCATGATATGAGGGTGCAGGCAGCAGCTGCACTGCATGCAAGGTTTAGGTTGCTACAACACGATAGGTTCATTGCTTCCCCAGATGTACCCAGATGTATCACTCGGTACCCTTACTCAAATCTCTGAATATGTTAGATATTAAGTCACTGCACATCCTCTCATGTGTATTTTATATGTATAAAATGCTGAACTGTAATGTCAATCCTGACCTTAAAAGCTTCCTAGAAGGTTGTAACAAATCCCATGAGCACCACACCAGAAACAAATACCTATTTGATATTCCAAGAATACGACTTAATCCAACTAGAAATGCTTTACAAATCAAGGGACCCAGAATGTGGAATGACCTTCCCAATCATGTTAAAGACTCTACCTCTCTCAACCAGTTTAAGATAAAAACTAAGTACTACCTAATTAACTCCATGTAACCTACCTCACCCCCAAAATGTCAACCCATGTCTACTATTTTAAACAATGCTGTTTGTTGACCAAATTGTTTTTTTTTTTGCTATTTTTTCTGCCTTGTTCCCCCCTTTTTTTATTTCTTTATTTTCTCAACATAATTTATACTTTAATCTCAATTAGTATTAAGTTTTAGTCTTAGTGTTTTTCCTGCCCGAAATGCTTTGCGCAATAGTGACTTTAGGCATTGTATGTACTAGCTCTATCTATAAATCCATCAACATTTTGTATCTCACCTTGTATGTATGTACTTTACCTGAATAAATATTTGTATTTGTATTTGTATTTGTATGTCCTGAGACTGCCCCGTTTTGGTTTTAGGGACCCAGACTTGAGGTTGGGAGTCACTTCAACTTTGGTTCCGTGCACCTCACCATGTCCTTCCCTTTCTGTTGATCATCCGGTTCCTCCCCCTTGCTTCCATCTCCGAAATGTCAAGAGGTTTCCGAGTTGGGGAGGGTCTAGTTGGTGCTGAGACTCAAGTGGTCTCGAAGGAGTCGCCTTCCAGGGTGGCAGCAGATGCATTCAAGCCTGGTCCTCCAGCTGGAGCTTTTGGGTCTGACCAGTTGGCCCCCTTCATTCCTGCTTTTTCAGCTGCTCCTGCCTTTTCTTTAGAGGTGGGGGTGGCGGGGGGGGTTGGAGGATAGCTCGGCCCCGGGTCCTCGGGGTGACATTCCCGGGAGGGGTTGACTTGGGACCTATGGACCCCGTTGGACTCCGCCTGGGTTTTTGTACCCTCTGAGTGGGGTTCTCTTCGCTCCCTCTTCGTATGAATTGAATTTGGCGTCTACCCCTTCCTGGGTTCGGTTCTGTGATTTATGTCCGTTCTTCAGTTTTGTTCTTCCTGAGGTTCTTGGCTTCCCGCATCCCGTCCCATGTGGTTCAGAAAGCCCTTGTGGCTTACCTTCTGTGCGACCCGTATTATGCTTTCGTAATAGATCAGAGTTCCTTTGTGTATGGATCTTTGTGTTCTTACTGGATTTGTTATGAAGTTTCAGAGTCTTCCTGGTTAGCAGACTGCCCTCTTTGGAGGTGTGGCATACGTTCTGTCCATCCCACATGCTTGAGTTGCAGAAGGCTCAGATGGCATTGCAGGTTTTCTTGGGGGGCGAATTGAGCATCTCATTGAGTACTTGTTCGCCCCTGCCCTTCTGCAGAATGTTGGGGTGATGCTTCTTCATGTGCAGGTTCCTTCTCTTTTGACTGCACTGGTCGCTGTACATGTAGCCTGCTGGCTTCGGCCCTGCTTTTCTTCTCCCTCCTTGAGCGGTCCTTGGACTGGCTTGTGGTGGATGCTTGGGACCACCTCTGGGGCTGGTATGTGTGTTGCCCTCGGCAGCACGTGCATCATCTGCATTGTTGATGCTGTTCGCACTTCTCCTGTGGGATGCAGTTTCGAGTTTTTTGCTTCTCGACTCACGTGTTGGCATGCGGTGTTCGCTTATTCCTTGGAATCCGCTTGGACTCTGGCTCACAGCTTGTCTTCTCCTTTTTGTCTGTTGCTGTTTGCAGAGTTTGCAGTGGTGCAGTATCTGCAGGCAGCTTCGGCTAGTTGCCTTCCTATGTTGGACTTGTTAGTCCTCCAGGGGGCTCATGGGAAGGCCTTCCCGGAAGGGTCGTTCCAGGACTTAAGTTTCTTCTCATTGTGGTAGGCCAGTGGTGCCAGATTCAGAGCAGGAACAGCCTTCAGTACCTTCTGTTTCTGGTCAGCGTGGGGATCGCCCTGAGCGATGCTTAGGTTCCTAGGTCCTAAGATGTTAGGTCAAGTGCATCAGCCTTTTTGCGGTTCGTCCCATTGACAGGGCGATGAGGGGGAGGCTCGCTCTGTTTGCTCGCGCCTGATCCCACGATTTGTAGTTCTTTCGGGTCCTTTCACACGGCCTGCGGTGGCATATGATGGCTCCTCCTCCTTCTGTGAGTTCCAGGCTGGCGGGGCAGGCCTCTTCTCTTGCGCACTATCAATTCATCTCAGAGTGGGAGTGGGTTCGCTTGGACTTGGTCGAAATGACCTCATCTCTCAGTTGGGTTTCCCTCCTGTTTCTGATCCCCAAAACAGGACTGTGCGGACCCCCGGTTTATTCTTGACTTGTCCTGTCTGAACCCGTAGGTTTATTGCCCCTTCTTTCGGATGATTACTCTGTCCCAGGTCCATCTTTTGTTGGAGTCGGATGCTTGGATGGTGTCCCTGGACCTCAAGGACGCTTACTGGCACATCCCAATTCATCCGGGGTTAAGGGACTGGCTTGGTTTTGTTGTGGGGCATCAAGGTTACCGCTTTTGTTGCCTTCTTTTCGTTTTGAATCTGGTGCAACACTTTTTCACACACCTTACTCAGGTTGTGGTGACCCGCCTGCATCTGTTAGGTGTTCAGGTTATGGCTTACCTCGACGACGGGCTGGTCTGGGCTTTGGGGCCACATGGTTCTTCCCAGCTCGCCGGGTTCGGGTTCTTGGTGACCTGACGGCAGTCCCATCTGGTTCCCTCTCAAGTTCGGTCTTGGCTGGGTCTTGTGTGGGACACTCTGACCGCTTCCTTGTCTCTTCCTCCGGCGGCTCTACTTCGCCTGCGTTCCTGCATTTGTCTGTTTCTGAGGGGCTCCTGGGTCACAAGGAGGTTGCTCAAAGGTTTGTGTGGGAGCCTGAACTTTGCCATGATGGGCCACCTGCCAGGTCGGGTGTGGCTTCGTTGGCTGTTCTGGTCCTTCGGGGATGTCCCTATCTGCCTCTCTTGCAACCGCTAGGTTCGGCCTCTGGGGGCCTTGCATCGGTTGCTGTGTCTCCGGCTTCCTCTTCGGGTTTTTTGGGGTTCAGTGCCTTGGCATCTACCCGAGCCCTCGCTTGATGTGTTCACAAACTCGTCGTTTCTTGGCTGGGTCATTGTGACCAGTGCTCACCAGGCCGGCCAAAGGTGGTGGAGTCCATCCTTCTGTTAGGCTCACAACACAGTGTGGGGAGTTCGTGCGGCTGTGTGGATGTCGCTACGGAGGATTCGGGTCGCTCACGGATCAACGATTCGGCTCCATTCAAACTGTTCCCCGGTGGTGGTTCATTGCCTGAACAAAGGGGGGGTTCAATGCGATCCTTGGCTCTTTGGAGCTGGTCACTTCGAGTGACTCGTCTGCTGAGTTCTCGGGGTTTGTCTTTCCTGGCGGTTCACGTTCGGAGGATGTCCAATGTCCTGGCAGATGGCCTGTCCGGTTCATTCCCCTGTCCACAGAATGGACGATCGACACCAACTCATTCAGTGGGCTCTGCCAGACGTTCGGGGCTTCTGGAAGTGGATCTCTTTGCATCGGCGTGGTCGAGGCATCTCCTGGTATATGTGGCGCCCTTCCCCGATTGCGAAGCCGTCGGGGTTGACGCCTACTGGCAGGACTGGGCGAGGTGGGGTTACCTATACCTTTTTCCCTTGGTTCAGCTGTTGCTCCAGGTCCTGACTCGCTTGGAGACTTCCCAGGGGAGAGTTGTCCTTCTGGCTCCTTGGGTGGTCGGCCCAGCCTTGGTTTCAGACGATGCTTGCTCAGTGTCCGAACCCGAGGGTCTTCCCGTGGCTCCGCCTCTTTCAGCAGATCAGTCCAGCCCTGTACATGGCTGGTTCATTCTTCTCCTCGAGTCTTCATGTCTGGAGTTTCTGACTCGGTCTATCTTTACTTGTATGGGGCACAGGTGGCTTCGTTGTTGGTCTCCCACCTGTGTGTTTCGTCTCAGTGGCAGTATGAAGTTTCCTGGTGGTCCTTCCATTTTTTCCTATCACTGCATAGGTGTCCTTCAGTCTCTGATAGGGTTGTTTTGTCCTTCCTTTCATGGTTGTTCCATGACCGTCATCATATACCAAGTACTATCACCTCGTATCGTGCGGCGCTGGCGGAGCCACTGCAGCTTGCGTTTGATATTGATGATACTTGTGATCCATTCTGCAAGCAGTCTCATACATTTTCCCCTCCGGCCTGCTCTTGCACCACCTGAGCCATCCTGGTCTTTGGTCTGGGTGCTCTTTTTTTTCTCTCTTCTCGTGTTGGCTCTTTTCCTATTGACATTGGCCCCTCAGGGTCAGGTAGACGAGCGTCATGCTTTCCTCTGATGCAGGTGTTTTCTACTCATTGGTCCTGGTGGTAGGTTGGTTCGTTTGCAGCCGTCTTCTTCTTTTCTGGTGGTGAATGGATCTGCTACTCTCCGGAGGGGTCCTTGGGCTGTTGTTGCTTGGTTGGTCAGGCTGGGGGTGCATCATGTGTTGTTGTCCGGTTGCGGCTCTCCTCCGTTCCCTGTGCGTCATGGCCTCTGTGGCTGTGGATGCATTTTGGGTTACCCAGGTTCCCTTCCTTCCTTCCGGTTCCAGGGTATGGATCTCCCAGGTCATCCGCAGGGTCCTTCAGGTTTGCATATTGTCTTGATTTTGAGTTTAGGGCGTTTGGTGTCCACCTCCACAGGATCCTTACCTCTTTTTCATTATCTTTGGTGAGGTAGCTCCTGGGAGTCGGCTAGGCTCCCCCAGAAAACCAGCATTGAATGTAATGAAACATTATTTTCTGGGTGAGTCCCGAATGCTCACTGGCATCCCTCCCTCCCTCCAATCAGCAGTGTTTTCTGCATGTTTTTGACATCCAGCCTAAGAACTGATGGTTGGATCACAGGTGTGAGGGTCTGGGGCTCCCCTTTCCTCTTCCCCCTTCCCCCTCCCAGTGAGGGGGGGAAGGGGTTGCACAGACAGAGGCGTGGCAACGTGATGACATCATGCTTGCTCCTCGTGCCTCTCTCAGGGAAAGCCAGGTTCTGGCTCATGGTCCCCAGTAGGCAAGAACTCCATGCACTTTGACTGATGTCAGAAAGCTAATAATGCCATATCAGCATGGATAGCTCCGGGGAGCCTCCGGGACTTACCCAAAAAAAGGCGTTTCATTACATTCAATGCTGGTTTTTTATAATTAAATTGCAAGTAAAATACTAATACAAACATGAAATTCAAATATTAAGAGGCTCAATATATTAAAGACATGTGTTCAATATCACTTACTTTTAATTTCAGCATCATATCTGCTTTGGACACAAGATGCATATGTGAACTTCAGTTCAGTTTTTTTATCAGATATAATTTCTGAAAGACTTTCACTGCATTCTCCTTGTGGTAATTCATATGTGAATTTGCGTGGGCCAGTGAATGGACAAGGAAATGGTTCAGCAAGCACTCGAACCATAGTATGAAGGTCAGTGTTTCTGTTGATGGTGGAGCACACTGCATCTATGTCTTGTGGCTTCCTGCACTTTGCTGCATAAAATGTAAATGGGTTAAAAAGAGCATCCAGCCAAGGAGACAAGATTTTTATAGCTGTCTGTGAAATAAAGGGTAGGAAATAAAAATTTTAGACATTTATTAAATTAATAAAAATGCATTGTTAAATTTTAATAAAGATCATCAAAATCTGCTTCACAGTTCTAAAACTAAGCAAACACCAATTATGAACTGTCTGAAACCAAATATTTATGATGAACTTGAAGTCAATGAATTTTTTCCTTAGCACTTTTCAGGGTAACTGCATCAGCAGCTTTCTTGGGCTTAAGCATCACCATCAGCCATAGGCTGATGCTTGAGCTTAACCATCAGCCTAGTCAGCATTTGGTCCTCGTGAGAGACTTATTATTGTCTAGTGAGGACAAGGGCTCTTGCTACTTTCCCTTGTCTTCTCTGTAAGGTGGAAAGCCAATAAGAATCAATTATAAACTCAATAATGAACCAAACCACACTAATTGCAATGAAAAGAGGCTACAAGATACTCGGCCTCCCTCTGAGAAATATTTTAGTTTCAGTGCCAAACTATGAACAACTCAATTTTAATAACTACTGAACAAACAAACCCTATGAATATTCCCATCTGCCACAAGGCAGCAGGCCAATTCACCCTGATCCAAGTAACAAATCCCCCTTGTACTCTGTCTGACAAGCTTGGTTGGTATCCAAGTAGACTGGGACAACTGCCAGCTCAGTGTTTATCAGTTCACTGGACCATAGGTGTGAGGCTATATAATCACAGAATTGTAGCTACCATACTTTAATTGAACCTGCACGATACTATCATGTCCTCAGCACAGAAATTACTCAGGTTGGATCGTGTTTACAAGCACTATCAATGTTTTCAAATCAGGAATGGTTGAATGCCTCTGGACTAACATCAATACAAACCAGACAAGACAGGGCTGATCTCATCAAGAGCTTTAAAATACTGAACAAATTTGAAGATATTAATCCAGATAACTTATATAAAAGTCCAATGTAACTCTCACAAGGGGCAGCAGCTTCAAGCTGCAATGTAGGACAGATAACAAGAGGTGCTTTTATAGTCAGAGGGGTAATAAACCCATGCAATGCCAAGACAAGACTAGAGTTAACAATTTAGTTGGAAAAAAATATCAAGAATAATGGGGGGATCTTGACAAGCTGCTGGCTACCTGTCCCCATCAAGGCCACTAGAGATGGTGGTCCTTGGGTAAATTCAAGACAAATAAAAATTCCCAGCAGTAGTACCATGGGATGTCTTGTGAATCATCAGCTACTTAATATTCTTAACCATTAAACTACGCAAAACGTCATATGATGTATGACATTGAAGGTATAATAGGGGTATAATTAAAAAATATTTGAATTATGAAAAAATTACTTAAACCTTAAACTGCACAATGCACCTGCAGGCCCTCATCTGGTTTGCGCAAGCCGCCTCCGGGTATTTGTATTTTTCACGTTCCATTCAAAACTCCCACGGCTACATGGGGTTCACATCAGCTTCCTCAGGGCTCTTGTAAACAGACGCCATCTTTAAAAAAAATCATGGGCCACATTCTCGGGTGTGAGAGCCTGAGTATTGAGTGAGCAGCTAAGACTGGTGCACACAGCATGAGCTCACAGCACTGCTGTTCAGCTTGTGACCACATCATCGCCTAATAATGTCAAAATATATATATTACTTGTATTATTTAGCCATGATAGTATTGCAGAAGAGTCTGAGTGTGATAATGACTGTGTACAATGTTCAAATATCAGTGATTCAATGATGTTCACAGCACTAGCCACAGCACCACAGCATTATTTCGTCCATCTAGGAATCTTCAAACGACTTCTTAGGTTCCTTTACAAAATAAAATTGTGATCAATTATTCATTTACAGGACTTGGTGACCAGTATTGTGATAACAGCAGAATTGTGGTGATAATAAGCACTGTGCACAGTATTGTGGGAGACGGAATTGTGATGAGGGAGTGAGGGAGAGAATTGAGGTAGCCTCACTGTGTGTGTGTGTGTGGCAGCCACTCTTGTTTTGATCATCATACTAACTTAGTGGTTCGCTATGGTGAGCACATATGTACATGGGTGACCACATCAATGTGTATATACAATGTGTGTTTATATACCCATGTATATATGTGCATAGTATTGTGGGAGGAATTGTGGTGAGGGAGTGAGGAAGAGAATCGAGGTAGCCTCACTGTGTGTGTGAGTAGCAGCCACTCTTGTTTAGCTCATCATACTAGCTTAGTGGTTCTATATGGTGAACACATTTGTACATGGGTATATACAATGTGTGTATATAGTGTAATAACAGCAACAGGAGTATGTTGGGAGGAGCTATTTTGCTGAGAGAGGTGACATAATCTTAGCCTCGTCTTGTGTCTGCTGTGTGATTTCTCATGCAGTGTAGGATGGCCACTGTAAAGTTTGGACACAATACCGGCTTACTTGCATGGTTCTGGGTGAATAAAACATGTAGATAGGTATACATAACATGTGTAAATAGTGCAATAAAAACAATAACAGTATGATGGGAGGAGCAATGTTGGTGAGTAAGATGTTGGATGAGTGAGGGAGACACTGGATGTTGGAGAAGTGAGGGTGTGACAGTTATCAGCTACTTTCAACAATGTCCAAGAAATATTTTTTTTAGAGGATTTTTTTTTTTTTAGGATTTTAGGTTTTTTCCTCCTTTATTTATTATTTGAATTTGTTGTAACCTTTACATCCTGGAGAATACATACTTGTTCCTAACTATGTGAGGCCAGAATTAAATTGGTCAACAAATAAATCAGTTACAACTCTCAGAACTTGGGACTTTGAAAAAAATTTTGGCTGATTTTTTCAGAGATTTCAAACTCTATTTTCCTTGTATCTTTAGTTTGTTTTGATGATTGCAGACCAGATTAGGGCCTTTTTACTTATATAAAGTATACCCTAAATATATTCCCTAAATCATTATACTGCAATTATTATAATTATCCTTATATTTTGTTTTTTAGGGGGTTAATTTTTCTTGACTTCATTTCTACACACATTGACTTAGAACTTTCACATACTTGAGTGCGAATGCCAAACAATGTTTATTACAACATACAAGTAATTTCATGAATTAGAACAGCCTTATTCATTGTCGATAACTTCATCTTCAATTATATCTATAACTAGAATTTCAACTTACTTCAGTATCCAAAATTCTAGTTTCTGACTGATTTTCACCATTTTTACATCTAGTGTGCACAGCTGTCTATTCTACAATCCCTATTGAAATGATTTAACACATAAACTCTAAACGTTGGGAGTTATAAATTTTGATTGTCTAAATTTGCACATATTTCAAATGCCATATTGACAAACATTTTTTACAATAAACAATACTGAAAACCTATATTCTAAATATATGAAATGAAGATCATATGCTATTCTGAGAACATAATAACACCAAATGAACAGTTGGTGATATTTTTATATTTTTGGAGCTGATTTCAAAATCTGAAGTTTTCAATAAAAGCACTTAAATTATTGGGATCGTCTAAAAGCTCTCCAAATGTTTTCTCTAGAAAGGAGACTATATGGAAGAAAATGCAGAATAGAACCAGTGAAGAGCAGAGGTGCCACAGGCACGATCAGAGAACACTGTATAAATATCAAAGGTCCACAGTTGTTCAACAACCGCCCAGTGAGTATAAGAAATATTGCCAGAATAACCGTTAACATCTTCAAGAGAAAACTAGACAGTTTTCTTCAAGAAATGCCCGACCAATTGGGCTGTGGTGGGTATGTGGGCCTGCAGGCCGCTCCAAGCAACAGCCTGTTGGACCAAGCTCTTACAAGTCAAGCCTGGCCTCAGGCTGTACTTGGGAAATAGAAAAACTCCCAAAACCCCATCATGCACTACCTGGGGGGCAAGATGTCTTGATAGGAGCCAACATGAAGAGGTTGAATCTAACTTCCTTAGAGCATGTATCTCTGGCAGAGCACAGGAAATGAGTCAGTCATTGGGGAAGATAACCATGACAAACATGAAGCAGGGAACACGCAATGTGGGTGCAACTAAATACAAACCAGAAATATAAGTAAAACAAGACAGAGCTGTGGCCCCCTTGTATGAACAATTGTTCAAGAGATAGCCAACACCACTGAGATGAATAATCGAGTAGCTTCTCGGGTTCCAGCAGAGTGCAACCCTAACTAAACCAAGTGAGTGAATGAGGTGGCTGCTGGCTGGGGCTCTGGATGACATGGGATGCCATCTGGTGGTGGTTAGGTGCATCAAGGTTAGAGTTGTTTGCTTGCAGTAACACTTCTTTTTCCTTGTTTGCCTCAGCAGTTTCCTTCTCTTTCTTTCTTTCACACAATAGCTTGTTTCATTTTGCTTAACCATTCTGATGTGTTTTCTTGGTTTTGGGTAAATCTGATTCCAAATTTCTTCTTTCCTCATGAAGAGAGCCAGATTGTAGTTCTGACAGGTCAGCATTGACTACACCAACTACTGAGGGGGAGGGAGACCCACAGAGAGAAAAGTAAACTTACATTTCTTGTATTGTAGTAAGTTGTGATGCTGCTCAGTTATCTGAATACATCGATAGCATTCTTTTTTTCTGAAAAGGAAAATACAATAAATAAATGTTTTGATCACAGATGATTTATGCCCGAAATGCTATGCTTTATTTATTTATTAATTTATTTATATATATATATATACAAAAAGGTACAATGGGTTTATGAGAGTACATAGCATTGATGTTTTTACATTCTTGTGAAGTCACTAACACGCATAGTGTTCTGGGCAGATCCTTAGTCTAACAGATAATTTTAAGTACTGTAGATAATTTGTTGCAAAATTTAAAAAACCTAACAGGTACATTGTAAGAAAATTTGAACAAAATTAGTAGATACATTTTAGTAAAATTTTTAGGATTATCAACAGGTACATATTAGCATAATTTGAGGAGTATTTCTAGATACATTGTAATAAAATGAAGAGACAATGATGTTTCGGTTCATCCTGGACCATTATCAAGTCGATACTGGTCCATTGTCGTCTCTTCAATTTCTAGTGTGTTGTTTGGTCAACATTTTTTGCTTTCTGGGTGCCTGACCCTGGTTGATGGCAGATAAGGAAAACCCCAACCACAAGGGGGTTTTCCAGGGCCATTGCTCCCTGAAACCTCTCTGAAGGGGCCAGGTTCTGGCGCTGGTCCCTGGTAGGTCTGAACTCCTTAGCTAATGTGCCGGTCTAATGTAACATACATTAGCCCGATAAGCTCCAGGGAGCCGTAGGGTCTCCCCACAGAAAATACTGTACTGTCTCACCATTTAATATTTAGAAAATACTGAACCTACTTACAAATGTTGAAGTAGATAATTATTTCCAGAAGAAGAAATGCAAGTGCTTCTGCCAAATTCATGAACAGCAATGGTGACTTTCTGGTCAAAATCAGTCTGGTACCAGTCTCCAATCCACTGCCAGGGGAACTCACATCCACCTTCAACATTAATAAAAAACAAATAATTACTTTTGGTGCAGATATGAAAAAACAAGGTATTTGAATATAAATGAAACGTCCTTCCTGAGCTGGTCACCTTTTAGCATAACAAGGCATTGTCAATATTTACTCCATCATGATGGGGGATATTTTCAAACCTGTTGACCAAACCCCATGCTTTTCAAACCTCACTAAATGACAGTGAGCCATAGAAAATAATCAACATTAATTAATCAGCCTGGAATGATTTCTCTCTGACAGTCCTTCCAGGCCTCTTTTAGACCGTTTCCAAGAACTATTCAACCATAGAAGTGAACACCAGCCATTTCTCTGCTAACCGCTAGTTGTTGGAAGGCATGCGGGTGGCTTGGCAAGAAAGCAGGCAGGTGGGAAGGAAAGCAAGAAGGCAGGCAGGTGGGAAGGAAAGCAAGAAGGCAGGCAGGTGGGAAAGAAAGCAAGAAGGCAGGCAGGTGAGAAGGAAAGCAAGAAGGCAGGCAGATGAGAAGGAAAGCAAGAAGACAGGCAGGTGGGAAGGAAAGCAAGAAGGCAGGCAGGTGGGAAAGAAAGCAAGAAGGCAGGCAGGTGGGAAGGAAAGGAAGAAGACAGGCAGGTGGGAAGGAAAGCAAGAAGGCAGGCAGGTGAGAAGGAAAGCAAGAAGGCAGGCAGGTGGGAAGGAAAGCAAGAAGGCAGGCAGGTGAGAAGGAAAGCAAGAAGACAGGCAGGTGAGAAGGAAAGCAAGAAGACAGGCAGGTGGGAAGGAAAGCAAGAAGGCAGGCAGGTGAGAAGGAAAGCAAGAAGGCAGGCAGGTGGGAAGGAAAGCAAGAAGGCAGGCAGGTGAGAAGGAAAGCAAGAAGGCAGGCAGGTGGGAAGGAAAGCAAGAAGGCAGGCAGGTGAGAAGGAAAGCAAGAAGGCAGGCAGGTGAGAAGCCAAGAAGTTGGGTGGTTACACCCAACATGGTTTTACAGGTTTACACCTGTTACAGTGTATAATGTTATAGTGTACAATGCCCCAACACACAGCAGGCACAACCCCACAGGGTACAATTCAGACAGGAGAATGAAGCCAGCGATAACGTCTGCTCTAAATGGCATCAGTCAACAAACTGCTGGTGTCAGTGCAGGTTCACCCAGGCGGTGCCCCATCCCCCCTCCTGGGTGGGGAGGGCTAATGAGCGGGTGTGCAGGTTGACTAGATGTTTGATTATTTGTTGTTTTCTCTTAGGGGGAGTTCTTGAGCTCTGTTCGGTCTTGGGTTGCAATGTTTTACCAGTTGGGGTTTATAATGGTCCTCCTACCTTGCTGGCGAATACCCTGGTTGGTGGCAGACACGACATGACAGCTGTGTGGGAGTCTGCACTTCACTGTGCTTGTTACATGCAGAAAGCTTGCAGAATGGAGCAGGAAGGATACTCACCCTGAATGCAAGCCAAAGTGGCTCTACCAGTGCTGCACGTTATGAGGCCGTTTTAAAAAAAAATGGCCTCAGTGTCCAGGGACACGTTTTGGGTTGACCCGATTTCCTTTCCTCCATGTTCCAGGGCTTGGGTCTCCCAGATCGTCCGTAGGATTATCCAGTCCAGCCAGCTTACGGTCTATCCTCGTGCCCATGATGTTTGCGTGTTTGCTGTTTTAGCTACAGTTTTTGGTATTTTGTCTTGGGCTGACATTCAGGCATGGGGGTTTTGGAGGCTGACCAGGGTCCTGGATACCTGATTCCTCGTTTTTGTTCCTGGCCCTCGTCCGTCTGTTGAAGCCTATTGTCTTGATTTCGACTTGAGACGTGAGTAGAGGCTGCCTCCCAGGTACATCCCATCTTTAACTTGCCTTTGGTTAGGTACAAGTTAGGTACTTGTCTTTGGTTTGGTTTTTAACGCCATTTTCTGGGTGAGTCCCGGAGACTCCTCAGCAACCCTCCCTTCTCCTGGTCGGCAATTTAACGCTTTTGACATTCAGCCTCAGAAATGAGGTTGGACAGCTGCTGCAGAGGGTCTGGGGCTCCCTGTTCTTCCTCCCAGGGAGAGGGGGGGAAAGCTGCACAGACAGGCGGTGCGGCGGCAGATGTAACGTCATGCTTGTCAGCACGATTTCTGATTGGGGAGTTCTGCTTAGCAGTTCAGCTTTTGGTAGCAATGTTTTACCAGTTGGGTCCTGTTTTGGGGCACCTACCTTTCTAGGTGCGTAACCCGGTCGATGGCAGACATAGACTGCTTCCAACCACATGGGAGTTCCTATAGGCCATTGCTCCTCATGCCTCTCTGAGGGGGCCAGGTTCTGGCCCATGGTCCTGCTAGGCATTAGAACTCCATTCGAAGGACTGTTGCTATGGTCTAATACTTGCATAAAAGCCCAGTAAACTTTGAGAAGCCTCCGGGACTCACCCAGAAAATGGGGTTTCATTACGTTCAATGCTGGTTTTTGTCAGTGAGAAAGTACACTTGATTATCCAAACAAACAGCATTTATCAACATAATTCATTTCCAAGTGGTTTGGAAAGTTGAATCTCCACTGTTAAAGTATTTTACATTAAATAGCTAAGAAATTTAAATACTAATACAAGAGTTTAAATATAAACATCCTTAATAATTTAACTACCTCTGCTCACATCCTCTGTTGTTGTAGGAAGATGTGGTGGTTCTACCAATCTCACTTCTTTTGGTAACTCTGGAAAACAAATATCTGGGATTCAGTATTTGGCAGAAAGTATCTTAATGAAAGTATCACAATGACTTAACTCCATTGATTGCATCAGAGCAACTGAAAATATATTGGTCTTTCCAAACCACTTAATCAGAGGCTTTACACCTTTCATATCCAACAAATGATAAATGATGACCTCACTATAAATCAGGTCACCTTTAATTTATTTTCCTTAAATACTACCATTTATTTATTTACATTATACAGTGACACCATGGCTTACGAATGCCCCTGTTTACAAACATTTCAGGTTACAAGCCCAATTTCTTTGTAAAATCCAAATCGGGTTACGAGCTTTGCTTCGAGAAGCGAAGTTTGTTGATACGTGTATAGCTGACCTATCGTGGTAGCACGGCGATCATGCCTCAGTTTACCAGTGCCTCCCACCTAGTGACAATCGCGTCTGAATTCTTTTTAAAAAATTACAGTTTTTATAGGATTTTTTTGTATTTGAACATAAAAGTTGCTATTATATATCTCGCCATGGGTCCCAACAAAGCCAGTGGTAAAGTTCAAGCCAAGAAAACACATGTAAAAATGACTATAGAGGAAAACAAGGGATTATTTGTAAACATGAAAATGGTACATGGGGGGGTTGTTGAACTAGCTAGGCAGTACAACAAATTTCTGTCAATGATATGAACTGTACTTGCTAACAAAAAGAACATTATGAGTGCTAATGTGGCAAAAGGTGAATCAACAATCACGAAACAGAGAATACAAACACTTGAGGACGTTGAAAAGTTGTTATTAATTTGGATACACAACAAGGAATTAGCAGGTGATAGCATTTCAGAGGCCATCATTTGTGAGAAAGCAAGGCAATTGCACAAAGACCTTTTACAGAAAAACTCTGGAATGAGTGATGTAGATATGAAAGAGTTTTAAGGTAAGCAGGGAGATGATTTGAGAAATTTAGAAAAAGAAGTGGTATTCATAGTGTTGTGAGGCATTTGGAGGCTGCTAGCTCAGACAAACCGGTGGCTGAAAGATTTATTGATGAATTTAAAGATTTGGAAGGAGATTCCCCTTCCAAACACTAACACCTCTCCTCCTACTCTCTCCTCACCATCTTCCATATGCCAACAAGTGTCATCAATAAAGGTAAGTGATAACGTGTACATACTTTAGTACTGAAGATTTGGGTTAATTAGGTATAAAATTTACTTTGAAGTTAATTTTTTGGGGAGTCTGGAATGGATTAATTCAATTTACATTATTTCTTATGGGAAAATTCAGCTTACAAGTCATCTCTGGGAATGGATTAAATTCGTAAGCTGAGGTACCACTGTATAGATATAACGAGGCAACATATTTTGATGAAGATTTGGATGATTAATTGGTACATTCTTGCAAAGCCATTAACAAATAAAATTTTTAGCAGTCTTCACATATTAAATACCATTACACTGCTTTAAACATTTTGTACTTCATGAAATGACATCATTTCTGAAAATATTCTCACATATGCTCTTTGACATGTTCACTAAACTACTGATGCCAAAACCCTCGGAAGTTTCAAAACATTATACAACAAAGAGTGCTGGGGCGACAGGACACCACGAGCATAGCTCTCATCCTGTAACTACACTTAGGTAATTACCATTTTAGATGCAATTGGTCACTCGTATACTGCTTTTTAAAACAGTCTGATTACATCATATTACAGTATTATAATTTTACAATATTTGAAGTTTACAAACCTGTTTGAGTTTCATTTGGCACTATAACAACATTGAGTACTGAGTGAGCTGGTGGGTCAGTTGACGTGGCACATTGGTACTCTCCTCCATCCTCCTCTATAACCTGTTTGTAAATGAAGCAATTTATAAATAATAATAATAATAATAATAATAATAATAATAATAATAATTATAATAATAAATAATAATGATAATTCAAATAATAATAATAATAATAATAATAATAGTAATAATAATAATAATAATAATAATAATAGTAATACTACTACTACTAATAATAATAATAATAATAATAATAATAATAATAACAAATAATGAATAATATTGGATTTAATAAATAATAAATAACACTTATGTATTTGTGTATTTTATGTCATTTACACTAAGTCTTTCGCACTCTCCTGAGTGCTTTATCACAGTCTGAGTGTATGGTTGAGATGAGACTTGCATCTCAATGACTTACACTCTATGGGAAATTTTCCCCTAGTTCTATATATGGTATCCACTCGATTTATGGACCTCTGATTTAGCATTCCGCCAGTTGTAACGACCAAATTTTAGATCATTAACCCTTAAACTGCACAATGCACCTGCAGGCACTCGTCTGGTTTGCGCAACGCGCCTTCAGGTATTTGTATTTTTCACATTCCATTCAAAACTCCTGCGGCTACATGGGGTTCACATCAGCTTCCTCAGGGCACTTGTAAACAGACGCCATCTTTAAAAAAATCGTGGGCCACATTCCCGGATGTGAGAGCCTCAGTACTGAGTGAGCAACCAACCACAGCACTGCTGTTCAGCTTGTGACCACAGCAATGCCTAATAATGTCAAAATATATATATAGCTTGTATTATTTAGCCATGATAGTATTACAGAAGAGCCTGAGTAATTACCTAAGTGTAGTTACAGGATGAGAGCTACAGTCATGGTGTCCCATCTTCTGTGATAATGACTGTGTACAATATTCAAATATCAGTGAGACAATGCTGTTCACGATGTTCACAGTGCTAGCCACAGCACCACAGCATTATTTCGTCCATCTAGGAATCTTCAAACAACTTCCTAGGTTCCTTTACAAATTAAAATTGTGGTCAATTATTCCTTTACAGGATTTAGTGACCAGTAATGTGATAACACCAGGATTGTGGTGATAATAAGTACTGTGCATAGTATTGTGGGAGTTGGAATTGTGGTGAGGGAGGGAGCAAGGAAGAGAATTGAAGTAGCCTCACTGTGTGTGTGTGGCAGCCACTCTTGTTTTGATCATCATACTAGCTTAGTGGTTTGCTATGGTGAACACATTTGTACATGGGTATATACAATGTGTGTATATACCCATGTACATATGTGCGTAGTATTGTGGGAGTTGAAATTGTGGTGAGGGAGTGAGGGAGAGAATCGAGGTAGCCTCACTGTGTGTGTGTGTGTGTGTGTGTGTGGCAGCCATTCTTGTTTTGCTCATCATACTAGCTTAGTGGTTCACTATGGTGAACACATTTGTACATGGGTATATACAATGTGTGTATATAGTGTAATAACAGTAACAGGAGTATGTTGGGAGGAACTATTTTGGTGAGGGAGGTGACGAAATTGTAGCGTCGTCTGCTGGCTGATGTGTGATTTCTCATGCAGAGTATGGTGGCCATTGTAAAGTTTAGACACAATACCGGCTTACTTGCATAGTTCTGGTGAATAAAACATGTAGATAAGTCTACATAACATGTATAAATAGTGTAATGAAAACAATAACAGTATGGTGGGAGGAGCAATGTTGGCGAGTAAGATGTTGGAGGAGTGAGGGTGTGAGGGTGTGGCAGCTGATACTTGCGGAGTTCTGAGTGTGTTGATGATGAATGTATATAGTGTGTGACAGTGTATAGTGTGTAAATAGATTGTATATATACATAAATTAGCATGATGCATGGGAAATATGTGCAACATATGTGTACATATGTGTCATGCATTTAACACAGTGTCTTTGGACAGTACGGATGTTCTACTGCCATAATACAGTGTACATGTTCATTATACATAGGGTTGGCATAAAAAAACAAATAAAATGTATTTGGAACTGTGCACAAAAAATGAACAAAAATATATTCGCAGCAACTTGCGCATCCTGCCCTGGGTGCCCTACCAGTCCCAGGGGCGTACGCCACGGGTGACCAGGGAATGATGACGTCACACGCGTACTTACGGACCCCATAGCAGCCAAAGTACGTACAATTTCGACCTTCTGTTACTATACCCATACTCAGGGAAGGGTTTTTGACACCTTCAAAACAATTAAGATTTTTTCCAGAGAATTTATTTCCTGCGCACTGGGGGTGTCATATTTGGAAGCCAAGCAGTTGAGGGGTTAACTGGTGCCTTATTTACAGAGTCATTGGCCATTAAATCTAGAATACAGTATTTAGTTTACAGAGTAAGGTATATGTTAAACTGGAGACCACTATTGTGCTTTAGTGACAACCTTGCCCTCGCTAGGCCAGTGTTTACATATTCCCTTTACAGATTTCGCTGCCTCTATTATGCAGCATCTAGTCAGAGCTAGTCATAGTTAGTTGTAATCAATCAGAGGCAGCCATGGCCAAGTTATAGTCAGTCAGGCATTCAGTCACAAGCTGACTGAATGCTGACTGAACAACAGTCAGCATTTAGTCTGATGTTGTTTAATGAACACCAATGTTAAGTACTCTCACAAACCCAATGTACCTTCTTGTAAATAAATTAAATACGTAAATTATACTGTAAAAATAAAAAAAAATAAAAAAATAATAAATATAGATAGATAGATAATAAATGTCAGGCAGGGCAGTCTGCCTCCCAGGTCACCAGCTGGTAGAAAGGTAGCTGAGAATCAAAATCATACTGTGTTAATCCCGTACAGGCACACCATTTAGACATGGCTGGAGGGGTGGGGGGTATATATCTGGAAGGGTCCAGTGTGGGGATGGGGGGAAAATAATTTAGCGAGGATGGAGGCACTGAGGGATGGATCAAGCATGACCCATCCCTCCATCTGAGGGGGGAGCTGGAGGAACCATCTGAGGAGCTGGAGGAACTTGACAACTCATGATAATCATCTTTGTACCAGATTCAGATTCAGATTCAGATGTTTATTCAGGTAAGGTATATACATACAAGTGATGTTACATTAATGGATTGATATATAGATAGAGCTAGTACATACAATGCCTAAAGCCACTATTACGCAATGCGTTTCGGGCAAGAAACCATATATGTAACTCCTCATTTGTAACAAAGTTCATATAAAATAAATATATGTACAGTATATGTACAAAAGAATAGGGGTGGTAGGAGAAGAAAATACTTAAGTGTTCAGTTTGAATCCACAAGGTTTTCTCTGAATACTCTTTATTTTCTTCTCTGAGGCTATGGATCTCTACACTTGCACCAGAGGTGGTACCCTCACAACTATAATAATATATATATATATATATATATATATATATATATATATATATATATATATATATATATATATATATATATATATATATATATATATATATATATATATATATATATATATATATATATATATATATATATATGTCGTACCTAGTAGCCAGAATGCACTTCTCGGCCTACTATGCAAGGCCCGATTTGCCTAATAAGCCAAGTTTTCATGAATTAATTGTTTTTCGGCTACCTAACCTACCTAACCTAAAACCTAACCTAACTTTTTCGGCTACCTAATCTAACCTAACCTATAAAGGTAGGGTAGGTTAGGTTAGGTAGGGTTGGTTAGGTTCGGTCATATATCTACGTTAATTTTTACTCCAATAAAAAAAAATTGACCTCATACATAATGAAATGGGTAGCTTTATCATTTCATAAGAAAAAAATTAGAGAAAATATATTAATTCAGGAAAACTTGGCTTATTAGGCAAATCGGGCCTTGCATAGTAGGCCGAGAAGTGCATTCTGGCTACTAGGATATATATATATATATATATATATATATATATATATATATACACACACACACACACAGCATAAGCCAAAATCATATAATTGGACATATCACACATTTTGCCTGAAATATATAATGGTAATCACTCACTTGCTGTTGTTAAAATTTCAGTTGCTCATAGTATGGCTGCCCTACACATTCCTAAAGCCCTGGCCTTAGGATTGTTTCATAGGCCTAAGTAACTTAAAACACATTACTAAGCCCATGAAAGGAAAGTGTGGGACTCAGGAAGTTTTTTCAAGATGGGGGATGGTTACTGGAGGTCTGAGGAAGCAAATGTGTGCCCTCTTGTATGCATGGGATTTTTTTTATTATTACAATATGCTAACATCATCATATGTAGGCTGGCGCAGTTTCTGATGAACGAGTTTTCTTGGCCGGAGCAGCACAGTGGTTAAAATTCACTCATTGACATTTTAATTTAACTGTGTTCCGAACCTTGGCAGGGTTTAAATTTTAATTTGTTGGCAGGCTGATATTCAAACCACTGAAAGTCAATGGGTTTGTCATTATCCAGCGAGAAGCTTACTGATCATTCCCATAGATGCCATAAGCAATTTGTCGACGAGTGGAGACACAGGGGTGACTCATACGCGTTCAAGTCCAAGTTTCAACTTCACCTACAGCTGAACTCTTAGTATTTCATATAAATTAGAATTGATCAAACTTATGTTTCTAAGTAGATCATCCTATTATCTATTTTATTAATTAATAAATTTGTAGTAGCTCAACTTTAGTGAGATTTTATCCATTCATATTGGTGGTGTTATTTTTCATGAGTGTGTGGCTAATAAATATAACTGAAACCCACAAGCCTGTGTGGAAATATTTGTGAAGAGTTCTAAGATACAGTCCACTGGTTTAAATTTAAATATATAATTTACTTATAAATATTTAACTTAAATTTATCAACTAATTATCTAAGAATAAATTTAATACATTGGCTCCCACAAGTAAATTCCCACACTCTCAGACTTTGATAAAGCACTCAGAAGAGTGCAACAGACTTGGTGTAAACCTTCACATAAACTATACAAATACATAAGTGTGTATTTTTATTCTATGTCATTGTGTCTGTGAGAAGATATTACCATTACTTAATAATAATAAAAATAATGAACCAAACTGTACTATGAGATAATAATAATAATATATATACTGTATATATTATATAATATAATATAATAATAATTACAGTATATATATTTTAGAAGATATTCAAATGATCCTATTACAGTGGTTAATTAGTAGGTACGGTGTTTATATATTTTATAAAGTAACCAAGTAAGTACAGCATATCAAGGATAACCAAAAATAATGAGTGAATTGAATTTTAAATTTATTTGGGTCATACTTAATACTTAAAACTACTGTATATGAGAAGCTAATATATATGAATTGTTAAAGAAATTTAGCAAGTGACGTAGAGCTTTTTACAATACCTGTGTTATCCTGAGGTACAGCAACCGGGACCCATCAGTTGATACATCCTGTATGATTTCTATGCGAGAATCATCAGTAAGTACTTGCTGCTCAGCATACAAGAAATATATGTCATGTACTAACACAATATCCTGCAACCAAAGTAAGGAATGCAAATTTTTACTAAAGAGAAGATAAACATTCTGTAAAAACTAGCATTTAATGTAATGAAACGCCATTTTCTGAGTGGGACCTGGAGGATCCCCGAACCTATGCAGGCTGATATGGATATTAGACTTCCGCATCAGTCAGTGTGAATGGAGTTCTTAGGCCTACCGGGGACCACGAGCCAGAACCTGGCTCCCTCAGAGAGGCACGAGGAGCAATGGCCTATAGAATTGCACATGTGATTTGGAGTATTCTATGTCTGCCATCGACCAAGTCAGGCACCCAGAAAGGTAAGCATCCCGGAACAAACCCCTATTCTGGTTGAAACTACTACTGAAAGGCAAATAAGTGGACAGAACTCCCCAAAGAAAAACAAGCAAAATGAGCATGACATCACCATGTGCCTCGCCACCGTCTGCGCAGCTACCCACTCCCTAGGAGGGGCAAGGGTGAGCCCCAGATCCCACATGCCAGCTGCCAACACCTTCAGTTCTGAGGCTGGATGTAAAAAAAAGCGAAAAATATACCGAATGGAGGGAGGGCTCCCCAACCCTGGGAACCTCCACGGCAGGACCCACGGCCGACTCACCCTCCAAACCCGGACCTCAAAAGAAAAAGCCGAGGCAGCCGGAAAGGCAGGAAGGAAAGAGGGGCCCACTGGTCAGACTACTTGAGTCTCAAAACCAGCTAAACCCTGCCCCGACCCCGAAGCCCTCAGACGCTTGGGGGGGGGGGGGCAGGACTGAACCAAGGCCGAAGCGACCAACACCCTCAAGTCCGAGTCCCTATAAACAAAACAAGGCAGCCTTGGGGCTTCCGGGTTAGCAATAAACCTAGCATGTTGCAGCAACCTATACCTAGCATGCAACGCCTAAGCTGCCTGCACCCAGATAGAGTCATCAGTGAACTGGGTGAACTGAGTCACTAACAAGCAACAAAACTCGCAGGACTCTGGGTCGAAGGTGCCATCAACCCAGCAGGACGCATGACGAAGGCAAAAACATTGAGAGTTACCCTGAGACAAGGGGACAGAGCAACACTCAAACTCGCACAAGGCAAGAGGGGACCCAGGGGTGTAGCATCCATCGGACCCTTTGCACCCCCGCAGGGGTTTCCCAGGGCCCTTTGACTGGTATAGCTAAAGAAAGCCCAGGCAGGGTACTGCGAACAGGCACCCAAGTCCACCAATCAAACTTCTAAAAGCTGAACCCCCAGGACGTGTCCACTCACAGGAAGCCTAGCAGGGAATACCACCAAGTTCCCAGAGATAAATATATAATGAGTTACAGGGGCAACCAGCAGACTACCTCCCTCCACCAGGCAGAAAACAAAAACTAAAGAAAAATCCTACAAGAGGACAATGTACCCAGGTGGAACAGAGCCGGCTGCTATAAAAGCTGACAATTAACTGTGCAGTATCCTGTGGCCCTACCAGTGCAAACTACCCCTTCCCTTAAGGTAAACAAGGGAGGAGGAAACCCTCCAGCACTCTCAGGGCAGCCAATTACCAAGTATCATGGTGTATGGTGTCTATTAATCTTGTTTAAATTACTAATCAAGCTGTCAATGTAATCAATCAGAGCTTTAATATAACAATGTGCTTTAATATACTTACTAAGCTCTCTCATCTCATTTTTCTCTTGCAATGTATCTTTATCATTTATCAATTCTGATAGAAATTACCAAGTATCATTACCAAGTATCTGCTGTATGGTTTCTATTAATCTTGTTTAAATTACTAATCAAGCTGTCAATGTAATCAATCAGAGCTTTAATATAACAATGTGCTTTAATATACTTACTAAGCTCTCTCATCTCATTTTTCTCTTGCAATGTATCTTTATCATTTATCAATTCTGATAGAAATTACCTACTTAAAATTATCTGTTAGATTAAGGACCTGCTCGAAATGCTGCACGTACTAGTGGCTTTACAAGAGTGTAAATACTGTACTATCCAATGTATTCTCACAAACCCAATGTACCTTCTTGTATATAAATAAATAAATAAATAAATAAATAAATAAATAAATCAAAATCAAAAGACAAAACAGAGGTAGGCCCCAAGGTGATTTGTGGAAGATGGTCCCAAGCCCCAAGGGTGGTATTTACAGGGCACTTAGGGAAAGCAACCCTAAGGGCATGTAGCCCGAGTACCTGTGAAAATTACTCTCAGCTCACGCACCACCCTGAAGACAGCACTAGACACAAGGCACAGCACTGAACACAAGAATCAGGAGCTGGAGTCACACGACCAAGCTTCATACACTTCAGCTGAGAACTGAAGGTGTGGGTAGCCAGCATGAGGGGTCTGGGGCTCCCCCCTTCCCCCTCCCAGAGAGGGGGGGGGGGAGCTGCGCAGATGACAATGCGGCACGTGGTGATGTCATGCTCGTTTGCTCATTTTTCTTTAGGGATTTCTGTCCACTCATTTGACTTTCAGTAGTAGTTTCAACTAGAATAGGGGGTTTGTTTTGGGATGCTTACCTTTCTGGGTGCCTAATCCAGTCAATGGTAGACATAGAATGCTCCAAATCACATGTGCAATTCTATAGGCCATTGTTCCTTGTGCCTCTCTGAGGGGGCCAGGTTTTGGCTCGTGGTCCCCGGTAGGCCTAAGAATTCCATTCACACTGACTGGTGCAAAAATCTAATACAGTGGTACCTCGACTTACGTATGCCCCTCTTCATGAACTTTTCGGGTTACTAGCCCGATTTCTTCATAAAATCCGAATCGGGTTACGAATTTTGCCTTGGGAAACGAAATTAGTTGATATGCGTATGGCCGACCTAGTGTGTGGTGGCACAGTGATCGCGCCTCAGTTTACCAGTGTCTCCCACCTAGTGACAATTGTGCCTGAATTCTTTGTAAAGAAATTCTTTTATTTTTTTTTATTTTAGGCTATTTGAACATAAAAGCTGTTATTATATATCTTGCTATGGGTCCCAAGAAAGCCAGTGGTAAGGTTCAATCCTTAAATTGTGGCCTGAATGTGTTTCAGAGCTAGACTTTGAGGGGTTTGAGCTTGAACCTGAAGTGCCTATTGTTGAGGAAATTGTTACTCTGGGGCAGAAATTGGGCTTTGAGTTGGATGGTGCTGATGTGGAGGAGTTGGTGGAGGAACACAGTGAAGAACTGACCACCGAAGAACTTTTAGCCCTTCACAATGAGCAGCAACAAAAAGCAGCTGAGGAAATTTCCTTGAGGGAGGAGGAGGCAGTACATGAAATGCTGCACGTACTAGTGGCTTTACAAGAATGTAATTACTATGCTATGTATCCTCACAATCCCAATGTACCTTCTTGTATATATATAAATAAATAAATAAATTAAATACATAAACATAATGTCCCTTCCTCAACAATTAGGAAGTGGTGTAGACTATGGGAAGAAATGCAAACTTTTGTTGAAACAACTCACACAGAGCAAGCTGTAGTAGACCATGGCATTAACCTTTTTAATGACACTGTGATGCCTGAGATGACACTGTGATTTGAATGAAGGGAAAACAATCCTCAATGGATTGATTTTTAGTGAGAAAATCAAGCAGTGAGCCACAAGCAGGTCTTAGTGGTATGCAGGCAAAATGTGCCAGAGAGTGTACCCCAGAGAAGTCATCACTGCCTTATGTTATAACGGAAGGATTCTCCCCTTCCAAACAATAACACCTTTTCCCCCTTCTCCCCTCTTCACCGTCTTCCATACACCAACAAAAGTCATCAATAAAGGTAAGTAAAAAGTTCTACATACTTTAGTACAGTACTAAAGATTTGGGTGAATTAGGTATAAAATTTACTTTGAAGTTAATTTTTTTGGGGAGTGTGGAGTGGATTAATACAATTTGCATTATTTCTTATGGGAAAATTCGCTTCAATTTATGAATTTTCAGCTTACGAACCGTCTCTGGGAATGGATTAAATTCATAAGCCGAGGTACCACTGTATATCCATATCAGTCTGGATAGCTCCATGGAGCCGAAGGGGGCTCCCCCCCCCCCAGAAAAAGTACCAAAACAGCTAGATATCTATAATTTTGATTGGATATTTACTCATAACACATGAGACATGGATAATTTGCTGTAAAAACTACAAAAAACTAAATCAGATATTTAATTAATACTGTAGTTATTTGACATTTATCTTTAAAACTGAAATCCAGAAAATAATGTGTGCTTATTGTATTTTTCTCAAGTGCTATTGATGCAGTCACATTGGATAATACTGCAAATAGGGTACAGTGCTAAGTTTTTCTTTTGTAAAGCACCAATACCCTTAACTTTTTGTAAAATATCAAGGATATAAATATCACAAGGTGATATTTATATATTATAATTCAAGCCTATTGAATAATATGTAGGGAAAGACAGTTTTCCAAGTGAACAATTTGATCTCACCTGCTGAACAACTGGGCTAACAAGGCAGGTAAGCAAGAGTGTAGAACCCTTCACTGCCACAACCGGGCCTCTCAGTTCTACAACACGTCCCAGAGATAATGTTGGTTTTGGGGGACCAAATTCTTCTATGGTTACAGGGGTTGGCAGCAATCCAGAATATTCTAAAACAGCATTCATAAAATTAACATACAAAGGTAATTTTAGCAATTGATGTACAGCATGACATTTTCTCCCAAACATGAGGCAAGCAAAAAATTTATTGTACATTTTGAACATCTGTGCCTGTAAGTGTTAAAAGGCCTAAAAATCAATGTCTCAAACCAGAAATCTTAATTTTATACAAGTCCTGTAATTACAACTATGCTTCTATAGGACCTTGCATGTTACAACATGCAGCAACATGTTTACAATTACATATGAATTTGAGGGTCCCCAGAAGCAATATCTGTATTTATTTGTAATCTTGTAATCATATTTTGAATGATAAGATGTATCAGTGGTTCTAGCATTAAAAACGGCAATTATAGAGATACTTATTACAATGCCGTAATGCTTGAATGAAGGTGAAGGAAAGACCCAATATATAAATAAGTGTTATTAAGAACTCAAAATGTCCAGACCAGGATTCATACCATGACGTCTAGGATCACCCCCAAATGTACACATTACTGTGACCACCGCACCATTGATCCTGACTATAAATGGTGCGGTGGTCATGGTACAGTACAACCTCGATTCAACGTACCCTGATTCAATGAATCTCCGGCTAGTTCGCACACTTTTCAGGCCGGATTTACTCAACTGGTTCGACGAACAATGGTTTGCCGAAGCGGGGAATGATCGGATTTGCTTACAATGTCGAGACATAGTTCACAGACTGGTGGAAAACTTCCCCATTCTATCACAGATTACAATTAATAATTCGCTCATATGACAAGTTCGATCACACAAGTGGACTACACAAGTGGACCGCACATAGAGGTGTCTAGAGAAGAAGTGAAACAAATGCTCCTGGAGCTAAGTAAGAACAAAGCAGTTGGCCCAGATGAAGTTTCACCATGGGTTCTGAGAGAATGTGCACCTGAGCTCAGAATTCAACTTCAGCTGATTTTTCAGGCATCACTGTGTACAGGAGTCGTAGCAGATGTATGGAAAAAGGCTAACATAGTTCCAATCTACAAAAGTGGCAGCAGGGAAGACCCCTTCAGTTATAGACCTGTATCATCAGGCTGCGAGCAGCCGCGTCCAACAGCCTGGTTGATCAGTCCAGCAACCAGGAGGCCTGGTCGACGACCAGGCCGCGGGGACGCTAAGCCCCGGAAGCACCTCAAGGTAACCTCAAGGTAAGGTAAGGTGATACATGTGTCAGTAATGTGTCCACAATAAATGTTTATTGTCGCAATATTACCTGTTAAAAATTCACTAAAATTACAATATGTAGTTTCACACACTATTTACACAGTAATACACTGTATTACACTCTCAGTACTTCAGAAGTGAGTAATAATCAACGAAGTAGTCCATGGTACACAGTGCGACTTCACTCTCGTTGCACCAGGTACAGATAAATTTTTGTTTCCTGTTTCTTCATTCTGTGTGCTTGCAAATAACGCACTCACGTACACCCTTGACTTTAGTACTTGTAGGTTATATGTAGCCAAGCTTGTAAAGCATAAGGTAGTATTGAAAAGATTATAGGGAAAGATCAATTTGTAAGGTAGTCTTGAAAAGATCGCTTTGTATGGTCCTACACAGGAAGTGATTTAGCTTGCCTCAAAGAGGCAAGTTAGGAAGAGATTCAGGTATTCTTGAAAATATCTATGGAAAACACCCCCCATGGAAGCCGCTAACACTGTTTCTCTATGCTACTTGTATCAGATGCATCATCACTGAATGCAGAAAATGATTCATCTATGTATCATCTAAATAAATTGGAGATAGCATAGGATTGCAAGGGTGACGCTCAGAGCTACAACTGGATACGCTTGCTGTATCATCCTCATAGGTGCTGTATTACTTACATCCGACCATTGTGTTAGGTCCTTATTGCACCTAGCTTCACCAATATTATGATCCTTATGTTCTTCAAACAATAAGATTTGAATTTCACCGACAGAGCGTTATCTTTCAACACAGCGCAGACAGGTGTTTGGGAGCCAGAGGCGCGTGCGCCACCCATGGTTGCTCATTCAGTGCTAACCCAGTCAGCAGCCCTAGAGCATTCTGGGAATTTTTTCCAAGATGGCTGCCTCACACTGGAGGTTCTAAGAGTCCATTTCATACACAACCAACCTCGTACATATTTAGAATTGGTACTGAAAAATCAAAAAGAGTTTTCTCAGTTGGCGCAGTTTCCCGCCAACCGAGAATACTCGGTTGGCGCAGTTAAGTGGTTAAATTCATGAATTGACTGTATTGCCCTACAGTAATTTGCTCTACTGACAATTTTTTTTAAATAAATTGTGTAAATTCATTATCAGGGCTATCAGAGCCAAACTAATTTTCTCTTAAATTCTTTAACACTAAAATTTACTAGACACTTTTAGATAGCTGTAGGAATGTAATCTCAAGAATACACAAGGGCTCACTGTTCATTATAATATTCCGAAGAAAGCAAACAAATGGTCATAATCAAATATATTTTTAAACTTTAAATTTTACAAACAAATCTGAACATACCTTTTACAAAAATGCTTGCCGAGCCAAATATATCAGGTGTTATAAAGCATTCTACAACCCCAGAATCTTGAAGTGTAGCATGTTTAACTTTAAGAACATGTGCAGTGGTATGCTGTTGTCCACGGCTCTGCTGTTGACTGCTCGTTGAATACCGTGAACCAGGATTTAGATTAGCGGGCTCCCTGTTGTGGAAGAACAATACCTGCAACAATATTATCAACTTTATATCAATAATACTCATACAACATCTTTCAAAAAGTCAGTTACAATAGGTGTATCACATTAGTGGTAAAGTTTATAAAGCAGGCTACAAAATAAATAAAATTTGTTTATATGTAAAGTACCTTTCTGGGTAAGCCTCCTCAGTGGCTCCCCCAGCACTAATGCACTGACACCCCAGGGCTAATACCATCTCACTAGCTGGGAAAGCCCCACTAAAAGAATGAAAGAGGGGTAAAAAAATAAAAGCAAGAAATGTTTGGTATGAACAACGTTCTAATAAAAACTCAAATGATCCTGTTCCACCAACAGATGGCAATGTTAGTTAACCAGGGATTTGGAACCATCCAGCCCTTCAATCTCTTGCCTGGCGCTAAGTTTTAAAACCAGGATTTTTTGCCCTTTTTTATAGTACAATACAGTGCTGGATTTCATGCTTAATTTTGCTCTCAATAAACATATTTGCCAGCAACCTTGCATATCTCGTGGTCTTTTAGCAAACCTTAGCTGTGCTGTCAGGGTTATCATCCTTGACATGCTGTTTAGCAAAGGATGTCTGTGAACAGTTACTTTCTCTGAGGCAGTGAAAGACTCCTCTTGAGTCTTTTCATAGGTCAGGTGATGCCTTGAGACTTGGTCATCAAGCAAGACCTGCAGAAGGGAGTGATATCATTAGAAGTAATTTTACTATGGCATTTTGGGTTCTGCTCATTCAGGTGTGGGGTCCAGTCCTGTTCGCTAGGTTGTACTTAAGAAATGGAGCTTAGCATCATGCATTTTTTGTTGATGCAGCATCATAGCCTGTAAAGTCAGCTCAAATGTGTCATAATTTAATTGAAGGGAGGTCTGGGTGGATTTTCAGTCTTATGTGTTGTGCGGGGGAAGGGGAATCATTTGGGAAGGATATTTTAAAGCTACGCTGAGTGTCACGTACCCCATCTGCTGGGATGCATAAAACAGGGAAATGAAGGGGAATGATCATCATTGCTACTGTTGTTGTTTTTTCAATGACCCATAACTGTGATTTGTCACTGAATAGGTGGGTATTGGTGGGCTTCCTAGCTGCTTCACCTATTCCTACAGGTACTACACATAACTAAGGTTAACCAGTGTGTTGCTCAGGGCTAATTAGCATTTTGCACCCACAGGCACATACAAAAAAAAAAAATTCTTCTAAACCTGTTAGTTTGTGTCTTCTGATCATGGAAAAAAAAATAATAAAATTGTAAGTGGCATATATTGCCCGCTACAGTTCGGGGAAGTCTGGCAAAAAACAGGCTCTGACTCAGCGTGTGTCCCAGGTGGTCTGTTCCTCCTCAGCTGTCAGGCAAGAGTGGCCACAAAGAGATAATTACCTAATTATTTAAATGTCTCTGATTGATTTTTCGTAGTTTTTTTGCTGTAATATTATTCAATAGTGTGTAGTGTGATATATTTATATAATAAAATGTGTGAATCATCACTGTACTCAAAAGTATGGTGTGCATATTGTTGATTCAATTATGTTCATCAAACAGTGAACAAATACTTTTTCGGTTATTACACTATATACACAGGTTATATATAAGTACAGTATCTGCATGTTTTGTTCACCATAACGAATCACTAAGTTGGTATTATGAGTCAAAAAGCAACAAGGAGTGACCGCCACACACCAGCCAGCAACTCACTGCCACTCACTCCCTCAACACCTCACTCTCCCACATCCTCCTCCCAGCAGCGACCGACACAAGGCCCCCAGAGGACAAACCCATCAATCGCGAGAGAGGCGGAAGGGGCCTCCCTGAAGGAACCAAAAGAGTCGCCGAAGCCAAACCCGACCAGGTGAGTAGACTAGCATGGCAAAGTTGAGACTCCCGCACAACCGCTCAAGGAACTGCTGAGTGACTCTGGACCCTCTCAGAAACAGCCAACGGCGGGACAGCAGCCGCAGCAACGCCTCTGGAGGGAGAGACAAGGAAGCGGTCCGAGAGTCCAAAACAAGACCCAGCCAGGTCCAAACCTGGGATGAACCTTAACTTCGGAAATAAAGGAGCTCCGGAAATAACGACTAGGGTACAGCCCCATGTAGGCCGTTAAATTGAGTGGATACTGTACACCTTCAGGGATGCACTTCACCTAATTTTGTGTGAAAAAGTAGCAAGGAAAAAATATATATCTAAGAAATAAAAAGAAAACAAATATCTTCAGTAGTTACCTGTCCATTCCAGTTAGAGACAGTGCAGGTTACAGTAAATTCTCCTCCTACAACAGCTGGTGACACCACAAGCGACTCCACCTGAGGCTGGGGGGCTTAGGGAAAATACATAAAATTTATCCAAAGTAAAATCTTTCAAGCAATTTTAAGTATTTAAAAATATCTGAAATAAGATAAAGAAAAAATAATAAATTTGTGTAAAATATTCATCACATATTGAATACAGTTTTTTTTTTTTAGATATATTCAAGAGTTGTTACATTCTTGTACAGCCACTAGTATGCGTAGTGTTTCAGGCAAGTCACTGGAATACAACCCCCACGAAGAATCGTTTTTACAGCCGAGTACACATTTTACTGTTGAGTTGAACAGAGGCTACAGTTAAGGATTTGCGCCCAGTAAATCCTCCCCGGCCAGGATACGAACCCATGACAAAGCGCTCCCGGAACGCCAGGTGAGTGTCTTACCACCACATCATGCAGACTGGTGTCTCCGTGGCCGGAGATGACATTTGTACAATAAATATAGAGGAACATAAGGCAAAATTTTGAGTTTAATATTCTGACACATATAAAAGAAATAGGAAATATGCTGTATGCTATTCAGTTGCCTATATATACACAGTAATGAATCAATATATAAAATATATCATGGACCAATATGTAATGAAATGCCCTTTTCTGGAGGGCCCTCAGTAGCACCTCAAGCTAAGTGCCGGTCAAGACAAATCTTAGGAAGATGCAGCAGGCATTCAAGACGCACCCCTTGCCTGCTGGGAGCTAAGATCAGAATCTGGCTCTCTACAAGGCTTTGGAAAAAAAGATCAACCCAAAACCCCCCAAAAAATCCCACCAGAAAGTATAACTGCAATAAAACAAGCTACTACTTTGGGAATATTAGATACCAAAAGGTAACAAGGCAAAATTGTTAACACTAGGGGGCAAACATCTTAAATGTCATTTATTTATTTATGTCTAAGAAGGTACAAATAACCAACAAGAACCAACCAATAAGAAGGGAAATAACCAACAACAGGTCAGAGAACTTTTGAGATTCTGTGACAAATTCTCGCTCAATCAACAGATTACAGAACCAACTAGGAACGAAAAAACACTAGACTTGTTATTCACAAACAATGATGAACTAATCAGAGACATAACAATCTCAGATACTTCATACTCAGACCATAAGCTCATTGAAGTGCGAACTAGCATAAATAATGGTAGTAGGTCTAAGAGACCCAACAAGCGAGAAGGAATATTCAATCAATTCAATTTCAACAATAAGAGGATTGACTGGGAAAAAATAAATGTAGACCTTGCAACCATTCAATGGGAGACGGTCTTAAGCAACAAAACTCCCACACAGGGAATAGCTCAACTGACAGCTGAAGCTTACAAGGTCTGCTTGAAGCACATGCCTGTGAGGAGGGGCAGAAAGAGGACCACTCTAGAAAGAGAACGCAGACGACTGTACAGGAGAAGGAAAAAAATAACGGAAATGCTTCGGCAGACACAACTATCACAAGCAAGGAAAATAAGCCTAAGCAGGGAGATCGAAGAAATAGAACAAACGTTGAAGCGATCATATGAGTCTGAGGAAATGGAATTGGAACAGAGAGCTATATAAGAGATAAGGAAAAATCCAAAATATTTTTCACATACGCAAAATCAAAATCCAAAACCTCGACCAGTATTGGACCGTTAATTACAAATGAAGGTACGTACACAGAGGACAACAAAGAGATTAGTGAAATTCTAAGAAGCCAGTATGAGGCTATGTTTAGCACACCAATAAACAACATGAAAGTTGATGACCCAGACAGCTTCTTTATGAATGACATTCAAGCTGCAGATAATATAATGGATATTACCACAAACTCAGAAGACTTTGAAAGAGAAATTGACAATATGCCTATGCACTCACCTCCTGGGCCTGACTCATGGAATTCAATATTCATAAAGAAATGTAAAGTACCAGTAGCGAGAGCACTCAGCATAATATGGAGAAAGAGCCTGGATACAGGGGAGATACTAGCAGCACTTAAATCTGCAGATATAGCTACGTTGCACAAGGGGGGGGGGGAGTAAAGCATTGGCAAAAATTATAGGCCAGTTGTACTAACATCACACACAATAAACGTGTTTGAAAGAGTGATTAGGAACCAAATTTCTAGTTTTATGGAAAACAATGAATTGCACAATCCAGGACAACATGGATTTAGAGCGGGAAGATCCTGTCTGTCACAGTTACTCAACCACTATGACAAAATCACAGAAGCCCTAGAAGAAAAGCAAAATGCAGATGTTGTATACACAGACTTTGCAAAGGCGTTCGACAAATGTGACCATGGGGTGATAGCTCACAAAATGAGGTCAATGGGAAAAACTGGAAAAGTAGGACGCTGGATACTCAATTTCCTGTCGAACAGAACACAAAGAGTAACAGTCAATCAGATAAAAATGAGTCCAAGCGATGTTAAAAGCTCTGTACCTCAAGGTACAGTCCTCGCACTGCTACTGTTCCTTATTCTCATATCTGATATAGACAAAAATACACGTCACAGCTTCATGTCGTCCTTTGCAGATGACACAAAAATCAGCATGAAAATTACCTCTGCTGAAGACACTGAAAATCTACAAGCAGATGTCAACAAAGTTTTCGATTGGGCAGCAGAAAATAACATGATGTTTAACAGTGATAAATTTCAGGTACCCAGGTACGGCAAAAATGAGGATATGAAACATAATACAGGGTACAAAACACAATCGAATCTTTCCAAAGTAGAAAAACAGCATGTCAAGGATTTGGGAATAATGATGTCCGATGATCTAACGTTTAGGGAGCATAACCAAGCAAATATTGTGTCAGCCAGAAAAATGATCGGATGGGTTACGAGAACTTTCAAATCCAGGGATCCCATCACAATGGTTGTACTCTTCAAGTCACTTGTGTTGTCCTGTCTCGAGTACTGCTCAGTACTCACTTCCCCCTTCAGAGCAGGAGAGATTGCTGAAATAGAGGGAATACAGAGAACATATATGGCACGCATAGATGAGATAAAACACCTAAATTATTGGGATCATCTCAAAGCTCTCCAAATGTACTCTCTAGAAAGGAGACGAGAGAGATACCAAATAATATTCACATGGAAAATACTGGAGGGCCAGGTCCCAAACATACACAGTAAAATAACAACGTACTGGAGTGAACGATAAGGAAGAAAATGCAAGATTGAACCAGTGAAGAGCAGAGGTGCCATAAGCACAATCAGAGAGCACTGTATAAACATCAGAAGTCCGCGGTTATTCAACGTCCTCCCAGTGACTATAAGAAATATTGCCGGAACAACCGTGGACATCTTTAAGAGAAAACTGGACTGTTTTCTAAGAGAAGTTCCGGATCAGCCGGGCTGTGGTGGGTATGTGGCCCTGCGGGCCGCTCCAAGCAACAGCCTGGTGGACCACACTCTCACCAGTCGAACCTGGCCTCGGGCCAGGCTTGGGGAGTAGAAGAACTTCCAGAACCCCATCAACCAGGTATCGACCAGGTATCAACCAGGTACATTGGGTTGTGAGAGTACATAGCATTTGAGTTCTTACATTCTTGCAAAGCCACTAACATTCATTGCATTATACGCAGGACCTTAATTTATCAGATAAAAGAAAGAATTTTAACAGATTATAATAATATTATATTAATAATTATTATATATATAATAATAAATATTAAATATATAATAATAATTATTATAATAATATTAGTAGTTATAATTAATGATGTTAATAATCATGTGCCTGAATGCCATCAGGTGGCAGCCCAGGTCACCTGAGGTTCACCATAATGAACCACTAAATTGGTATTGTGAGTCGAAAAGCAACGAGGAGTGACTGCCACACACAGCCAGCCACTCATTACCACTCCCTCAACAACACCTCACTCGCCCACTTTCTCCTCCCACCATCTTGTTTTTTATTTTATTCATTATATACAGACATTATATATAAGTATCTACATGTTTTGTTCAACACAACTGTACAACTAAGCTGATATAGTTACTTCTGGAACTAAGAGACGTCGCTACACACAGCTGGCGGCTGCCTCCCTCACACATTCAAGGTCACACATACTAAGGTCACACGTACTGTTAAGTTTTGCCCCCCAACAATACTGTTTGCAGTGTTATTACACTATATACACACACATTATATATAAGTATCTACATGCTGTATGCACCATAACTGTACACCTAAGCTTGTAGGGTGCCCAAAGAGCATAGTGGCCACCCTCTACACAGCTAGACAAGTCATGCAGACGACGCCACCTCCGTTACCCAAATGGCTCCTCCTACCATAATCCTTTTATTGTTATTACACTAATACACACTTTATATATAAGTATGCACATTTGTGTTCACCATAGAGAACCACTGAGCTGGTATGGTGAATGCAGACAATAACAGGTGGCCACACAGTCAGTATTTGTGACAGGTTTGCCTTAAAGCAGCAAATAGTAGAACCTGTCACAGCAAATAGGAAGGAAAACATGTTGGACCTCATTTTCACCAATATTGATGAATTGATCAGGAACATAATGATTACAAATACCTATTACTCAGATCACAACTTATTTGAAGTTCTGATAAATGCTATGTCAGAAGTTCTGACAAATACTGATGCTATCTCCTTCCATCCCTCAGCATCACTCCTCCCACAGCGCTAATTATCACAACAATCCTGCTATTATCACAATCCTGGTCACTTTTATCACAGTCAGGGGTCATCTGTAATACTGTCATTGCTAAATAATAACAGTTATATATTTATTTTGATATTTTTCGGTGATGCTGTGGTCACAAGCTGAAGAGCACTGCTGTTCGCTCATGCTGCGTGCGCCAGCCTTGGTTGCTCCAACAGTACTGTGGCTCTCACACCGGAGAATATTCCCTATGATTTTTTTTTTTTAATGGCATCTGTTTACAAGAGCCCTGAGGAAGCTAACGTGAACCCTGTGTAGCCGCGGGCCATTTGAATTGTGCCTGGCACCCTGTGGCGTATATATAAGCCATGCGCACTGTGGGATATGTTACTCATGGCATATATATACGCCATGCACAGTTTAAGGGTTAATACACTGAAATATACTGTAGAGCTCTTTACTTACTTCTCAGTTTAAGAACTGTATTAGTTTGGATATCATGATCATATAAGGCTGCCCGACAATAATATGAGCCTTCATCCGTAGTCGTGAACCCTGGGATGAACAGCATGGCACTCAGTCTACCAAACTGTAAAGTAATAGTAAATTTAAAATATTATTTAACTAGAGACTAAATTGACTGCTTTAGGTAAATTGAAGGAGGTATCTCTATTCCATACAACAAATTATTTAATGAAACATTCAATTCATGAGGCATGATGCAATCTTTAATAAATTTATGCATGCATTATATGAGTATAGTACTGGAAGTTTTAAATACTGAACTTATATTATCATGTTAAAACTGAATTGGTTTAATTTTCTGCATTTATGTAGGACACATTCTTAAAAATATTAACAATACATTGAAAGTTGTAAAAAACTAGACATAAAAAATGTTGAGTTTAGTGTGATGGAATGCCCCTTCCTGGAGTATCCTTTTGGTAGATCTCATCTGGCATCAAGAGGATACGTAGAATACTGAAAATGCTAAGTTCCCAGTGAAAATCTCAGCACACCGTGGGCAATCACTATCTTTGCATGTCTATTCTTCATAGATGGTGAGTTCATGGGGATAAAAAATCAACCACCTGCCAAGGTAACATGACAAGAAAGGAACCACCTAAAAATGTAAATATGAGAAATGTTTGGAAATCTTCATTTGCCAAATAACTCTGAGTTAGAGAAAGAAAACCTTGGTGTATAAGGGCAATGTCATTACATTGGCCACCCATACCACTCAATTCTTGGTTTTATCTTTTTTTGGAGAGTATAAGTTTGAAGGCTAGGTTCCTTCTAATAATGGACAGTGGTAATCAGTTCAAAATGGTTCCCACCTTTATTAGGTGCCCAGAGGGTTTGTTCCTCAGTTGTAGTGACAAGTGTATGTAACGGTAACCTCCTCTATTTTCTGCCAGCTGTGAGTTACAGCTCACAGCAAAGGCCTGGTCGAGGTCCCGGCCGTGGGGGAACTGAGTTCCCAAAATTATTGCAAGGTAATCGCAAGGTACCCTCTTTTCATTATGGCTCTATACTTCTTCCAGATTGGTTCATCCACCACAAAAATGTAAACATGACTAAACCTTAACCACTGCACTGCTCTGGCTCCAAATATGGAACAACCCTGGTACGCAGAAAATAAATTTTTTCCCAAAAACGTTTCGCTCTTCTTATATTGTTAAATACCCTACACTGATCACATATATGTTGAAATAAAATCAAAATTGTACTTACTTTGGCCTAAGTGGGAGGTCCAGAAAAAGCCCCTAAGTGCATGCAGCCCTGGTACTGATGAGGAACACCTGGCCATCGCACAACACAACACATGGCAGTGAACGCCACACAAGGCAAACACCGCCTAGGAAACTGAGGCCAGAGAAACGTCTATCCCGGTTGACATTAGCTTACAAACTGATGCTAGGCAGCTGGCACGGTGAGGTGTGGGACTCCCCCCCTCCCCCTCTTGGGGTGGGGAGGGCTGTGCCGACGATCAGCGCGGCAGTAAAGTGTGATGTTTGCTTGTTTCCTTGGGATTGTAGGGAGTTTCTACCTCTCTGTTTGTTTTTTTGTTTTAGTTTTTTACCATGTGGGGTTTGTTTTGTTATGCCTACCAGGAAGCTCCAGGAAGCCGTAGGGGCTCCCCACAGAAAAGAGACGTTGACAAGAGTAAGCGCCAGAGGCAGTCTACTTCGATATTTTTACCTAATTATTTCAATTTCTCTGATTGATTTTTCCTTAATTTTTTTTGCAGTAATATAGTGTGATATATTTATTAAATAAAATGAATGAATTATCGCTGTACTCAAAATTATGGTAAGCATATTATTGATTCAATTATTATGTTAATAAAACAATAAACAAATATTTTTGTGGTCATTACACTATATACATGGGTTATATATAAGTATCTGCATGTTTTGTTCACAATAACGAACCACTAAGTTGATATTATTAGTCAAAAAGCAACGAGGAGTGGTCACCTCACACAGCCAGCCAGTCACTCACCGCCACTCCCTCCCTCAAAAACACCTCACTCGCCAACAGGTAACCACACAGATTCGGCAGACGACACTACAGCCCTCCCATCCTCAACATTACTCCTCCCACAGCACAGCGCAAATTATCACATCAATCCTGCTACTATCAGAATCCTGGTCATTTTTATCAGAGTCAGGGATCTTCTGTAATACTATCATTACTAAATAATACCAGTTACATTTATTTTGACATTATTAGGCGATGCTGTGGTCGCAAGCTGAACAGCAGTGCTGTGAGCTCATGCTGCATGCGCCAGCCTTGGTGACTCACTTGGTACTGAGGCCCCTCATACCTTGGAATGTTGCGATTTAAAAAAAAAATTATTAAAATTTAAAAAAAATTATTTAACGATTTAAAAAAAATGGTGTCTGTTTACAAGAAATCTGAGGAAGGTGACGTGAACCCTGTGTATCTGTGGGCCGTTTAAATCTTGCGTAGTACTCCAAAATGTCATATGACATGATGCGCACCTTTGCGAATGTTACTCAACACGTCATATGATGTGTTGCGCAGTTTAAGGGTTAATGCAGAGCAGCGCAGTGGTTATGGTATCTTTTCTAAGATATCTAATTAAAAGTTAATGTAATAAGAAAACATTTAGAGAGCATATACTATGAATTTGATACACTACAGTACTCAAATTCATATGATAGACACTCACCACTATTGGCTCTGGGATACCTTTCCTATACCATCCAACCATAGTTTCAGATGAACCAGCAACTGAGCAATTGAGGTACACATCAGCTCCTTCATCCTCATATACTTCTTTTGGGGGAAGATTTATGAATTCAGGCGGTTCTGTAAGAAAAATAGTATTATTTAATTAGTACCATAATGACAGACACATGGCTAATGGCCATGCACAGGAACCAGAGACTATTCAGCACTCCCTATCCCTAGGAATATATTGATACAGTCGATCCTCCTGTTTTGGTAGTACAGTACAACGTCAATTCCATGTACCCCAATTCAACGAATCTCTGGCTAGTTCGCACAGTTCACACAAATTTCTGGCTAGTTTGACGGGTGGACTGTGAGCTGGAGGAGGCAGGAGTCACACTGCAGCAAGCTCCTGGAAATATCGAATTACCTAAGTATTGGGAACAGGTTGAGGGCTACAGAGTGTCCCAGGTTACATAAAGGTTCAGGGAAGTGTAAAAGCAAATAAAATACTATAAAGAAGTAAAAGTAAGTGAAAATAGCTGAGTGGAAAAGTTTGTTTTGGTTCAAGAACAAAAACAAAGATGGCCGCCGCCCGGTCCGTCTAATTACCACAAGCTACACAAGCTTCAGAAAGCTTCCTGGCAATACGTTAGTAATGAATAAATATGATATATTTACTCATTATAATGTTGGTGCTGAATGTACAACACGAAAAAACATAATTTTAATCTGAAAAAGTATCTTTTTATAAAGAAATTAGGCGAAAATAAAAAGCTGGTGACGCCAAATCAAGTCGATGATCCAAGCGTCGGTTAGGTTAGGTTAGGTTTGGTTTGGTTAAGTTAGGTTAGGTTAGGTTAGGTTAGGTTAGGTTAGGTTAGGTTAGGTTAGGTCAGCCTAACCTAACATATCATATTTATTCATTACTAACGTATTGCCAGGAAGCTTTCTGAAGCTTGTGTAGCTTGTGGTAATTAGACGGACCCCCGCCGCCACCACCACCACTGGGAATGTAGACACACCAACAGATGATGGTTTCAAAGGATTCTCACCACAAGATATAAGGAAAGGAGGTGTTCTTGGCAGGTTAGAGATAATTGAGGACATGCAAAAGAAGTATGAAGAAAAAGTGCTTAAATTGGAAGAGGACAATGGAGCACTTAGGAGTGAGCTTTGCACTCTAAAAGGGAGTATTCTTCAGCAAGGTAAGATTATTACTGCATTAACGGACAAGGTAACAAATCAGGAGGAACAAATCAAGGAACTAGTGAAACAAAATGAGGCATGGAAAGTGAAGTGTGGTGACTTTGAAGAAATAAACAAGAAAATAGACTCATATGGTGAACAACTCCAAGCAAGCCTAAGGGCTAACATAGAGTTAGGTAAGGATCCCCAACTGGAAACTTCACTGACAACTCACATAGAGGAGGTGAATAAAGAACTAGAAAAGTATAAAGAAGAAATAAAAGCGACATATGCTCAAGTTGTAAAAGAGAATGAGACTATCAAAGAAGTGTGTTCGGAAGTCAAAACCAGAAATGACCAACAAGAAGCAGAAATTAGGCAAGTAATTAGGAAAGAACTGGTTACCAACAGTAAACTGGTACAAAACACTGCAGATAGAACTAAGTCCATAATCATTTTTGGATGTTTAGAGAAGGAAATTTCATCTAGGGTGGACCGAGCGGCAGAAGAGATGAAAATCATAGAGAAAATAGTAGGTTTAGGAGAAGGCTCAAAGGAAAATGTCAGTGATTTTAGAAGAATAGGAAAATATGAGAAAGAAAAGAACCGCCCCTTAAGGGTGACGTTTAATGGAGTGAAAAACATGATGGATGTGCTAAGAAATGCCAGGAAATTGCAGAGTGATGAGGTTGGCAAACTTTGGTCAATAAGACAAGACCTCTCCAAGGAAGACAGAGAAAAGCTGAAAATGAACCTAATTGAGGCAAAACGTCTAAATGGAGAGAGAAATGAAGAAGACAGAAATTCTTTTTTCTACAAAGTGACAGGGACTGGAAAGCTAGTGAAATGGTACATAAAAACAAAGCAACAAGATCAGTAGTGGAAGGGGGAGTAAAGAGCAAAGGAAAAGGGAACATGTTCCTGAAAATTGTATATACCAACATAGATGGAGTGAGGTCAAAAACTTTGGAGTTGCAAGATATAATCCAGCTTAGGGTCCCAGATATTGTTGCATTATCAGAGACGAAACTTGAAGGAAATATAATAAATGAAGTCATATTCCCAAGAGGCTATTCAGTTTGGAGACGGGACAGGAAAACTAAGAAGGGAGGAGGAGTGGCTGTACTGGTGAAAAAGCACCTGAAGGTAAGAGAGTTAACATTTGAAAACCCTCGAGATATTGACATAATGGCATTGCAGGTCTGGAATCAGGATGATAAGCTGATAATTGTAAATGCCTACAGCCCACCAGCAAGCAACACATGGACAAAGGAAGAACTAGATGACAAACGAGAGGGCCTCATAATGGTCATGAGAGATATTATTGCACAAGCAGATTAAGATAAATCACGACTGTTGATACTGGGGGCTTCAACTTTAAAGCATTAGACTGGGAGGCCTATGAAGCAAGAACGGAGGACTTTTGGACATGCAGATTTGTGAACCTCATTCTGGAGACATTCTTGTATCAACACATAAAGCAGGCCACAAGAATGAGGGAAGGAGATGTACCGTCAGTACTGGATCTAGTATTCACCAGGAAAGAAGAAGAGATATTTGACATCCAGTACCTTCCTCCCTTGGGGAAGAGTGATCACATCCTGTTAGACATTGATTATGCTTTAAGATATCATCTAGAAGAAAATGGGGACATTGAAACAGTTGATAAACTCGATTTAAGGAGAGGACACTATGGGGAACTTCGAAATTTTTTTAATGAGTGTAATTGGACAGAATTGTTGCTAGGCAGGGAAGTAAATGAAATGTATGCCAAATTTTTACAAATATACGAGGAAGGCACACAAACATTCATACCAAAACAGAGATGCAGGGCCAGAAAACAGGATTGGTTCGACAGAAATTGTGAGAGGGCAAGAGACCAAAAGACACAAAAATGGAATCAGTATAGGAAGAGGCCAAACCCCCAAACATACCAGCGATACAAAGATGCGAGAAACAACTATACGGCAGTAAGGAGAGAGGCAGAAAGAAATTTTGAAAAAGGGATAGCGGATAAATGTAAAACAGAACCGGGCCTATTCTACAAATTCATAAATAACAAATTGCAGGTAAAGGATAATATCCAGAGGTTGAAAATGGGAAACAGATTCATGGAAAATGAAAAGGAAATGTGTGAAACATTAAATGAAAAGTTCCAAAGTGTGTTTGTACAAAATGAAATCTTTAGAGAACCAGACACAGTAAGAATTCCAGAGAACAACATAGAGCAGATAGAGGTGTCTAGAGATGAAATGGAAAATATGCTAAAGGAGCTCAGTAAGAACAAAGCAGCTGGCCCAGATGGCATTTCACCAAGGGTTCTGAGAGAATGTGCATCTGAGCTCAGCTTTCCACTTCACCTGATCTTTCAGGCATCCCTGTGTACAGGAATCGTAGCAGACGTGTGGAAACAGGCTAACATAGTTCCAATCTACAAAAGTGGCAGCAGGGAAGACCCCCTCAATTATAGACCTGTATCATTGACAAGTGTAATAGTGAAAGTATTGGAAAAACTAATCAAAACTAAATGGGTAGAACACCTGGAGAGAAATGATATAATATCAGACAGACAGTATGGTTTTCGATCTGGAAGATCCTGTGTATCGAATTTACTCAGTTTCTATGATCGAGCCACAGAGATATTACAGGAAAGAGATGGTTGGGTTGACAGCATCTATCTGGACCTAAAAAAGGCTTTTGACAGAGTTCCACATAAGAGGTTGTTCTGGAAACTGGAAAATATTGGAGGGGTGACAGGTAAGCTTCTAACATGGATGAAAAATTTTCTGACTGATAGAAAAATGAGAGCAGTAATCAGAGGCAATGTATCGGAATGGAGAAATGCCACAAGTGGAGTACCACAGGGTTCAGTTCTTGCACCAGTGATGTTTATTGTCTACATAAATGATCTACCAGTTGGTATACAGAACTATATGAACATGTTTGCTGATGATGCTAAGATAATAGGAAGGATAAGAAATTTAGATGATTGTCATGCCCTTCAAGAAGACCTGGACAAAATAAGTACTGTATATGGAGCACCACTTGGCAAATGGAATTTAATGTTAATAAATGCCATGTTATGGAATGTGGAATAGGAGAACATAGACCCCACACAACCTATATATTATGTGAGAAATCTTTAAAGAATTCTGATAAAGAAAGAGATCTAGGGGTGGTTCTAGATAGAAAACTATCACCTGAGGACCACATAAAGAATATTGTGCAAGGAGCCTATGCTATGCTTTCTAACTTCAGAATTGCTTTTAAATACATGGATGGCGATATACTAAAGAAATTGTTCATGACTTTTGTTAGGCCAAAGCTAGAATATGCAGCTGTTGTGTGGTGCCCATATCTTAAGAAGCACATCAACAAACTGGAAAAGGTGCAAAGACATGCTACTAAGTAGCTCCCAGAACTGAAGGGCAAGAGCTACGAGGAGAGGTTAGAAGCATTAAATATGCCAAAACTAGAAGACAGAAGAAAAAGAGGTGATATGATCACTACGTACAAAATAGTAACAGGAATTGATAAAATCGACAGGGAAGATTTCCCGTGACCTGGAACTTCAAGAACAAGGGTCATAGATTTAAACTAGCTAAACACAGATGCCGAAGAAATATAAGAAAATTCACCTTCGCAAATAGAGTGGTAGACGGTTGGAACAAGTTAAGTGAGAAGGTGGTGGAGGCCAAGACCGTCAGTAGTTTCAAAGCGTTATATGACAAAGAGTGCTGGGAAGACGGGACACCACGAGCATAGCTCTCATCCTGTAACTACACTTAGGTAATTACACTTAGGTAATTACACTTAGGTAATTACACTTTTCAGGCCAAATTTACTCACCCGGTTCGATAAACAATGGTTCGCCGAAGTGGGGGATGTTCGGATTTGCTTATGATGTTGAGACAGAGTTTACAGACTGGTGGAAAACTTTCCTATTCTATCACAGATTACAATTAATAATTCCCTCATATGACAAGTTCGATCACAGAGGTGGACCACACAAGTGGACCACACAAGTGGACTGCATAAGTGGTCTACAAGCCTTAGACGTTGGAACAGAGTTCATAGAGTGATGGAAAACTTTTTCATTCTATCACAGATTTCATTCTATCATACAATCAATAATTCCTTCATAAGACAAGTTGGATCACAAAAGTAGCCCACACAACTAGTGAACCATATGAACCAAACACCAGCCAGAATGGTCCACACAACAAGTGAAGCATATTAACCAAACTCCAGCCAGAGTGGTCCACACAAGTGAACGACTGAATTTCCATGATTTTCGTTCACTAATTTGTGGCACACGTATCTTTGTAAATTAATTTAAAGGCTGAAGCATGATTAGCTAGCTACATGTGGTAAAATTTCCTTATAGACATTGTGATGAAACAAGATGAGTGAGGGTGGACAGATAAGGGAATACTGTACTGTAAACCTCACTTGGTTTTCCTTCGTCTGTGTCATCATAGTTCAGTGACCCATGACTTTGAAAGTTTTAGATCAATAAATCATTTCTAAAACCAGTGTTTTAATAGCTTTTTATTATCCTAATTAAACTAAACTAAACTAAATAACTAAATAAAACCGAAAATATACAGTAATATGATAGACATCTGCTATTTGAGAAATTATTTATGTTATTGAAACATAAATTTGAGCCGATTCTTCCTGCCGAGGCTTCTAAGTCCCACCAGCAGGCCCCCTTCTTATCAGCCTTTCCTCTGGACTGGACTTTTCTTCAGGGGTAGAAGGTATGGAGGACTGCTCTGCCCCGGGTCCCAACTTGGGGGATCTCAGGACTGGGGAAGAGTCAACCTGGGGACCTTGAGCCCTCCTCCTTTGACCCCTCTTGGGTGCTTGTGCCTTCCTTGCTGGCTTGTTGCTGTAGGGGGAGGGGTTTTCTTACTCCCATTCCCTGTACGAGTATGATTTTGGTTCGGCTCCACCCCTGGTTTGTTTCTGGGCCCCGTTGGTTACCTCGGCTTGGTCTTTCCATAGGTTTTCTGCTTCTCGTATCTCCTCGTGTGAGGTTCGGGAGGCTTCTTGTGGCATACCTCCTGTGAGACTCGGATTCTGCCTCTGTCATGGATATGTCCACTTTTGAGTTGGGTTCCTCTTCCCTGTTTTGGGTGCACTTAGAGGTTCGGGAGTCTTCCTTGGTGACAGACTGCCCTTTCTTTTCATTGGGGGCATGGCTTGGGTTTTGTCAGTCCTGCACGCTAGAGTGGTAAGAAACGTCTACCATCCTGCAGGTTTACCTGGGGGTGGGGGGGGAGTTTGAGCGCCTTAATATGTTCTTGTTCGCCCCTGTGCTTTCTCGGGATGTTGGCTTTGTGCAGCTGCATGTGCAGGTTCCTTCCCTCTCGGTATCTTTGGTTGCAGAGGATTTGCGCACCCATGGGCATTTGGCTTTGGTCTTACAATTCTTTTCCCTTCTCGAGCTGTCTTCAGCCTGGCTTGAGGAGGATATGGAGGCGTTGAGTGCTGGGCCTTCATCTGGGGTGTTGTCCTTGGCAGCTAAGGCATCAGCTGCATTGTTGAAGCTCTTTGTGCCTATCCTGAAGGAGGCTGTGTCTCTGTTCTTTGCTTCTCACCTCGCGTGCCGTCAGGCTGTGCTCATCCTTTCTTTGGAATCTGCTTGGGCCCTGGTCTTAAGTACTAATTTCCATTTTGTTCATTGCTGTTTGCTAAGGCGCGGTCACGCAGTTTTTGCAGGTGGCTTTGTCTAGTTGTCGCCCTATGTCAAACTTGTTGGTTCTTTGGGGCGGCCATTCCTGGCCTTTTCAGAAGGGTCATACCAGGGCTCGGGGTTCCGCTGGTCGAGGTGGGTAATTGGTGCCAGCTTCTGAGCAAACGTTGCCTTCGAAGCCGTCAATGTCTTGGTCGATGCGGTGATCGCTCTGTTCAGTGCTCAGCTTCTTGCAAGGAGCATCGGCCCTTTTGCAGTTCACCCAGTTGATGGGGCGATGGGGGAGGAGGCTTGCTCCGTTTGCTCGCGCTTGGTCCCACAATTCGTGGGCGTTTTCGGTCGTGTTATCAGGCTTGTGGTGGCGTTCGGTGGCTCCTCCTCCTTCAGGGTGTTCAGGGCTGGTGGGGCAGGCTTCTTCTCCTGCATTTCGTCAGGTCATCTTGGAGTGGGTGCATTTAAGCATATTTGACACAACCCAGTTCCTCAGGTGGGTTTCCCACCTGTTTCCAGTGCCAAAACGGGACTGCGGATCTGTGGTTCATTCTGGATGTCCCATCTGAACCCCTGGATTCCTTGTCCCTCCTTTCAGATGACTACTCTGTCTCAAGTCCAGCTTCTGTTGGAGCCGATAGCTCCAAGGAGCATCTGGGGCTCGCTCGAAAAATGGCGTTTCATTACATTCAAATCTGTTTTTTTATGATGTTAACACAAGATCTAGAATGATGTATCCTCAGGTGGGTTCTATCACATGCTGTATGAGAAGGTACAAAATGTGTGGTACAGTATTAAAACATAAGACAAGAGTAAAAAGGACATAATTTCCCACATACCTGCAACTTCCAGAAAAAGTGTGCCACTACCAAGAGAAGCACCACTGGGATGTAACACTTCACAGGACCAGAGACCTTCTTGTTCCTTTGCAAGCAAGTAGAAGCCCAGAGTGAATATAGTGTGGGGACCAGTTTCCTCTTCAATGTCAGTAATGGCAATATTTACTAGATGATTAGACGTAGACATTTTCGTACGATTTTGAATAGATACTTGTGGCTCATCAAAGTGAGAGAAGAGGATTGTCTGTGTGGGATAAAATTAAAATCATCCCATAAGTTATAGGTTCTGATAAATTTTATAAAACAACTTACTCTTTAGAACTTTCAACATACTTATAATAAACTTTTAATAAACAATAAAAATGCATGTTGTTGAACTGCATGAAATAGGTATTCCTATGCCATCATATCTCACTATGTGAGCAGGCTCATTTACCTGAAGGCCATCATCTCTATTGACCTTGATTTGAACAGGAAACCAGTGGCTTATCAAGGATTCCCCCATTATTCACAAGAAATTTGTCCAGCTGAATTTTGAACCGAAGCACTGTCATGGCATTTAACCCTTGCACTGCTCACCTATTTTCGGCAAAAACGTCTTGGTGCAATTGACAAGGACATATTTTTGTTATTTTTACAAATGTTCAGGTAAATTTAATGTCAAAATGTTTCCAATGTCAACTATTTCCATTTCAAAACACAAATAGTAATGAAAACATTAAAAAACATTAAAATATAGCCAAATTAAAAAACAAAAAGCACAACTCTCTGAGCGCCTAAAGGCGCTTTGCGCAGTGCAGTGGTTAAGGCTTAAGTGATAGGTAATTCCATGGGTTTATTACTCTACTGGAGAAAAAGATTTAGTTTTCTGTTCTACACTGTAATTACCTAAGTGTAATTACTTAAGAGTAGTTACAGGACAAAAGTTATGCTCGTGGTGTCCCATCTTTCCAGCACTCATTATCATAATGCTTTGAAACTACACTATGGTACTGACAACTAACTACGTACTGATGGTTTTGGCCTCCACTACCTTCTCACTTACCTTGTTCCAACCCTCTGACACACGTCAATATGATACAAATACCACAACAATATACTGTACATATACAATATAGCAAACTGCAGGAAGCAAATTTCATCCTAATAATAATTTGAGAGGGGAAAAATAATAATTGATACATATCATAATTACAGTAAGAATCAAGTAATTAACTGTTTCATAACAGCAGAGACAGAGAAGCCATCCAAGAGTCCCAAACTAGGCCCAGCCAAGTCCAAACCTAAGAAAGAACTAATTGAAACTTCCTCCAATTCAGCAGGAACCTGAACCCAGCAAGCTGGAAAGGACCCAGATCCATGGCCAGCTGACACGCAGACTGACTGGGGCCCACTTCAACCAGTCATCGAGGTAGGCCAACATACGAACCCCCTCTAAGAGATCCAGCTGGATAACAACAACGACCTACACCAACCTGGAAAACACATGGCTGGGGGAGGGGGGGGGGAGCAGACACAAGCCAAACAGGAAAACCCTAAAGTTGTAAGCCTGACTCTCTACAGTGAAATCTAGGCAGTCCCTAAACTTGGGATTTATAGGGACTTGCCAATATGTGTCCTTGAGGTCGAAGGACACCATCTAAGCTCAAGCCTACAATAGCTGGCAAACTTTAGGCTAAAATGGTCATGTGTAGGGTCAGATCAGACAGGGAATGAAACTTGTACAATCTCAAAAGATTGAGGATGTACCGCAGATCTACCGAATCCTGCTTCCTGAAGAAAAGCTGTACAGTCCCCAACCCTACCAGTTGTATCATTTGAGTGTTCTAACAGAGTTCTGATAGACCAGTATTTAGTTAATGTTCATGGCTCCAGTCAGTCATATGTTGCCTTTGGCTATGTCTCCCAGCCTGAATTCTCTTTTTTTTTTGGTCCTAATGTATGATGCCTCTTCTCCTCACTGGTTAGTCCCATTTTTGTTCTCTGTGGTTAGTTAGCATCAGAGAGGCCACATAGGGACTCCCCAAAACCCCACCGTTGAATGTAATGAAATGCTTCTTTCTGGATGAGCCCCAGTAGCTCCTTAATGCTGTCCTTCCCTACCAGGTTAGTCAGTTCACCAGTGGGCTGTTCATCAGCTCCAAAACTGATCAAGGAAGAAGGCAGCTGGGCCATCAACAGGTGGCCCGACTGTGTGAAGAAGCCGGGACGCCTGATGGTGGCATTCGGAACTATGAGTTTTGTGCTAATTTGGAAGGGATGAGGATAGGGATTTGGGATAGGATAGAGGAAAGAAATGGTGCCCAACCCCTTTGACTGGACAGTAGAGCGACAATCTCACTTCTTGCAGGGCAGCATTCAATCCTTGACCATCAGAGTGGTTGGGCACTATTCCTTTCTATCATTCTATCCCAAATTCTTATTCTCATCCCTTCCAAGTGCTATATATTTGTAATGGCTTAGCACTTTATCCTCATAATTACCTTACATTGTTTTGAGTGAATCGTTTGTGGAGTTGTTTGGCAGTTTCATGGCTTCAGTCTTTATTAACCCTCCAGTTGTCTGTTAAGCTTCACTGACTTTCTGGATGCTTTCCTGGTGTGATTAAATTGCCACTCACTCACTCTCTGCACCTCTCTGAGGGAAAGCCAGAGTTTGGTTCTGGTGCTCTGTGGGCTAAACAGTACTCCCAGATCTGAGGTGACCCCTTTGCATGGAGAAATCCCAGCGAGATATCATCAGGGAGCCACCGGGGCTCATCCAGCAAGAGGCATTTAATTATATTCATAAATGGGTTTATATAACAACTATTCAATCACTGTACTGTGTTCATCTGTATATTTTTTTTAGGTAAAAATTATTATTATAACACCCTATAGTGACTTACCACTGTGTTCGGATCAACACCTCGTACATCACAATTTATTGGTGTTGGTGAATCTTTCCAATTTGGCCGGTCAGAAGACTGAAGCTCAAGTGTCACATCAGCCGTATCTGTATGAAATACAGATCAGATAATGGTACAATAATGCTACAAATTTCAACAAAATACTATAGTTTATAATTAATAACAATCTCAGAGATAACCCTGACCCTTCACTTAGTCATATCAAATGTACCATTGGTGTTTTATCCAGTATTGAATCCCCATTATTAATTTGATTCAAATGTCTAGATTGCTTTTTTGATCACTTTTTAATTTGTCAACCTCTATAAGATAAACCAAACAGCCAAGTTCTTATCTTGTACTGTCTCTCTACTTAGTAATTTATAAAGAGTATAAACTGGGGCAACCTGTGGAGTGGTTAGTACAATCGTCCTGCAAGTGAGATGCCATAACGAATTTTTATCATGTAGTATGTTATCCCATATCCTTATGTTCCTCATCATCCTCTACACACCTCATATTCCATCATCAAACTATAACCTGGGTCTTTTGCAACCCTTTCTAACCCATCTACATCATCCTGTTTGTCAAAATCCTCACCAGCCTGTCTGAAAACATCATGAATCATTAGTAAATCATTAAAAGCTTAAATCTTTTTCTTCAAGCTCATTAAATAGAGCTATTAGGTTTTTCTTCTGAACATTCCTTAACCCCTGAACTGTGCAACACACCTGCAGGCCCACGTCTGGGTTGTGCAACGCTCCCCCCGGGTATTTTTATTTTTCATGTTCCATTCAAAACTGGTGCGTGGTGGCCTGGGTACGAAATGGATGCCTTGGGGCCCCAGTGATCATCTGCCATCTTTAAAAAAATTTCCAGCATGCCCTGCAGCCATGGGGAGCCTCAGTTTCAAAGCAGCAACCATGTCTGAGGCATCGTCTACAAGCTCCCACTCCACGGTGACCTGATCCACGATGAATGATGACCTAGACTATGATTCAGAGAAAGACCTTACACAGAGGTCTCATATGAGTAAGGGAGAAACTGAGGTGGACGATGTGGCGAGCATGTACGGTACAAACGCCACGCCTGGCCTGCCTCGCCGCCCTGGGTCAACACTGTTATCATCACCACCACCATATATGTCCCCAGACGCAAGTTTATTTAGTGACAGTACATACGATGTACTGTCACTAAAATGTGTGAACCATCGCTGTACTCAAAATTATAGTGTGCATATTAGTGATTCAATTATTATGTTCATAAAACAATAAACAAATTGTTTTGCTGTTGTTACACTATATAGACAGGTTATATATAAGTATTTGCATGTTTTGTTCACCATAACGAACTACTAAGTTGGTCTTGTGAGTCAAAAAGCAACGATGAGTGACCGCCAAACACCAGCGAGCCACTCACTGCCACTCCCTCCCTCAACACCACCTCACTCACCCTCATTCTCCTCCCACAATACTGTTTTTGCATTTATTCACTATACACAGACATTATATATACGTATTTACATGTTTTGCTCACAATAACTGTACATCTAAGCTTGTATGGTGAGTAAAGGCACAAAGACGTAGCTACTCACACAGTCGGCTGATCGACGGCTGCCCTCAAGGCCAGACGCACTAATATTTCTCCTCCAACAATATTGTTTGTGGTGTTATTATGCTATATACACACATTATATATAAGTATCTACCTGTTTTATTCACCATACCTGTACAAATAAGCTGGTATGGTGCCCAAAGACCACAGTGGTCATCAGTAAACAACATGCCAAGTCGTGCAGACGATGCTCCTCCCTCACCAAAATGGCGGCTCCCAACCTACTCCTCTCGCTGTTATCTCACACTATACAAACGTTATATATAAGTATCTACATTTGTGTTCACCATAGCGAACCACTAAGCTGGTATGGTGAGTGCAGTCAATATAAGGTGATCACACACAGTCAGAAGACGACGCCACAACCCTCCCTCCACAGCCTTACTCCTCCCTCCATGGAGCACAGTGCTAAATATCACCACAATCCTGCTATTATCAGAATCCTGGTCAGTTTTATCACAGTCAGGGGTCTTCAGTAATACTATCACTGCTAAATAATTGCAGTATCATATATATTATGGCATTTGTCGGCGATGCTGTGGTCACAAGCTGAACAGCGGTGCTGTGAGCTCATGCTGCATGCGCCAGCCTTGGTGGCTTGCTCAATACTGATGCTGTAACACCCAAGAATGTTGGCCTGGATTTTTTTTCTGGGTGGTAACTGGCAACTATCGGTCGTGGCTGTACTATAGCTGCCCCTATCCCAGGTGGGGCGTTTAAATTATAGCGCTAGACACTAAATCATATATAAATGATGTGCGCAGTTTCGGTTTTGTCACTGATATCATTTATATATGATATGCGCGGTTTGAGGGTTAACCAGTGATACGACCAAATGAATGAATTGCACAACCACCTAATACCACCTCTCTCATATCCCATGGATCAAGGCATTATCTGTGTAACAAAAAGGCTGTACACCAAAGCTATGTTGAACGAAGTTTAGGTTGATTTATCTCTTGAGTAAGATGGGGGTAGGACAGGATACCAAGGTAAAACTAAATTAATAGTCACATCACACCATCTGAACCAAAATCCAGTGCTTGGTAAGATGTGATAGAGATTGTGTACTTACTCCAAACTGCTACAATAATGGAGGCAGAAGTATCAGGAGTAGTGTAGCATTCATACGAGCCACTATCATTGAATGTTGCAGCAGACACACTCAGTATGTGGTTTACCTCTTGCATGCCAATGCCTGATGCATGTGCAAACACACTGTACCGCCAGTTCGTATCAGGCCCAATCACCACATCATTGAATAGGAAGGTTACCTACAGAGGTTAAAATATATTCCTATGAGAAACAAAAACAAAAATGGCATATGCATTTATGGACAAGTTATTTCAATTTTACTCTTTAGTGATATATATAATCAGTCTGTAAACTTACATTTTATTACCAAAAGTTAGATATAGTTAAAATGTTTTTAATAAAAGCCTGAATACAGTAAAAAATATAAATATTTATGCAATTTGAACACTTTTGCTGACCAGGCAGGCGACCCACCGCACACCACAAGATAGGCCAAGAATTGCCCATGAGCACACAACTCAATGTTCATACTCTTTTCAGTTTTGTTGCCTCAATTTTTGTGCTACGCTGTTAAATTTGATATCAAATTGTTTATAATAGAATGCATTAAAGGGACATTTACATATAACAATCTTTAAGTCTCACTTTTCTATACTTCAGACCCACCGCACACCACAAAGTACCCCGAGCGTTGCCTTTCTCACCTCAATTTTCGTGCTATGTCATTCAATTTGGTATCAAATTGTTTGCAATAGAATGCGGTAAGGAGATATTTTCATATAAGAACATATAAGTCTCACTTTAATATATACAGTGGCGCCTCAATTAACGAGTTTAATGCGTTCTGGCACCGTGCTCGTCGTGTGGAAAACTCGTCTTGCGAAATAACAACAAAACTGCCATCAGAGGTGTCCAAGAAACAGCGGAAACGCTCGTTAATCGAGCGAAAGCTCGTCAGTCGAGATATATTTTCTGCGATATATTACTGAATTCTCTGAGATATATTACTGAATTTCCCTAATTGCAAAAAGAACTGTCTTCATTTTATAAGGTTATTTAAACAATATACTAAAACACCTTTAGAGTTAAGTACAAATAACAATAATTTGTACTTTTCATTACATTTTATGTGCAAAACCTGCAATTCACTTCTGACACAAAAGTGACACATCATCCACACTATTGGAATTTGTAATTACATTACTGTATATATCTGATTTACCTGAGGGCCACTAACTCTAGTGGCCTCGACGAGGACAGGAAGCCGGCGGCTTGGATAACAATTAACTAAGTTACCACAAGGATATCTCTAAAGATCCTTTCAACACTTACCTGCATGAGTGTTAGTATTAACACTCATGCTCTGGGCTTGCGCTCCGTTTGTATGCACGAACTACTCCTTGCGATGTGGTCGAGCATGCGGGCGAGCGTGCGGCTACACCGAAATGTGTATACTCGTTTCAGTTTTCTCACCTTAATTCTCATGCTATGTCGTTCGTTTTGGTATCATTGAGTTTGCAATAGAATTCCCTACAGGTGTATATGCATATAATGTCCAAAAGCCCAGCATTACTCCCCACAGCAAAGCTTAAAGTCGGCAAAAATTACCCATGAACGCACAAAATCAGTAACATGTGTATACTCGTTTCAGTTTTCTCACCTTAATTCTCGTGCAACGTCGTTCGTTTTGGTATCATTATGTTTGCAATTAAATTCCCTGCAGGTTTATATGCATATATTGTCCAAAAGCTTGCCGTGACTCCCCTTAGCAAAGCCCAAATTTACCTGTGAACGAGCACCAATTGGCACACCCTGCAACCTAATGTGTGTATACTCGTTCAGTTTGATAGCATCAATTTTTGTGTTACATCACTCGTTTTTGTATCAAATTGTTCCCAATATAAAGGCGCATATTTTAAAGCTAGTCCCATAATAATAGAGCAATAACTGGAATTTTAACAAATATTTTAAATTTGGACACTCATCATCACAAAATTATTTATATTTTTCCAATGTTCTGACATAAATTTTCGTGTTTCATCTTACATTTTGATATCAAATTGTTTGCAATCTAAAGGTGAGCATTTTAAAACTAGTCCCATAAAAATAGCACAATAAATGGAATTTTAACAAATATTTTAAATTTTGGACACAAAATGTATTTATAATCTTTCCAGTTTTCTGACATAAATTTTCGTGTTACATCTTTCATTTTGGTATCAAATTGTGTGCAACCTAAAGGCGCTCATTTTAAAACCACTCCCAGATTGATCAGATAAAATATGTATTTTTAACAACTGTTTTAAATAAGGATGCTGCTCGCGTCACCGACTCGGACACAAGAGAAAAATTTCTAATGCAAGCAGCGTTAACGGAGAGCGAAAGTGTTAATTAATAGGAACTAAGAATAAGAAACAATCTGAACTTGGTTTTTACTTACTGGTTCATCCCAATTTATAACTCTGCAGGTTACATTGAAGTTCTGGCCCACTATAGCTGCTGTAGCCGATATTCCCAGCACTTTCTGAATTGGATCTGCAACAAATTTATATAACTATAATATAATAATAGTAATATTTTATTTATAAGATATGCAAAGGATCATATTACAGCAGTTACTTAGTAGGTGCAGTATTTGTATAAATTATAAAGCCACCAATTACAAAGCATTTTAAGCAAAACTCAGGAATTACTACAAAAATGTATATTTAACTCCTTCATTATCTTAATACTTTATTTTATATATGTTTTGATCAAAGCTGATAAGAAAAGGTACTGTATTCCTAAGCCAGCATATCTTAGGATACAAGCAGAATTGTGTAATGATTACAGCAACTGACATTCTGCCATTATATTCTGACACAAATTACAGGTTTGTTCCCTTTAACAGCAATAATATTTCAAGAAATGTCTCCATTTGCTGAGCCTGGATAGTATACTTTTCTCTTACTTCTTGTATTCTTAGTACAACCCACTTTCTATAAACCCCACTTCCTCAAATATTGAAAGTTTGTAGATTTATGCAAAGGCATTTGCCAGAAACTGTATGGCATTAAATTTTTTAGAAAAAAGGAAAAAACCAGCGTTGAATGTAATGAAACGCCATTTTCTGGGTGAGACACGGAGGCTCCCTGGAGCTATACCGGGCTGATGTGTATATATTAGACCATGGCAACAGTCGATCAAAGGAGTTCTAGGCCTACCGGGGACCAGAGGCAGAACCTGGCCCCCTCAAGAGAGGCTCGAGGAGCAATGGCCTAAAGACACCCCATGTAATTGGAAGCAGTCTTTGTCTGCCATCTACCAGGTCAGGCACCCAGAAAGGTAGGAATTCCAAAACAAACTACTGCTGATTAAATAATTGCAAATTGAAAGTCGAACTAGCAACAGAACTCCCCAATCAAAACCACAGAAACCAGTATGAAGTCACCACAAACGCCGCGCATCTGTCTGTGCAACTCCCCCCCCCCCTCTCCTCGGAAGGGGGACGGAGGGGTTTCAGACCTCTGTGCTGGCAACTCTCCCCAGTTCAGAGGCTAAGTATCAAAAATGTGAAAAAAAACACCGACCGGAGGGAGGGAGGGATGCCGGGGAGCTTCCGGGTCTCACCCATAACATGGCATTTCATTACATTCAACACTGGCTTTCTGTGGAGAGCCCCCTTCAGCTCCCTGGAGCTACCTAACCAAAGAAAAAGAAAAGCGGGACTTACCCTGGGAGGCGGTTGTCACTCGCACCTCAACTCGAAGTCGAGACAACTGGCTGCAACCTGAGCCCCAAGGCTACACATGCCCGAGAAAGGCCAGGAACATTAACAAGATACCGTTTGGCCAGGTCCCTGTTCGACCTCCAAAAGCCCCTTGCCCAAATATCAGCCCAGGACATATTCCCAAAAACAGCAGCCAAAGCCGCGAACTTACGAACGTCGTGGGCACAGGGATAGACCGCAGACTGGCTGGACAGAATAATCCTGCAGATGACCTGGGAGACCTGCACCCTGGAACAGAGAAGAAGGGAAACCGGGTCCACCCAAAGCGCATCCCCTGCCATGGAGGCCGTGGCGCTCAGATAACGGCAAAGAGCTGCAACTGAATACAAAACATGATGCACCCCCGGCCGAACCAATCAACCATCAACAACCCAAGGACCCCTTCGCAAAGTAGTAGACTCATTCTTCACCAGAAAAGAAGGAGAAGGCTGCAAACGAATGAAATGATCACCAGGACTGAAAGAGCAGAAACCCCTTCGCCGGAGGAGAGTATGAAGCTCCCTGACCCAAGCCCCAGAGGCCAATGCCAATGAGAAAAAGAGCCTTAGAAAAACAGTCCTGAATCGCGGGGGCCACCACAAACCGAGGAGAAGAGAGAAAAAGAGAGCACCTGGTCCAACGACCAGGACGGCTTAGGCGGCGCATGAGCAGGCCGAAGGTGAAAAAACACTCGAGAAAGCTTGTGGAACGGAGCAGAAGTGACATCCACCCCGAATGCAAGCTGCAGCAGCTCCACCAGCGCCGCACGATATGAGGCGACAGTATTTGGCATAAAATGACGGTCCTGAAAAAACAAGAGAGAAAGGAAAAAACAACCAGATCAGAAATCGAAGACAACCTACGTAGACAAAAAATGCCAAAAGGACCGCCAGAAAATTTCATACTGCCGTCTAGACAAAACTTGCAAAACTTAATTATATGAAAACCATATGGCATCCCTATGAAGGATATGTAATAACAAAAATCTAAGGAAGCATTGAGGAGCAATCTGATGAACATGAGACACAGAAATGGAAAACCTTTAGTAATTTAGTATCTTACCTTTCAGAACAACTTCTACAGTGTGGGTGTTGTAGGCATCTAGGTAACACTGATAGGTGCCCTCATCTTCAGGAGTGGCAGAGGTTATCTTCAGAACATGTGTTACTTCCTCTGCACTACTATTTGGCCTGTACATGCTATAACGGGGATCAAAGTCCTCGGACAATATATTTCCTTTATGGTAAAACTGCACCTAAGAGAAGAGCCAACAAAACTTCCACATACTGAATTCAAATTTAGAAATACTGCACAAATAAATAATAAGCATTTATTGGACAGTTAAGGCTACTGATATTAACAATTATTAACAAATGATTTCCCCTGAAATATTATTTTCTTGAAGTAAACTGTTGACACCATTATATTTTAGTCTCCAAAATACTCCTGACCAAAACTCCAAAATACAAAATGACCAAGATTTGTAGCCCACAAAAGATTTCCCAAACCCTAAATAACTAATTTAATATTGGTCATAATTAACATAAATTGAATTTTATTCTAAACTTATTATACTGCTTATGGGATATTAAATTCATTCCAAAGGGGCACAAAGCCAGTCACATATTATGAAAGGACCAAGGTTTTAAATATTCTCTGTGGATTCTTGATATTTTAAACTCAAACAGTTAACAAAAGCAATGTGCTGGTATTTATTTCTGAATAAAGACCACTCAGTCACTGCCCATGGGCAAGATCCTACTTTCCTAGGACTTAGCATATTCTTGGTAGGGCCAGTGTACATTCATCATGCCTGATGCAACAGGGGCCTTTCAAGCTGCCCTGTTTAGGCCACATATATAGGAAGAGACAGATATTGAATAATTCTCAATCAACCGTCAATGATATCAGAAGGTACATTAACCTACACTCAAGTAACCTTCTCCAAACAATACGTTTATTTCAAAAGGGCTTCTAAATGTTATTCTAATACAAACTGGCAACTACTAATTACCCACATGTTCACTACCCCTACCTGCCACTAGACAACAACAGTGGCTGTATAAACAGAGGGTGCCTGGACTCCATCTCACCCTTGTTGACCAGGATCTCCCCAATCAACAAGACACCTCTCCTAATAGTTAAGTGTACAGTATATTCATTATGAAACACTTGTTTCATGTGCAGTGGGCTCATGTTTAACACTGTGTGTATGTGTATTCACTGTCTTTGTGTATCACCCATGCTGCACAAAACCAGCATTAAAAAGTTATCCTCTCTATGTTTATTTGGTAATGTATTCAGATGGAACTCTCTCTTGTTGAGTACAACATTTTTGCAGTGCCCTGGAATCTGGTCCTGGGCTGAGATATTAGGGATATACTAGAAAACTAGAGGTTAATTCAAACAAGTTACTTTGCATTTGTTCATGATATACTTAATTTTGTTCTCGTGTGCATTTTGCCATGTCTACCTCAATTAAAATTATTATTCCGCCTGGTTAAACTTCATGTGGTGCCATACTGTGTTTCTTAACATTGATAGTATAGGGTATATATATTCTCCTACAGTACAGGGACACTTATCTGCAATTATGCCCTATGTGTTTCATCTTGCCCATAATCTTTGTCATATGATTCTTGAAGCTTTTGATGATTTGGCATACACTACCCACTCAAAATATTTTAGATATCTATATACTGAAGTACTGGTGCCGGCAGTCTCAATTTATGGCTGTGTTGAGTTTGTGCTTGATACCTGTTTGATGGGGGTTCTGGGAGTTCTTCTACTCCCCCAAGCCCGGCTCGACTTGTAATTACCTAAGTGTAGTTACAGGATGAGAGCTACGCTCGTGGTGTCCCGTCTTCCCAGCACTCTTTGTCATATAACGCTTTGAAACTACCGACGGTCTTGGCCTCCACCACCTTCTCACTTAACTTGTTCCAACCGTCTACCACTCTATTTGCGAAGGTGAATTTTCTTATATTTCTTCGGCATCTGTGTTTAGCTAGTTTAAATCTATGACCTCTTGTTCTTGAAATTCCAGGTCTCAGGAAGTCTTCCCTGTCGATTTTATCAATTCCTGTTACTATTTTGTATGTAGTGATCATATCACCTCTTTTTCTTCTGTCTTCTAGTTTTGGCATATTTAATGCTTCTAACCTCTCCTCGTAGCTCTTGCCCTTCAGTTCTGGGAGCCACTTAGTAGCATGTCTTTGCACCTTTTCCAGTTTGTTGATGTGCTTCTTAAGATATGGGCACCACACAACAGCTGCATATTCTAGCTTTGGCCTAACAAAAGTCATGAACAATTTCTTTAGTATATCGCCATCCATGTATTTAAATGCAATTCTGAAGTTAGAAAGCATAGCATAGGCTCCTTGCACAATATTCTTTATGTGGTCCTCAGGTGATAGTTTTCTATCTAGAACCACTCCTAGATCTCTTTCTTTATCAGAATTCTTTAAAGATTTCTCACATAATATATAGGTTGTGTGGGGTCTATGTTCTCCTATTCCACATTCCATAACATGACATTTATTAACATTAAATTCCATTTGCCAAGTGGTGCTCCATATACTTATTTTGTCCAGGTCTTCTTGAAGGGCATGACAGTCATCTAAATTTCTTATCCTTCCTATTATCTTAGCATCATCAGCAAACATGTTCATATAATTCTGTATACCAACTGGTAGATCATTTATGTAGACAATAAACATCACTGGTGCAAGAACTGAACCCTGTGGTACTCCACTTGTGACATTTCTCCATTCTGATACATTGCCTCTGATTACTGCCCTCATTTTTCTATCAGTCAGAAAATTTTTCATCCATGATAGAAGCTTACCTGTCACCCCTCCAATATTTTCCAGTTTCCAGAACAACCTCTTATGTGGAACTCTGTCGAAAGCCTTTTTTAGGTCCAGATAGATGCAGTCAACCCAACCATCTCTTTCCTGTAATATCTCTGTGGCTCGATCATAGAAACTGAGTAAATTCGATACACAGGATCTTCCAGATCGAAAACCATACTGTCTGTCTGATATTATATCATTTCTCTCTAGGTGTTCTACCCATTTAGTTTTGATTAGTTTTTCCAATACTTTCACTATTACACTTGTCAATGATACAGGTCTATAATTGAGGGGGTCTTCCCTGCTGCCACTTTTGTAGATTGGAACTATGTTAGCCTGTTTCCACCCGTCTGCTACGATTCCTGTACACAGGGATGCCTGAAAGATCAGGTGAAGTGGAATGCTGAGCTCAGATGCACATTCTCTCAGAACCCATGGTGAAACGCCATCTGGGCCAGCTGCTTTGTTCTTACCGAGCTCCTTGAGCATTTTTTCCACTTCATCTCTAGACACCTCTATGTGTTCTATGTTGTTCTCTGGAATTCTTATTGTATCTGGTTCCCTAAAGATTTCATTTTGTACAAACACACTTTGGAACTTTTCGTTTAGTGTTTCACACATTTCCTTTTCATCTTCCGTGAATCTATTTCCCATTTTCAACCTCTGAATATTATCCTTTACCTGCAATTTGTTGTTTATGAATTTATAGAATAGACCTGGTTCTGTTTTACATTTGTCCGCAATCCCTTTTTCAAAATTTCTTTCTGCCTCTCTCCTCACTGCCGTGTAGTTGTTTCTCGCATCTTTGTATCGCTGGTATGTTTGGGGGTTCGGCCTCTTCCTGTATTGATTCCATTTTTGTGTCTTTCGGTCTCTAGCCCTCTCGCAATTTCTATTGAACCAATCCTGTTTCCTAGTTCTGCATCTCTGTTTTGGTATAAAATTTTTTGTGCCTTTATCATATATTTCACAAAACTTGCCATACATCTCATTCACTTCCTTGCCTAGCATCAAGTCTGTCCAATTATACTCACTAAAAAAATTTCTAAGGTCACCATAATGTCCTCTCCTGAAGTCTGGTTTTTCAACTGCTTCAACCTCCTTATTTTCTTCCAGCTTATAACGCATTGCATACTTTATTCCCAAAAAGACATGGTCACTTTTACCCAAGGGAGGAAGGTACTGAATGTCAAATATCTCTTCCTCCTTCCTGGTAAATATCAAATCTAGCATGGAGGGAACGTCCCCTTCCCTCATCCTCGTAGCTTGTTTAACATGTTGATACAAGAATGTTTCCAGGATGAGGTCTACAAATTTACAGGTCCAAAAATCTTCTGTTTTAGCTTCATATGCTTCCCAGTCTATGGATTTCAAGTTGAAGTCACCGACTATCAACAGTCGTGATCTATCGTTATCCGCTCTCGCTATAATCTCTCTCATTATTGTTATAAGACCTTCACGTTTACTATCTAGCTCCTCCTTTGACCATGTGCTGCTTGGCGGTGGACTATATGCATTTATCATCATTAGTTTATCATCCTCATAGCAGATCTCTAGTGCTATTATGTCAACTTCTTGTGGATTGGCAGTCATTATTTCCTTCACCTTTAGGTGTTCTTTTACCAGCACAGCAACGCCACCGCCTTTCCTAATTTTTCTGTCCCGTCTCCAAATTGAGTAGCCCCTTGGGAATATGACCTCATTTAAAATTACATCTTCAAGTTTTGTCTCCGTGACGTTTTGTGAGAGCTCCCAAATCCTTTACATGCTGCTTTCCTACTATGGGAAGAATTGATTGTGTTTTGTACCCTGTATTATGTTTAAGCATGCAAATGAGTGGTTTAAGCTCATAAATAAGGCTTTGAGTGTAGATGAAAAACTTTTTTCTGAGCAAGCCACTAATTCATATCAGTTATCAGAGTTCTCCAATTTGTCCTGATACACCCCACATCTTTCTAGAAGTACATAGGAATGATAGAGATGATCCTCTAAGTGCCCCCTGTTTACACGGCCAGTGCTGTCATCTGGCGGTGGGTAAGGGTAGTGAATAAGCAGTTACCTAGCAGTTGGTAGTTAGCAGCAGGAGAACAATACTTGGCAATGTCTTAGAAATCCCAGTATTGTTAGGTGGAAAGCTATTTGAATGTAGGTTAATGTAACTTCCAAGATCATTCAGTGCTGGATTGAGAATTTTCTAGGATCTAATTTCCTCTAAAAATGAGCAATTTTCTCTCTCTCTCTCTCTCTCTCTCTCTCTCTCTCTCTCTCTCTCTCTCTCTCTCTCTCTCTCTCTCTCTCTCTCTCTAGGACTCAACAGTCCTAAGAGAGTTGAATTTTGCACAAGAAAGTGATCAAGTAGCTTTCCCAGAAGGCGTTTTTCATCTTCACTCACAGCTCTATTTTTATATTTAAGTAAATTTTGTAATAAAAAGTATAGCAACGTACTTCTTCATACCAGTTCCTGACAGTACAGCTCACAAAGAAATCTTGACCCTTGATGGCTGGAGATACTGCTATGTTTACAATTTCTCCAGGACGTCCTGTATGACAGATTATTTGTGGTTAGTACTGTACAGCATTCGTAATACTACATAATAAATAATATAATAATAAATATGTTTACTCAGGTAAGGTACATACATACAAGTGATGTTACATTAATGGATTGATATATAGATAGAGCTAGTACATACAATGCCTAAAGCCACTATTACGCAATGCGTTTCGGGCAAGAATAATACAAGGACTCGTGTAAATATGGTAACTCATTAATTAATAGTAAGAGAGAGTGGGGAAACATGATTTAACACTTTAGGTGTATAATTATTTTTCTGTGGGGAGCCCCTTTCAGCTCCCTGGAGCTATAGGACTGATATACGCTATATTAGTCTGGGGCTCCAGTCAGTGGAGTCCTGCCTACCGTGGACCAGAGCCGGAACCTCGCCCGACCCTCACAGAGGCACAGGGAGCAATGGCTAATGGAGACCCACTTGTATTTAGAGTATTCCTGGTTTGCCATCAACCGATCGACCGAGGTTGAGCACCCAGAAAGGTAGGTATCTCAAAACAAACTCAACATGGAAATTGCAAAATAATTTTCAAAAATTTGAAAAAAACAGTGCTGAATGTAATGAAATGCCATTTTCTGAGTGAGATCCGGAGGCTCTCTGGAGCTTATCCAGACTGACATGCTAAAGTCAGACTTTGGCATCAGTCATGTGTATGGAGTTCTGTGGGCCTACCAGGGACCACGTGCCAGAACCTGGCCACCTCAGAGAGGCATGGGGAGTAATGGCCTATAGAAACCCCCGTGTGGTTGGAAGCATTCTATGTCCGCCATCGACCGGGTCAGGCACCCAGAAAGGTGAGCATCCCAAAACAAACCCCTATTCTGGTGAAAATTGCTATCAAAAGCCAATCAAGTAGATAGACCTTCCCAAAAAGAAACGAGCAAACGAGCATGACGTCACACGTCGCCGCGCCGCTGTCTTTGCAGCTCCCCCTCCCCGGGAGGGGGAAGGGGAGCCCCAGACCCCCGCCTGGCTATCCACCCTTCAGTTCTGAGGTTGGATGTCAAGACACGTGAAAGAAACGCCGACCGGGGGAAGGGAGGGATCCCGGGGAGCCTCCGGCTCTCACCCAGAAAATGGCATATCATTACATTCAACGCTGGTTTTCTGTGGGGAGCCCCTTTGGCTCCCCGGAGCTAACTACCCACAGAGGAGAAGTAAAGGGACATACCTGGAAGGCAATCCCTGCTCACTACTCAACTCAAAGCCGAGACAACTGCTGCAACCGCCGACCCAAAGCGACATAGGCCCACCTAGGCCCAGGAACGTTCACGAGATAACGAGCAGCCAGAACCCTGTATGACCGCCAAAATCCCCACGCCTGAATGTCAGCCTAGCGAACTTGGAAACATGGGCACGGGGATAGACCGCAGGCTGGCTAGCCTTAACAACTCTGCGAATGACTTAGGAGACCCACACCCATGAACAGGGAAGAAGTGAAACTGGATCAACCCAAAGCGCATCCCCAGACACAGAGGCCATAGTGCACAAATAATGGCGGAGGGCCGCAACCGGACACAAAACATGATGCACCCCAGGCCCGACCAGCCAAGACGGCTCCAGACAAACAAACCTATTGTCACAACCGAAGGAGCAGAAAACCCCTGCACCGGAGGAGAGCATGAAGCTCATCAACCTGACCCATAGAGGCCAATGCCAACAGAAAAAGAGCCTCTGAGAAACAAACTTGAACCAAAGGGGCCACAACAAACCATGGAGAAGAAAGAAAAGAGAGCACTCTGTTCAATGACCAGGATGGCTCAGGCGGCGCATGAGCAGGCCGGAGGTGAAACGATGCAAGAGACAGCTTATGAAACTACACATACGTAACACCAATACTGAAAGCAAGCTGAAGTGGCTCTGCCAGTGCCGCACGATACGAGGCAACAGTATGGGGTAAGATGACAACCCCGAACCTCCACAAGAGAAGGACAAGTCAACGCCAACAAACACAGCTACCTAAGAAGGGAAGACCACACCAACTAACGCAGCTACCTAGGAAGGGACAGAAGGAAAAGGACGGACTGCCAAAAAACTCCACACTGCCACCAAGAAGAACACAGGTGGGACACGATCAACAAAGCCACCCGACCACCAACAGAAGGTGAGAGACCCAAGACAGAACCAAATCAGCCCTGCCATGTGCCAACTGAGCCCAGGAAGAGGCGGAGCCGCGAGAAGATCTCGAGTGCGACCATGGAGCCAGCAGAGCTGAAAACCCAGCGATCCCGCCAAGAGATCGGAAACGATAGTCCCGACGCGAGACTCTAGAGAAGGGACAGCACAGAACCCCAGCACATGTGCCTACATCACATGATGATTGTTTCAGCAATCATGATTGATTGAATCAGCACATCGCCTACATCAAAACAAACAATCACAGCCCCCATGATTGTACACATCGCAGGGGTTTTCAGTGTTGTTCTCTACCCCCCTTGTTATTTTTGGGTGTTTAACCGGTTAGCAACACCTTGCCCGGGCTTCTCGTAGTTGTTACCCCTATGGGCCCTGGAAACCCCTGTCGGGGCTCGGTGGGCCATTGAATGTGTCTTCTGGGTCCCAACCCGTCATGTACGGGATCGTTGGTTGCTGTGCCCTTGTCTCCGGGTGACGGTCGCCACTTTTTACCTCCGTCATGTTGCCTGTTGGGTCACTGACACCTTGAACCGGAGTCTTGCGAGACAGATTCTCTGCTTGTTCTCCAGGACTCTCCTGATGTTATTACTGTTCAGAGTACAGGCGGCATCAGTCTTGAGAGCTAGGTTAGGTTGCTGCAACACGCTAGGTTGGTTTCCCACTCAGATGCTCCGAGGCCACCCCGTTTTGGTTAGGTGCTGTTCGCCCCTTTCCCTCCCTGTTCCCGGCTCTGGACCGTCTGCGGGTTTTGGGGTCAGGGCGAGGTTTAGTTGGGGCCGAGACTCGAGCGGTTTACGGGGGCTACCCCATTCGGGTTGGGGACGGAGGTTTTCTATCCTGTTCCTCCTGCCAAGGTTTCTGGGGCTTACCAGCAGCCCTTTTCTTGCTGACTTTCCCATGGATTCTTCCTTTTTCTTTACGGGCGTAGGGCTTGGAGGACAGCTCTGCCCCGGGCCCTCTGTTGTGGGTTCCCGGGCTGTGGGGGATGCCTGCTAGCAGTTTTGGGGCAGTTTGCCCCATCTGAGTTTTCTGCTTCTGGGCTGAGTTTTTCGCCCATCCAGTCTGCTTGCTTCCCACTTTTGCTGGCGAGTTTTCGTATCTTTTGCGTCCGTCACAGCCATCTGTTCTGGTGGCCATTTTCTTCTGCGGGTTTCCTGGCGTAGCCACCAGGGCAGCGTTGCGGTTTGTTTACATGCACCTGGGTGTGCGAGCAAGTGTCTTCGGTGAGTTTTTGCCCTCCTTTCAGGGGTTTTATTCTCCTGTTGTCGTTGCTTTGCTTTTCTGCCGCTTCCTGTTCCTCTGGGAACGATTGAGTGTTGATTTTACACCGGGTTTTTCGTTTTGTCTGTTTTGGATCTGGGCCCTTGGGTTTGGACTCAGTGTCCCTGTCTGTTATGCTTGCTCCCACACCTTGTCCCTTGGTTTTTCGGTCTGTTTTGATCATTTCCCTGGGGGTTCTGTCTAGGGCTATGCTTTGCCTTTCTGTGGTGTATCTCCGCCAGCAAATGTGGTGGTTTGGGCTCCCCCTGGTTCAATTCTGGGTTCCTTTGGGTTCTTTGGTTTCATTCTGGAGGTTTCTTCCTCTTGGGCCCCCTTTGTGGGTTCAGGTGACTTTGTTTCCTCGTGTGTGACCCGGTTCTGCCTTCTGGGGTTCCGGGGTCTTCCTGGCTTGCAGACTGATTTTTTTGGGTCTTGGCACGTGTTGTGGTCGTGCTGGGACTTTGGGGTTTTGTTGTCGAGGTGGGCCTTTTGATGCAGTTTTGTGCCTTCTTCACCTGGCCGGCGTGGTGTTCTCTGCCCACTGGTCGGTGGCTTGTAATTTTCTTTTCACGTGTATGTGTGTGTGTACACATGTGCATATACACTGTAATTACCTAAGTGTAATTACCCTAGTGTAGTTACAGGATGAGAGCTACGCTCGTGGTGTCCCGTCTTCCCAGCACTCTTTGTCATATAATGCTTTGAAACTACAGTATTGATGGTCTTGGCCTCCACCACCTTCTCACCTAACTTGTTCCAACCGTCTACCACTCTGTTTGCGAAAGTGAATTTTCTTATATTTCTTTGACATCTTTGTTTAGCTAGTTTAAATTGATGACCTCTTGTTCTTGAAGTTCATGAGAACCAAAAAATCAGAAAACATGGGCATTTGAAAACCGAGGTTCCACTGTACAGTATATCTGAAATGATAAATCAATAGAATACTAAAATGCATGAAGAAAAATAGTGGGTAACTTACTAGTGACTCGAACAATAACAGATGCTGAAGCTTGAGGACCAGCCCTGCACATGTAACTGCCTGCATCTTCAAGTATAGCTTCTCTCACTATCAGATATGCTTGTAATATGCTGTCTTCTGCTGGATACACGATTACACTATATCTACTATCCCAATGTGAATTCAAAGATACACTTTGAAATACAAATTCCACCTGTAGAAAATGCCTATTGTTAAACAAACTTCGGACAATACTTCAATAATATGCAAGTCATTTTAAGTATAACCTTTAGTGCCCCACAGAACCACCCGACAAGGCAGTTTGCATGATAATAAACTTCAACAGTTTCAATATTGTATACTGTATTGTTAAGTATGGATAAGCCCAAGCAGGGGGGGGAGAGAGGTTACCTTGCTGTTACCTTGCAATGGTTTAGGGACTCAATGTCCCCGCGGCTAGGGACAATCCTTGACCAGGCCTCCTGATTGATGGGCCAGTCAACCATACGTCAGGCTGCGAGCAGCGTGACATATGGTTGATGCTGATGTGACCAATAGGTTATTGAATGGTGTAAGGGTGGGCAGTTCACTAGGAAGACAGAGGATGAAACCCTACATGGGGTCAGCTACTGAGAATCTGCTACCATTTTTACTTGCATAACAGATACATAGAACCAAAATATGTTGTCAATCTAAACGGTTAGGTCTGGCTGTGCCATCAATGCTGCCCTCAAATTTGGTAAAAATCTACAATCATTCTGTTAGTCTGAGAATGGTAGGCCATGGTGTGTTTATATATAGTTCCTAGGAACTACAGCGGTCCCTGCTCTAATTGCAATTCCATTTTCGATCCGAGTCGGTAACAACCATTGCTGGAGCTCCAATCCTGGAAACCTAGCCATTGAGGAAAGCACGAACTACCAACCCCTGCCACCATCTCCATCACAGGAACTGCCTTGGGACATCTGAAGGATCAGTCAATTCTCGAGGAGCAGAATCCACTTTGCAGCTGTTTCAGCTTTCTCGAGGCTCTCTGATCTGGCTCCATTCAGACTATGCCCCTGTGGTTCATTTTCTCACCCGTCGGGGTCTCTGCAGTCAGTAGCTCTTTGGGACTGGTCACTTCGGGTAGCTCCTCTGCTGAGTTCTTGGGGTTTTGCTCTCCGCACCGTGCATATTCGGGAAGTGTCCCAAGTCCTGGCAGGATGGCCTGTTCTGCTTCATTCCCGTTTCCACAGAGTAGACAGTCAACACCGCCTCCTTATTTGGCTTTGTTGGATGTATGGGCGTCCAGAGGTGGACCTCTTTGTGTTGGCATGGTCTCGGTGTCTTCCTACACACGTGACGCCATTCCCCAACTGCGAGGCCTTTATGGTAGTCACCAGTCCTGGTCAAGGTGGGTGAGTTCCTGTACCTTTATCCCCCATTCCTGCTGTTGCTTTGGGTTCTGGCTCAGTTTGAATCCTATCAGAGGAGAGTGCTTCTCCTAGCCCCCATGGTGGCAGAACAAGCTTTGTTTTCAGGCACTGCTTGCTCAGTGTAAAAACCCAAGAGTCTTTCCACGGCCACTTTTTCTAATACTTTCAGCACGTCGGGCCAGTGAGATACCTTGTTGGTGCGACTTAGTCTTCCGCTCTTCACGTCTGGTTTTTCTGACACGTGTGTATCGCCACTTGTATTGTGATCAGGTGGCTTGTCTGATGGTGTCCCACCTGCGGTCTTTGTCTCAGTGACAGCATGAACTCTCCTGGTGGTCTTTTTGGTGTTTCCTTTCCCTTTGGGGGGGGGTGTTGTCAGTGCCTGAAGGTGGTTTTATCGTTTTTTCTTGGACCTTTTTGGACCAGCATCTCATGCCGTATACTGTCGCTTCTTATCAAGCGGCGTTCGCAGAGTCACTCCAGCTTGTCTTTTGAGTAAATGTCCCTTCCCCCATTCCGCAAGCTCTCCCGTGCAATTTTTCACCTCCGGCCTGCTCATGCGCCCCTTGCATTGTCTTGGTCTGTGGACTAGGTGCTCTCTTACCTTTCTTTCCCTCGGTTTGTTTGTGGCCTCTATGTTTCGGGTTTGTTTTCTGCAAGCTTTGTTTTTGTTGGCTTTGGCCTCTGAGGGTCAGGTTGTGGAGCTTCATGCTCTTTTCTAGTGCAGGGGTTTCTGCTCTTTTGGCCCAGGTAGTCGTTTTGTTCATTTGCAGCCTTCTTCTTCTATTCTGGCGAAGAATGAGATGGCTGACTTCCAGAGGGGACCATTGATCGTGAATGCTTGGTTGGTTAGGTCAGGAGTGCATCATGGCTTATGTCTGATAGCAACTTTGCATCACTACCTGCGGGCCACTGGTTCGGTGTCTGTGGACGCCCTCTGGGTGGCTCCGATCCCCCATTACAATCTACAAATCATTTTACATCTAGGTGCCTATAATTTCTTTTAACTACACAAGAATAAATGATGAGAATGAACAGTGTCCAATTGTCAAACCCAGGTCATCTCATGCTTACGTGATCAGATTACTTTACATCAGTATTGGATTCATCTTTTTTTTGCAAAGTACCCCACACATACATACTTTGCTCCATTAAGGTGTTGGGGTTTCTGTCACCATTATTGACTACTTTCAACCCTAACTTTAATTTTTTGTTTGAGAAGTGGCAGTGATTTTAGCCTCAAGCCTAGAAGTGAAACTAATCAGGTTATTCAGCACTAGCTTTTTCTCAGAATACAATTCACAAGTCATTTTACATCTAGGTGCCTATAATTACTGGTAACTACACAAGAACAAATGGTGAGAATGAACGGTGTCTAATTGTCAAACCCAGCCAAGGATACAAAGCCAGGTCTTCTCATCTGCAAGTTAAATTAATTAAAACTTCAAAACTTCTCCACTCAGATTAACATGATACTGAAACTGTCAGTCTCTTTCATTCACAAGGACTTCAATATAAGAAAATAGAACAAACAAAATATAAGAAAAGTTTGATTTATATCAGGCTGCGGGTATTATTTATACCAGACCACGAGGACACTAAGTCCCAAAATCATCTCAAGATAACCTCAGGAGGAAGATAACCAGCAAGTGCAAACACCCTCACCTCTCCATCCCAGTTGACGACAGTGCACTGGATAGTGAAGTTGTCTCCAACCATCACACTCTCTGGGGCCACCATCTCAGTCACCTCTGGCAATGCACCTGAAGGAATATTCTGTATCAACTTAATGATCTCATGAATTTAAATTACTGTATCTCTATTAATATATTAATATATTATTCATATTACCCTTCCTATTTATTAATACACAATTTTATTTATTTATTTAATCTTGCAAATAAGGTAATGTCACACAACTTAAAATGAATTCATAAACTTTGAAAGAACTTCAGACCACAGTAACTCACGTTCAACACTAATAATAATTTCAGCCAGGAAAGAACCTGCATTGCTTTTTGCTGCACACCTATATTTTCCAGCATCATCCATAGAGATGGCAGGAATAATAAATACTCCATTAATATCTGCATCACTATCAAGTACCTCATTCACTAGACTCCACATCTCCCCTGGGAAAAAATTAAATTGTACAAATGATGAAAACATGGTTATAATACATTTATATGGATGTAATGAAGTTGAACAATACCCATAAGTAAATTCTGATATTACTTTGTAACTGTTTACTATACAATGAGGATATCACATACTAGTGGCTTGTGGTTATCATCATATTACAACTTGGTGTTTATTGTTGAAGTTTGCATCAATAATGAGTTCATATGATCTTCAGGTGTTATTCTCTCTTTTTGCAGAGACAAACCAATTATTTGAATGGTATCTGCAGTCAATGGCCAGAGATTGTCACAGAAGCCTGGCACGTTGAAGGTGGTCCTTCAGAGTCAGTGCCAGAATCTGAGGGCAGCTGCTTATGACCACCCAAAATGGTATTTCATTAGACTTAACAGTATTTCAGAGTTGGTCACTGGTCATGTGTTGATTGTTCGGCACAATGTGGTCATTATATAACAATTTGTGTTTAGTGTCAGTGTGAGAATACTAATGTTGCCCACATGATTCCAATAATTCACTGGTGTCTCCCAGCAGTCATAGAAAGCCACAAAAACAGTTAGGAGTCAGACAGTTCGGCTCAATCAATACAGGAAAAGGCCGAACCCCCAAACATGCCAGCTATACAAAGATGCGAGAAACAACTACACGGCAGTGAGGAGAGAGGCAGAAAGAAATTTTGAAAAAGGGATTGCAGACAAATGTAAAACAGAACCAGGTCTATTCTATAAATTCATAAACAACAAATTGCAGGTAAAGGATAATATTCAGAGGTTGAAAATGGGAAATAGATTCACGGAAGATGAAAAGGAAATGTGTGAAACACTAAACGAAAAGTTCCAAAGTGTGTTTGTACAAAATGAAATCTTTAGGGAACCAGATACAATAAGAATTCCAGAGAACAACATAGAGCACATAGAGGTGTCTAGAGACGAAGTGGAAAAAATGCTCAAGGAGCTCGGTAAGAACAAAGCAGCTGGCCCAGATGGCGTTTCACCATGGGTTCTGAGAGAATGTGCATCTGAGCTCAGCATTCCACTTCACCTGATCTTTCAGGCATCCCTGTGTACAGGAATCGTAGCAGACATGTGGAAACAGGCTAACATAGTTCCAATCTACAAAAGTAGCAGCAGGGAAGACCCCCTCAATTATAGACCTGTATCATTGACAAGTGTAATAGTGAAAGTATTGGAAAAACTAATCAAAACTAAATGGGTAGAACACCTAGAGAGAAATGATATAATATCAGACAGACAGTATGGTTTTCGATCTGGAAGATTCTGTGTATTGAATTTACTCAGTTTCTATGATCGAGCCACAGAGATATTACAGGAAAGAGATGGTTGGGTTGACTGCATCTATCTGGACCTAAAAAAGGCTTTCGACAGAGTTCCACACAAGAGGTTGTTCTGGAAACTGGAAAATATTGGAGGGGTGACAGGTAAGCTTCTATCATGGATGAAAAATTTTCTGACTGATAGAAAAATGAGGGCAGTAATCAGAGGCAATGTATCGGAATGGAGAAATGTCACAAGTGGAGGCCACAGGGTTCAGTTCTTGCACCAGTGATGTTTATTGTCTACATAAATGATCTACCAGTTGGTATACAGAATTATATGAACATGTTTGCTGATGATGCTAAGATAATAGGAAGGATAAGAAATTTAGATGATTGTCATGCCCTTCAAGAAGACCTGGACAAAATAAGTAGATGGAGCACCACATGGCAAATGGAATTTAATGTTAATAAATGTCATGTTATGGAATGTGGAATAGGAGAACATAGACCCCACACAACCTATATATTATGTGAGAAATCTTTAAAGAATTCTGATAAAGAAAGAGATCTAGGGGTGGTTCTAGATAGAAAACTATCACCTGAGGACCACATAAAGAATATTGTGCAAGGAGCCTATGCTATGCTTTCTAACTTCAGAATTGCATTTAAATACATGGATGGCGATATACTAAAGAAATTGTTCATGACTTTTGTTAGGCCAAAGCTAGAATATGCAGCTGTTGTGTGGTGCCCATATCTTAAGAACCACATCAACAAACTGGAAAACGTGCAAAGACATGCTACTAAGTGGCCCCCAGAGCTGAAGGGTAAGAGCTACGAGGAGAGGTTAGAAGCATTAAACATGCCAAAACTAGAAGACAGAAAAAAAAGAGGTGATATGATCACTACATACAAAATAGTAACAGGAATTGATAAAATCGACAGGGAAGATTTCCTGAGACCTGGCACTTCAAGAACAAGAGGTCATAGATTTAAACTAGCTAAACACAGATGCCGAAGAAATATAAGAAAATTCACCTTCGCAAATAGAGTGGTAGACGGTTGGAACAAGTTAAGTGAGAAGGTGGTGGAGGCCAAGACCGTCAGTAGTTTCAAAGCGTTATTTGACAAAGAGTGCTGGGAAGACGGGACACCACGAGCGTAGCTCTCATCCTGTAACTACACTTAGGTAATTACACTTAGGTAATTACCACAGAGCCCCCGCAGGGTTTCCCAGAGCACTTAGCCTTGGTAACACACTAAGGGAAGCCCAGGCAGGGAACTAACGTCCAAAACTACCAAGCAAACTTCTAAAGCTGAACCCCCCTGGGATGTGTTCACTCACGGGGGCCAAGCAGGGGGTACCATCAAACACAGATATATATAAGAGAAGGACCTTTAAACAAAAGGGGGCAACCAATAAAAGGCAGACCCCCCCCCACCTAGCAGGAAAACAAAAACAAAAGAAAACCCCCACAAGAGGACAATGTACCCAGACGGAATAGAGCCAGCCACTATAATATGTGATATCTAGCTGTGCAGTAACCTGTGCCCCTATCAGTGACGAAAACTACCTCCTACCCAGAGGCAAACTAGGGCAACAAAGACCCCAGCAGACTCCAAGGATGGCCAAGTACCGAGTAGTAAATGACAGCAGACGTAGACCCCAAGGTGATTTATGGAAGGAGGCCCCAAGCCCCAAGGGCAGTACTTACAGGGCACCTAGGGAAGGAAACCCTAGGTGCATGCAGCCCGAATACCATAGAAAATATGACTCCTGGCTATAGAATATGACTCCTAGTAATTTTTTTATTTGTTGTGTCTTGGCAAACAACATGCATGTATTTTCATAGACACACTTTAGGGGATTAATAAAGATTAAATCATGTTATTTCAAATATTTTCATTCACAGCTACAAAAGTAAAAAAAAAAATATTATATAATTTGAGCGGATATAGAGTACCTGTGTTTTTCTCCCAGTGTACAGTAGGTTGAGGGTGGCCTGTGGTGTGACATGCAAGTTGTAACTCTTCACCTTCCTGAATCACCAGCTCCGAGGGTAGAGGTTCACTCAGGAACGGAGGCACTGTCAATCAGAGGAATTTAATACCAATGAATTGCTAGCATCATGTATAATATGAACTTAAAAAATGAGTAAGAATAAAATACAGTAGAACCTCAAGTGATGACCGCCTCAATTGGTGAGCATTTTGGGTAATGAGCGCCCAGATCGCCAACAATTCATCTCGTATAGCGAGCGCTTGTTTGAACAACAACAACACCACATGGTTGGGTCGCGCTGCTTCTCGCACATTCTCAGACGCCTCCGATGATGCAAATAATTTTTTTTTTTTTTTAAAGATGCTAATGATGCTGGGATATAAAGGGGTGACAGCTGTAATGTTGCAAAGCATTGACTTTTTTGTAGAAAAAAGAAATTACATTTTGTGAAAACAACAAATGTCTAAAAGGTTCGTTCGGTGTTCCGCAGGTAGGCTGCTCCATGTTTCTTATAAAAAAAAACAGCATTTAATGTAATGAAACACCATTTTCTGGGTGAGCCCTGGAGGCTCCCTGGAGCTTATCGGGGCTAATGTATGTTATATTAAACCAGGACATTAGCTATGGAGTTCAGACCTACCAGGGATCAGCGCCAGAACCTGGCCCCTTCAGAGAGGTTTCAGGGAACAATGGCCCTGGAAAACCCTCTTGTGGTTGGGGGTTTTCCTTATCTGCCATCGACCAAGGTTAGGAACCCAGAAAGGTAAGCATAACAAAACAAACCCCACATGGTAAGAAACTACAACAAAAAAACAAACAGAGGTAGAAACTCCCTACAATCCTAAGGAAACAAGCAGACAAGCAAACATCACACTTACTGCCACGCCGATCGTCCGCGCAACCCTCCCCGCCCCGAGAGCGGGAGGGGGGGCCTCAGACCTCACTGCACTGGCTGCCTAGAACCTGTTCAGAAGCTAAGCTTCAACCAACGTGAAAAATCGCCGACCGGTGAGAGGGAGGGTTGCCAAGGAGCCTCCGAGGCTCACCCAGAAAATGGCAATTCATTACATTCAACACTGATTTTCTGTGGGGAGTCCCTACGACTCCCTAGAGCCTCATACCCAAAAAAAAGGAAAGGCAAGAGCTGACCCGGAAGGCAGCCGCCACAAACTCCGCAATGTGAAGTCGAGACAACAGGCAGCAACCTGCAACCCAAATCAACAAAAGAACACACAGGAGCAGAAACCCTCTCAAAAGAATGGGTGGCCAGGAACCTGTGTAACCCCCAAATTCTTGCAGCTGAAAAGAGCCCAAAACGTCACCAAACACGGCAGCAAAAGCTGCAAACGTTCGAACGGTACGGGCGCAAGTATAGACTGCAGGCTGGTAAACTTAAACCTGCAGATGACCTGGGAAACCTGAGCCCTGAAACAGGGAACGAGGGGAACCGGATCAACCCAAAGCGCATCCCCAGCCATGGTACGCAGGTAACGGCGAAGAGCCGCAAGCAAACAACACATTTCGCACTCCTGGTCGAACCAACCAAGCATCAATAACCCAAGAACCCCTCCGGAAAGCAGCCATCTCGACCGTCACCAGAAGGACGGAGAGAGGCTGCAAGCAAACAAACCAACCTCCAGGACCAAAAGAGCAGAAACCTCTGTGCCGGAAGAGAGCCGGAAGCTCCCCGACCCAATCCACAGAAGCCAATGCCAACAAAATACAGCCTATGAAAAACAATCTTGAACCGAAGGGGCAACCACAAACTGAAAAGAGGAAGGATAAGAGGGCACCCTGATCAAGGACCAGGACGGCTCAGGCAGGGCATGAGCAGGCCAAAAGGCCCACCTCGATAGCAAAAACCCAAAGCCCTGGCACGATCAAAACATGTGTCAAGATCCAAAAAGATCAGTCTGTAAGCCAGGAAGACCCCGGAATGCCAGAAGGCAGAACCGAGTCACAAATGAGGTAACAAAGCCCCCTTGAACCGACAAAGGGGGCCCAAGAGGAAGAAACCTACGGAATGAAACCACAGAACCCATGGTAACCTGGAGTCGTACATGGGGGAGCCCAAACTACCACATTTGCCAGTGGAATTGCACCACTTAAGAGCAAAGCACAGCACCCAGACAGAACCCCCAGGAAAATGACCAAAACAGACCGAAAACCAAGGGACAAAGTGAGGGAGCAAGCGTAAATAGACAGGGACACTGAGTCCAAACCCCAGGGCCCAGACCCAAAACAGACAGAAAATGCAAAAACCGGTGTAAAAACCAATGCCCAAGCATTCCCAGAGGAACAGAAGATAGGCAAAACACCCCAGAATAACAAAGAAACAGCAACAGGAGGATAAAACCCCTGAAAGGAGGTGAAAACTCACCCAAAAACGCCAGCTCACACACTCAGGCATCGGTAAACAAATTGCAGTGCCGCCAGTGGCCGAGCGGAGAGAGGAAAAGAAAATGGCCACCAAAACAAAGGAGCCATGACCGACGCAATAGAGCTGAAAACACGCCAGCAAAGGTGGGAAGGAAGCAGACTAGAGCGACGAAAACCCCGCCCAGAAGCAGAAAACCCCGGCAGGGGCAAACAGCCCCAAAACTGCAAGCGGGCATCCTCCACAGCCCCAAGAACCCGTAACAGATGCCCCAGGGCAGAGCCATCCTCCACACCCTCTGCCCTTAAAGAAAAGGAAGAGTCCAGGGGAAAGGCAGCAAAGATGGGCCACTGGTAAGACCCAAAAGCCTTGGCAGGAGGAACAGGCTTGAAAACCTCCATCCCCAACCCTAACAGAGCAGCCCCCAAAGCCGCCTGAGTCTCGGCACCAACTAAACCCCGCCCTGACCCCGAAACCCGCAGATGGTCAGGAGCCGGGAACAGGGAGGGAAGGGGCGAACAGCACCTAACCAAAACGGGGCGGCCCTGGGGCATCCGGGTGAAAAACCAACCTAGCGCGTTGCAGCAACCTAAACCAAGCTTGCAACGCGGATGCCGCCTATACTCTGAACAGTAATAACATTAGGAGAGTACTGGAGAACAAGCAGAGAACACAACTCGCAAAACTCTGGGTCAAGGAGTCAGTGACCCAATAGGGAACATGACGCAGGTAAAAGTAGCGACTGTCACCCGGAGACAAGAGCACAGCAACCAATGGACCCGCACAAGACGGGTTGGAACCCAGAAGACATTCAGTGGTCCTCCGAGCCCCGACAGGGTTTTCCAGGGCCCGTAGGGTACCAACTACGGAAAGTTTCTAACCGGTTAAAACCCAAAACAAACAAGGGGGTAGAGGACAAAACTGAAAACCCCTGCGATGTGTACAATCACGGGGGCCTAGTAGAGGGCTACCAAACACTACCAGTGGAACTATAGCCACACTAGGCAGACCCCCACCAGGGGAGCTGCTACGTACGGGCCAACAGGCCCTCGGCAGTCACCTGTGTGCTGACGGTCTTATATTCATATCCAAGACCAGACCGCACAAACTCATCTGCCTAACGTAGACACGAACGTGTCACAACACAACGTAGCCGAGAAGATCCCGAGAGCACCGCCAGGGGAGGAAGGCCAGAGCCGCACACGCAGGGGAGCAGGGTAGAGGCAAAGGAGGCGCCCCACACCCATGACACAGGGAAAACCTCAGCATCCACCCCATAGCTGCAATCCAAAACACCCCAGCAGCTATGAGGCATGGACCAGAGAATGGAGAAGAGCAAGAGGCGAAGCACCCAAGAGAAAAAAATGCAAAACACCAGCACTGGTGCACACCACCCAGACCAAAACAAACTCCCACGGCGCATGCGCAGGACACGATGTCCGAACTGCACAACCCGCCCGGCAGAAAGGCGCCAACTAGGACTACTTTACAAGAAAAGTAGCCTAACAGTTCGTGACCCGAGGGAACCACTAAATAGAAAAAACAGCCCAGCTCATGGGACAGGAGCCAAAAAAGGAGTAAGCAGCGACACAAATAGCCGGCTTACGAAATGAATACAATGAACCTAATCGGGAACCCAACTGGGCTATAAGTAGCCCAATCTGGTATCCCGAACTAGGAGTATGTAAAGAAAACGAGCAGTGCCAAGGCGAGACAGAGCACGGAGAGAAGAGACAGCAACAAAAGAACAAGACAGGGCCGAAAACCAAGAATAAGCACAGAAGAGGACCAACAGGCCCTAGAAAGGACCGGAGAGAAGCCACACCGAAAAACGACAGACGTTCCAATAATACGGGAAGTAGCGAAAAACCTTCCCGAACCCTTGAGAACACACAGAAGCAAACACTAGTCATGAAGGCACAAAGGCACAGTCGCACCCAAGACCAAAAGTCATGCAGAACCACAATAAGAGGGGAGCATGACGGAGAAGTCCCATCCCAAGAAAGAGGATGGAATAACGGAAAGAACACCCCACCAACATGACGGAGAAGTCCCATCCCAAGAAAGAGGATGGAATAACGGAAAGAACACCCCACCAACATGACGGAACCAACGGACTCAAGGGACACCGAACCGAGCCCGGGGAGGTGCCAATGCCCAACAACTCGTACGGAGAGGAAGGAGGAAAAAACTCCACTCCGCATAACCGCAAGCTCCGTCCAGAGGGTACAAAAACCCCGGCAGTGTCCAAATGGGGCCCTAGCACCCCCAAGGCAGCCCCTCCCCATCCCCAGGAACCCACACGGCAGGCCCAGGGGCCGAGCCAGCCCACCAAAGCCCTGGCCTCACAAGAAAAAACTGGGGCAGCCGCGAAAATACAGGTACTAAGGAAAGGAGCCCACTGGCAAACTCATACAACACGGCTGGAGAAACAGGTTCGAATGCCCCCGTCACTACTCCTAAGGGGAATTTCTCGAGATCGCCTGAGTCTCAAAACCAACAAAGCCCCGCCCCAACCCCGAACCCACAGACTGTAAGGATCCGGATGCAGGTAGGAAGGGGGGGGGGGGACCAGACTAGACCACAACAGGGAAAAGACAAGGGGGCGTGGAAGGAACTCAAGCAACCAACACCCCCAAGCCCCAACACCAACCAAAACATGACAGCCTCAGGGCTTCCTGGGAGCAAACAATCGAGAGCATTGCCACCATCGAAGCTCATAGTGCTCATTATTTAAAACATCGCATATCATATTGATGTTTTTCGGTGGTAGAACAGATTAATTTTATTTCCATTATTGTCAATGGGGAAATTGTTTTGTATGGCGTCCGTTTCACGTGACGATTACGGCGCTGGAACATATTAAATTCTTTATTCGAGGTTCCACTGTAATTAGTTAAAAGTACGAGTAAGAATATTTAAGAAAATGCAAAATTAATTGGCTTTGGCAGACATAAGAGAGTAAGTAAGATGAGATGGAGCTCCACCTTGGATCCGGAAAAAATGTGCTCAGGGGCTAAGCAACATATTGTGGATTATGTTTGACTGCCCAAGTGACACACACATCATCCACCGTGCCACACCACATACAGACAATATACGAGTTATCATGATGTATGTGTGCACCATCTTCTTGTCAATAATTGTTTTCAGATCACGAGTGTGGGTCACAGAGTTGATGGTGGCTTCCATCAGACAAAGATAAAATTTTAAAACAGGTATAGATAATCAGGAAATCACACACAACCAGAATATAGGATTCTTTTTCCAATGTACCAGTAAGTGTTATTTGTGTGTAAATATTTCATATATGTGGCCAGATACTGGTGAGATACTGAATAATAATATTAAGGTACTGTATATGTTATATTGAGAAAAAAGGAAAATTTGAATTTATTTGGAACATAACCATATTTTTGCCATGTATGTAAAGTTTCATTAGTGTGTGGGATCAGGGTTTACATAATTTATTTTTATGTATGAAACCTATGAAGAAATCAAGGGTTGCCTGTGCTAAAAAGCCTCACAACTGCACATGAAGTAGATGGGGTACAACTTCTAGCATTACTCTACTATATAATATCAATGTTAACAACATACTATTTTATTCCTTAAACCATTCATAAAATGAACCTTAATCACTGCTATACTAACCAAACATACTGACTGATACAGCAGCTGAGCCATAAGGTGTCACACACTGGTAAGTACCAGCATGCTCTTCTCCAGCTCTATTAATGATCAGCTCATTCACTGTCACATTGTAATCAGAGTGATAAACTCTGGACTCGTACAAACTTGGGTCAAGTAATTCATTTTTGAATATCCAGCCAACTGTAGATTGCTGAAATAAAGCCATAGAATATTAATTAACAGAGGAAATTCCATTTACACTCCTAAAACATCATTTAAAACAAGTTCTAACAAATAAAGAGATATATTATTTAACACTATAACAAATTGTTCTTAAATAAGAGTAAGATTTGGAGTTCATAATTGCCTCAGAGCAAAATCATTTTGTTACTCTTAGGTATATGATCCACTGGGTATTAATTAAAGTGTTGTGCATAGTCAGAAAGAATGACTACAGAAAGCCAGGAATGACATATAAGAGGTCTGTTCATAAATTCAAGCCTTGCAAAACCAACAGATGCCACTATGTAACTGCCAATGGTAGGTGGTGGTTGTTGATTTAGGGGGAAAATGATGATCCATTGGTTGGATGTGTTCTGGTTACCCAGGACTGAAAAATGTTAATAGGGCGTGGAGGTCCCATACAGCCTCTAGATTGTGGGCCTGTATGACAAAGATATGTAGAATTAGTCAATTGGAGATGATTGAGGTGCATTGCAAAGCCAAGCTGTACAATGATAAGAGCCCCTGACATGACCGAAAGTGCTCTGACTCTCCTCTCATGTAAGTGACTCCAATCATCCTATACCTTGGTCTTCCTCCCAAATAATTCTTACTACCTCTACTCTCCACAGACAATGTCTTGTTGAATTGCCTCTCATACATAACATGTCAAACATGAATCTTAGTCCTGGATTTAATGCTGTCAACGCTTGCCTTTCTCAGTACATGGGTAAATGCTTAAACTTTCTTAAAATATGATCTGATCTAGCTATCTGCCACTGTGGTCTTGTTTTATCTATTCTATCCCTATCTCTTTTTGTCTCTAATCTGGTTTTCTTTCATTTTCCTTTCTCTATTTACTTTGTGCATTTACCCTCCTTCTCTTCTCTGCTTGCTTTGTTTAATTTTCTTTCTTTTTGCAGAGAGTTGCCTTTAGCTTGTTTTTGTGCCTTTCTTTATACACTTGCAACTCCCATCCTATCATCTTACCTCCTCTCACCTCATTACCTTATTGATTGATAAAGATTAAGCCACCCAAGAGGTGGCACAGGCATGAATAGCCTGTAAACTTCATTACCTCTGTAATGTATATTTACACATATGTGAGTTTGGGTGACAAGATGCAAAGTTTGGTGGGATTTTTAATGTTTATCTTATAGCCTTGAATACAGGAAATCAGTTACTGGCGATGTAACAAGGTGTTGTGACGATGCCTGGAGCAGAGGGCAAAAAAGCTTGAGCAAGGCCAAGGGCAGAGAGCCTGGATGCAAGGCAAGAGCGTGGAGTTTGAATGCAGGACAAGAGTATGGAACTCAAATGAAGGTGGGGTCAGAGAGCTCGAACACGGGATGAAAGCAGTTAGCTCGAGTACGGGCAAAATCTGGATGTCTGCTTTGTGGCGAGGCTGTAGTATCTAGTGTCATTAAGTGCGACACTGCTGCTGGTGAATGTCGATGGTGTTAAAGATCTGCAGTATCCCTAGAACGTCTGTCATTGAACCACTATTCAAGTTAGACTGAGACTGAGACTGAGACTGAGACTGAGACTGAGACTGAGACCGAGACTATGACTGACGAAACATTCATTCTTGGCGGCTTATATTACATGATTCCCCTGACTTGCCAAGTCAACCATCGTTTTTAGATGTCCTGAGTGATGCCTGTACCCTTGGGGAGAAATATTAACTGTAATTAGTGCATATAGGATAAGTGTTGAACTTCTTGGAATGTGGAATTCTTTGGGATAAATTATGTGGAATTAATAGGCACATCTATTTGCCCTGGATTGAAACATTTTAGAATTTAGAGCAATTATATTACTCTTAATATAATTTCTACACCTCTCTCGTTTCATAATGGTTGCTTCCCTTTTTTCCCTCAGTTTCAACTTGATAAGGACCCAGGATGGACCAGAATGTCATCATTGTTGGGCCATTTATCAAGACATTGGAAATTTCTTGAACCTTGACTATTCTTACAATCTTTAGTGCTATACACTTGTAAGGATCACATTCCACTTGTGACAGTCAGACTAAAACCATGCCAAATGGTTCTCTCAGTGACACCCTCCGCAAGGTTGACTCTTAAGGACAAAACCCAGGATAGCTAGTAGGAACAGATAATTGTGTCTAGCAACAGACTTTTCCTCAAGGGGTTGATTTAATTGCATCGAGACAGAAGGCTTCTCATTCTGGGCTGGCTTAATGCTCAAGCACTGTTTCTTGATCGTTCTTGTAAGAGGCAGTCCAACCTAGGTTATTGCCTACCTGAAGTCATGATAATTTTAATGGTTGCCAATGAAAGAGCAGTTTTGTATTCATTTGCAAATGATTGGAGAGGTCAGTCATACATCTGGCCAACTTTACAATACTGTTACTGAGAAAAAAAATTCTACAGAGAAACAAAAATATAAAAATTACAAAACATTACAAAACAATAAGGAATTCCAATTAAAAATACTTCATAATGCTGATGACAATCTTAATCTAATGTACATATTTATATTTTTAAAAGTTCTCATGAAGCTACCAATAATAAAAATTATCAGCCTCTTACTTGAGTATCTTTTGCATACTGAGTGGAGCAGCTTAAAATCAATGGTTCATCCTCGAAGAAGTTTCCACCAGTAACTCCAAGTAATCTAGCAGGGCGACCTGCAATTGGCCCAAAAGAAAGCCTAAGTGGTAATTTGTACGAGGATTTTTTTAACACTAGACTGCCTATATTAACATTTGTCTTTATTTATATATATATATATATATATATATATATATATATATATTAGTATATTTTGGTAGCAGTCTTTCCTGTAGACATATATTATTAAATATGACCGAAAAAGTAATATTAATAATTCTAACACGAATTTTCGCAAACGGCTAGTCAATAACGGCTTCTCCAATGGTTTCATCGAAGACATCATAAGAAGGAAAGTGAAAAGCCATGCAACCTCTGAAGAGACAACTAACACAACACCTATAACCCCTATTAGACTATTTTACAGGAACTTCTTTTCCACAGCTCATAAAACGGAGGAAAGGGTCCTGAAAGATATTGTAATAGAAACGTTATCCCTACAGACAAAAATCAGAGGATACAACTGACGATTTACTATAAAACCAGAAAAACGGCCAGCCTACTCATGAGAAACTCTCCAGACACAAAACAGAACGCTTTAAAAGAGACTAATGTCGTCTATGCCTTCAAATGCCCACTTGGGGACTGTAAGCTCCAAAAAACCCAGTATATAGGCAAGACAACAACATCTCTTTCTAGGCGTTTAACGATGCATAAGCAACAGGGCTCCATTAAGGAACATATAATCTCTTCCCATAACCAAACCATCGCCAGAGAAATCCTAGTAAACAACACAGAAATCATCGATAGATACAGCGATAGCAGGCGGCTTGACGTTTGCGAGGCACTACACATCAAGAAGTCAACACCAGCAATCAACAGCCAATTATTGCACAACTATATTCTACCCACCTCAAGACTCCGCTCCAATATAGAAGCATCAAGAAATATGGACCAATAGGCTTTCTACAAACACTTCTATTCAATACCCATTGTTTCTGTTCTGTCTTGTGTTGATACTTTTAATACCCTATTAATATCCCCTCCTGTTCTGTCTTGTGTTAATGCCACATCACCCTTCCCACCTCACTCAAATGTAGATATAAAATCAGAGATACGTTCTAATCAGTTGTGTATTTGTGAAGTCTTTGAAAATGTAATAAGTTTTACGAAACGCGCCCGTGTCGCGTCAGACTAGAAATAAAAATGAATTTTGGAGAAGTGATTTTTGATTTACCTCCAACAGTGAAGCGTAATGTACGAAAGATTGAGAAAATTCGTGTTAGAATTATTAATCTTACTTTTTCGGTCATATTTAATAATATATATATATATATATATATATATATATATATATATATATATATATATATATATATATATATATATATATATATATATATATATATATATATATTTTTATACACAAGAAGGTACATTGGGTTTATGAGAGTACATAGCATGGATGTTATACATTCTTGTAAAGCCACTAACATGCATAGTGTTTTGGGCAGGTCCTTAATCTAACAGATAATTTTAAGTAGGTAATTTCTAGCAAAATTTAAAAAATGTTAACAGGCACATTGTATGAAAATTTGACAAAGATTAGTAGGTACATTAAAGTAAAATTTAAGGGTTATAAACAGGTACATGGTAGCATAATTTGAGGATTATTTCAAGATATCATGCAATAAAATATGCATTCAATATAACAACCATGATATAAGATGATAGCAATGATTACAATGGTGAAGTTGTATGGCTTAGGTACATATATTGGGGGATTGGGTAGCACAAGATACAGTGCAAGTCTAACAAACTTGCACTTTACTGTATTGTAACAAAACTCATTACTTTAAAGTAACACTACTGCTAGCATATGATAATGATAATAATTAAGATAATAATTAAATTAATAATGGTAATGATAATAATAATCATAATGTGATAATAGTAATGATAATAATGCTGATGATAATGATAATAATGATGATAATAAAAATAATAATAATAATAATAATAATAATAATAATAATAATAATAATAATAATAATAATAATAAAAATACTAAGAAAATTAATAGAGAGCCATGAGGAGGATTCGAACCTGCATACTTGGTACTCCCAAGTGCACGGCGAAGGCCACAACACCATGACATAGCCAAAACCAATACAACCTCAGATTCAACTGAATCCTCTAGGGATTCTGAGGCATTACTTAGGCCCAATCAGGGTTTTTACTTATTGTCCCCATACACTCTGGCTGTGGTCCAGGAGTTCTATCTCTAACACTTCTCTTCAAATGTCAATCATGGTTCATGGCTCTTACTGATTATCTCATCAATACATCACATTAATGTGATTTCATTGTGCATTTGAGGGGAAGCATTGGAGGCAGAACTCCTGGACCACAGCCAGAGTGCATGGGGACAATGCATGAAAATCCTGATTGAGCTTCAGTAGAATCCTCAGGACTACTGGTGGATTCAGTTGAATCCCAGGTTGCAGTGCTTTTGACCATGTCATGGTGTAGTAGCCTAGGGTCAGTGCTTGAGAGTACCTTGTGTGCAGTTTGAATCGTCCTCACTGCTCCTATCGATTAGGTGACCATTGCATGTTTCCAAGTAAAGGTATTTTCCATTGTCCTTAGATTTTATGAATATCAGTTTCACTTGTAAACACAGTTCATTTGCTAGTTTCTTTATGATTTTGGATTTATGCATCTACACCTAAAGCTTAAGATTCTTTTAATTTGCCAATGCTCTTCCTGATTATTTTACATGTGATGGGGGATGATAGAGTCACCTAATTTTTTAGAAAAATGTTTTGTTTGACTGAAAATAAAAATACACTATAATATATAGTACAGTACTGAATACTAGCTACATAAACCACAATTTTTATCTTTTGACTTCCACAATAATTACAACTAACCTTCAATGTTGATGAGTATATCTTTTGATGCCCCTGGAATGTAGCAAACATAATGTCCATTATCAGAAAATGATACAGACTCAATATATACAGTAGAGGACAGCATGTTTGGAGATCCTTTAGAAGAGTATTTTTTTCTCCCAGGGAAGTTAGGTCCAAACGACAGCTCCGAGCCATCCTTTAACCATAACACCTGAAATTAAAAATACTGTTGCAATCTAAACTATTTTCTAGCCATGTCACCTGCAGATGAAAATACTGCTATAATTGTTATCCTTACTACATTCAAAAAGCATTAGGGCAGTATGCTGAACCATTATTTAAAAAGATCACAAAAAGCCAGCGTTAAATGTAATAAAACATAATTTTTTGGGTGAGCCCCGGAGGCTCCTTGAAGCTATCCAAACTGATATCTGCTTCTTACCACTACATCCCGGGGACTGTAACTTGCATAACATATAATGGTATGGGAAACAATGGAAAAATTAAATACATTCTGTATACAGTACATTAAAATTATTTAAATTCAAGTGTTTGTACCTGGTTGATACCTGGTTGAAACAGAGGCACTACCTCTGAAATACAATATAATAACTTGTAAACATCTTACCAGCGCAACTAACCTCTGAGTCTGAACCCGAAACAATGCAGGTGAGAGAGAGTGTCTGCCCATACTCCACAGCGTCCTTGTCTGGTTCACTTCCCAGGGACACCACTCGTGGAACTAAATGACAACACAATGACAGAATTTATGGTACTGTACCTGAATTTAAGGGAAGTTGGCAATGGAACATTTATGGAAAGTTTATAAGCAACAATATCACAACTGTACTTTTGTATGCTTATTAAGGCATATCATAAAGAAATTACATTTTTAAAAGCACTGCAGGCAATTAATATTCCAATGCAGACAATTATATTTCAGTATTTACTTCATTACAGTAAAGTAGCCCCTACCTCATACTCACTTCTTACATTAACATGGAAGTTGCGTTCCTCAGGTGGCTCTGTTTCAATACGACATGTAAAATTTGCATCCATCCTGAGTGTAGCAACTGAGAGAGTTGCTTGAAGCTGATTTGCTGGTTCTTGTTCTTGTTCTTGCCGCTCGTTAACATTTTCAGTTATTTTCTTAAGATTCCGAGTGTAAAGGCGGTCCGTAACTGGGATCTCGACACCATTTTTCAGCCATATAACCTGATGAGGATTATAGAATACGATATATAATAAGGACAAGTTGTTAATAAGTTAATTCTAATGTGGCATCTCAATTACACATTAGTGTATAATCTAATAAAATCCTCAAATTTGTTCTCTAGCCATAATCTATGCATAATGCAATGCATTATAATCAGGAAGAAAAGGAGTAAGTTGAAGTAGCTGAAAAACCTAATTTCACGAGAGAACATTATGGGGAACTTAGAAATTTCTTTAACCCCTGCACTGTGCACCTGCTTTTTGCAAAAATTTCTCAGTGTAATTGTCAAGGACATATTTTTGTTGTTTTTATAAATATTCAGGTAAAGTTAATATCAATGTTTCCAAACTTAACTATTTCCATTTCAAAAAACAAAGAATAATGAAAACCTTAAAAAATATTGAAATATAGCCTAATTTAAAAATAAAAGGCACAACTTTCAGAGCACCAAAAAGCGCTTTGCACAGTGCAGTGGTTAAGAAACTTAACTAGAAAGATTTGCTGTTAGGCAAGGAAGCAAATGAGATGTATGCCAAGTTTTGTGAAATCTATGTTAAAGGCACAAAAAAATTTATACAAAAGCAGAGATGCAGAACTAGGAAACAGTATTGGTGCAACACAAATGGTCTCTGGCATGAGGGCCAGAGACTAAAAGACACAAAAATGGAATCAATAGAGGAAGAGACCAAACTCTCAAACATACTAGCAATACAAAGATGCGAGAAAAAACTACACAGTAGTGAGGAGAGAAGCAGAAAGAAATTTTGAAAAAAGGATAGTAGATAATTTGTGAAACAGAACTAGGCCTATTCTATAAATTCATCAAAAGTAAATTGCAGGTAAAGGATAATAATCAGAGGTTGAAAATGGGAAACAAATTCACAGAAAATGAAAGGAAATGTGTGAAACATCAAACGAACAGTTCCAAAGTGTGTTTGTGCAAAATGAAATCTTCAGAGAACCAGATACAATTAGATTTCATGAGAACAACATAAAGCACATAGAGGTGTCTAGAGACAAATTGGAAAAAATGCTCAAGAAGCTAAGTAAGAACAAAGCAGTTGGCCCAGATGGAGTTTCACAATGGGTTCTGAGAGAATGTGCAACTCAGTTCAGCATTCCACTTCAATTGATTTTTCAGGCATCCCTGTGTACAGGAGTCATAGCAGATGTGGGAAAAATGGCTAACATAGTTCTAATCTACAAAAGAGGCAGCAGGAAAGTCCTTTACTTATAGACCTGTATCATTGACAAGTGAAATAGTCAAAATATTGGAAAAAATAATTAAAAATAAATGGGTAGAACACCTGGAGAAAAATTATGTAATAGCTGGCAGACAGTATGTTTTTCAATCTGGAAGATTCTGTGTGATGAATTTACTCAGTTTCTGTGATAGAGCCACAGAGATTTTACAGGAAAGGGATTGTTGGGTTGACTGCATCTATCTGGACCTAAAAAAGGGCTTTCAACAGTTCCACATAAGAGTTTGTTTTGGAAAACGAAACATATTGGAGGAGTGACAAGTAGGCTTCTGACATGGATGAAAACTTTTCTAACTGACAGAAACTGACAGAAAAATGAGGGCAGTAATCAGAGTCAATGTATCATACTGGAGAAATGTCACAAGTGGAGTACCACAGGGTTCAGGTTTTGCTCTGGTAATGTTCACTGTCTACATAAATGATGTACCAGATGGAATACAGAATTATTTTAACATGTTTGCTGATGATGCTAAGATAATAGAGAGGATAAGAAACTTAGAAGATTGTCATGCACTTCAATAAGACCTGGACGAAATAAGTGTATGGAGCACCACTTGGCAATTGGAATATAATATGAATAAATACCATGTTATGGAATGTAGAATAGGAGAACATAGACCCCACACAACCTACAAATAATGTGAGAAATCTTTAAAGAATTCCAAAAAAGAAATTGATCTTGAGGTGGTTCTAGACAGAAAACTGTCACCTGAGGACCACATAAAGAACATTGTGAGAGGGACCTATGCTACACATTACAATTTCATAATTACTTTTAAATACATGGAATGGTGAAATACTAAAGAAATTGTTCACGACATTTGAGAGACCAAAGCTAGAATATGCAGCAGTTGTATGATGCCCATATCTAAAGAAGCACATCTACTGGAAAAAATGTAAAAAACCAGCGTTGAATGTATTGAAATGCCATTTTCTGGGTGAGACCCGGAGGCTCCCTGGAGCTTTACCAGGCTGATATGCTAATGTCAGACTTTGGAATCAGTCATGTATATGGAGTTCTAGAGCCTACCGGGGACCACGTCCAGAACCTGGCCCCCTCAGAGAGGCAAGGGGAGCAATGGCCTATAGAAACCCCTGTGTGGTTGGAAGCATTCTATGTCTGCCATCGACCAGGTCAAGCATCCAGAAAGGTAAGCATTCCAAAACAAACCCCTATTCTGGTTAAAATTACTACCAAAAGCCAAACTAGTGGATAGAACTCCCCAACAGAAAACAAGCAAACTAGTATGACGTCACACGTCACCGCATCGCTGTCTGCGCAGCTCCCCCCTCCCCGGGAGGGGGAAGGGGGAGCCCCAGACCTCTCACGCCGGCTATCCACCAATCAGTTCTGAGGCTGGATGTCAAAACACGTGAAAACCGCTGACCGAAGGGAGGGAGGGTTGCCGGGGAGCCTCCAGGTCTCACCCAGAAAATGGCGTTTCATTACATTCAATGCTGGTTTTCTGGGGGCAGCCCCGTCGGCTCCCCGGAGCTAACTACCCACAGAGGAAGGTCAAAGGGATGGAACCGGGAGGCGGACACCACGCACCCCTCAACGGAAGTGAGACAACCGGCAGCAAACAACAACCCAAAGTGACACAGCCCTGAAAGGGCCCGGGAACAACACGAGACAACGAGCAGCAAAGCCCTTGTGCGAACACCAAAGATCCGTGCCCGAATGACAGCAAGGACACGCCGCTCTTGCTTTTTGTCTTGCTCTTTGACGGCAGCAAGAGCAGCGAAGCCCCAAACGCCACGGGCATGGGGAAAGAACACAGGCAGGCTAGCCGCAAGAACAAGGCTGACAACCCGGGACACCGTCACCCGCGAACAGGGAAGAATGGACCGGATCAACTCAAAGCGCACCCCGGACATAGAGGCCGAGGCACGCAAATAACAGTGGAGGGCCACCACTGAACACAAAACACGACATCCCCGGCCCGACCAACCAAGCACCAACAACCCAAGGACCCCTTCAGAACGCAGCAGCCCCATCCTGTGCCATAAAAGATGGAGACTGCTGCCACCGAACAACCAAAACGCCAAAACTGAAGGAGCAGAAAACCCCTGCAGAGGAGCAAGAAGCCCAGCGACCCGACCCCCAAAGGCAAATGCCAACAGGAAAAAGAGCCGACAAAACAACAAACAGAAACTGAAAGGGCACCACCAACCAAGGAGAAGACAGAGCACGCTGACCAGAGACCAGGACGGTGCAAGCGGCGCACAAACAGGCCGGAGGTGACAACGCAGGAGACAGCTTACTAACGGTGCAGAAGCAACACAAGGACCGAACGCAAGCCGAACAAAAAGCCACCCAGCGCCGCACAAAACGAGGCGACAGTACGTGGCTAGACGACGGCCCCCAACCCCCACCAGAAAAACCAAGCCGACGCTAACAACTGCAGCCACCTAAGAAGGGACAGGAGGAAAAGGAAGGACCGCAAAAATACAACATACTGCCGCCAAGAAGAAGTATGCAGGTGGAACACCTACCACAAAGCCACCAGACCACCAACCAGAGGCGAGACACGCGAGGCAGAAAGTAAACAGCCCCAACAAGGCTCCTCCGAGTCCAGGAAAAGGCAGAGCCACGGGAAGATCTCGGGCGCAACCACTAAAGCCCAGGCGGCACAAAGGAGATGAAACATCTGCCGAATAGAAAGCTCCACAATGCCAGCAAGCCCGCCAGGAAATCAGAAAGGATGGGTCCGACGCGAGACATCGCAAGACCCTGAAAAGCCAACTGGCAGGAAAACCGAAGAAGCTGTAAGGGTTGCCACCAGAACAGTACCCGAACCAAGGGGTATGAGCAATGAAAACAGACCAAGACACAGAAGCACACCATAGGACACAGGCTGAAAGAACGCCCAAGAAGCCAAGGAACGCACGAAGAACACCCCTGTGACAGAGGAGGAAACAAAGGGAACGCACAAGGAAGGGAAGGGGTAAAAAACCGACCCTCCCCCCTACAGCAGCAAGTGCAGGCAAAGCCCACCAAAGGAGATGCCAGGAAAGCGACTTGGGAGAAGCAGGATGAAAGAGCCAAAGCTCAAACCCCAGGAAACAACCAGGGGTGGACAATCAAGCAGGGACAGAATCCCACGCACATGGAAAGGCCAAGCCAGGGACTCGAAGACTGCAAAAAATAACAAGCAAACCCCATACGCAAACCCTAGGCACAAAACAGCAGCAAAGTGCCACACCACAACCGGACACAGGAATAAGGATACGCCATCACGAAACACGTTACCAATGCACACGCGCAGCAGCAACATGCACTGCCACAACACGCAACATGTAAGTAACAACTTGCCTCTGCAAAGGCAGAGAACGGTGCAGGCAGACCCCAGACAGGGCCAACGGAGACACGACAGAACCCAGCAGGCCCAGAAACCTGCACACCAGGCAACCGACGGCAGAGAGACCTGCTCGATACCTGCTGGATGGGGTTCTGGGAGTTCATGTACTCCCAAAGCCCGGCCCGAGGCTAGGCTTGACTAGTGAGAGGTTGGTTCACCAGGCTATTGCTTGGAGCGGCCCACAGGCCCACATAGAGGTCATAGATTTAAACTAACTAAACAAAGCTGCCGAAGAAATATGAGAAAATTCCCTTTCACAAACAGAGTGGTAGACGGTTGGAACAAGTTAGGTGAGATCTAGGAACATTTGAATGTAGGTTCGAACACTCGTCACGGCCCTTGTGGATTTGTTGAAAGTGGTAAAGGCAAAAGCCTTCAGTAGTTTTAAAGTGTTATATGATAAAGAGTGCTGGGAAGACGGAACACCATGAGCGTATTTCTCATCCCGTATCTACACTTAGGTATAATTACATTTAGGTAATTTACCTTTCACTGCAAATGAGTACTATAATAAGTCAATATTATACACTTCTTTAGTTTATTAATGTTCTTATACTAAAAGATGATTAATGTACTTTACTGCTGGCAATAAGCAAAAGTAAATTTTAAAGCCTCTCCAAAAAGCAATTTAGTTTTGTACTTATTCAATTATTGTACTTTCCTAACCACTCTTACTCACCTTAACTGGCCAGCCTGGAGTTATGGTACATGTAAATGTGGCTGGATCTCCATATTTAACTTCTGATGGACCATCTGCCTTTGCAATCACCTGACGCTCAGATGATGTCCCTGGTTCTGTCAAAAGTAATGAATGAAACAATTAACCTAATTCACAGCCCTCTCCTTCTTAATTGAAAGGACACTTCAGAGAAATATGTCTCTATGTACTTTGATTTACTTAAGTCTACCCGAGGGCCACTATCTCTAGTGGCATCAATGAGAATAAGAAGCCAGTGGCTTGTCAAAGCCCCCACTTGTCTGGATGATTTTATTGAGCTGGATCTGGGATTGCAGCATTGATTTTGCATTTACAGTCTCGGTAGGTAAGCAGTTCATGGGTTTATAGCCCTAAGGGTAAAAAACCAGCATTGAATGTAATGAAACGCCATTTTCTGGGTGAGACCCGGAGGCTCCCCAGAGCTATCCCAGGCTGATATGTAACTATTACCTTTCCAGCATCTGTCAAAGTGCATGGCACACTTGCTTACTGGGGACGCACCAACAATAATGTCGCAGGACTACGGGTCGGTAGTTCAAAAGAACTACCGACCCTACAGGCAGCATGGCAGAGGCACAACCAGTGAATGTCACCCTGAGACAAGGGGACAGAGCAACCATCAACCTCGCACGAAGCGAGGGGGGACTCAAAGGTCACATCCATCAGACCACAGAGCCCCTGCGGAATTTCCCAGGGCCCTTAGCCTTGGTAACATGCTAAGGAAAGCCTAGGCAGGGTAACTGTACTGCGAACCAGGACCCAAAACTACCAAGCAAACTTCTAAAGCTGAACCCCTGGGACATGTCCACGCACCGGGGCCAAGCAGGAGGGTACCACCAAAACACCTATATATAAGAGGACCCTAAAAGAAACATGGGAGCAACCAACCAAAGGCAGAACCCCCACCTGGCAGGAAAAACATAAACAAAAGAAAACCCCACAAGAGGACAACATACCTTACCAGGAACAGGCGAAACAGAGCCGGCCACTATAATAGGTGAAAACTAGCTGTGCAGTAACCTGCGCCCCTTCCAGTGATGAGAAATACCTCCTACCCAGAGGCAAACAAGGGCAACAAGACCCCAGCTGATTCCAAGGGCAGCCAAGTACCAAGCAGTAAAAGAAACAGTGGAGGTAGATCCCAAGGTGACTTGTGGAAGATGGCCCCCATGCCCCATGGGCAATACTTACTGGGCACCTAGGAAAGAAAACCCTAGGTGCATGCAGCCCGAGTACTGTAGAATATTACTCCTGGCTCACACATCACCTGTAGAGACAGACCACGCCACAAGACACCCGACCAGCCAGTATTACATCAGCCAAGAACTGTCGGTTGGATCGCAGGTGCAGAGGTCTGGGGCTTTCCCTTTCCCTCTCCCAGGAAGGTGGGGGGGGGGTTGCACAGACAGCGGCGTGGTGACTGGATGTCATCATACTAATTTTCATTTAGGAAGTTCTGTCCACTTGAGTGCAGGCGGGAGAGATACATAATAATTTACACGTGGAAAATATTAGAGGGGCTGGTCCCAAACCTGCACACAGAAATAACATCACATGAGACCAGAAGACATGGCAGGATGTGCAGAATACCCCCGTTGAAAAGCAGAGGTGCAACAGGTACTCTGAGAGAGAACTCTATCAACATCAGAGGCCCGAGACTGTTCAAGACGCTTCCGCTACACATAAGGGGCATAACTGGCAATCCCCTCACAGTGTTCAAGAGAGAACTGGATAAGCACCTCCAAAGGATACCTGATCAACCAGGCTGTGACTCATACATCAGGCTGCGAGCAGCCGCATCCAACAGCCTGGTTGATCAGTCCGGCAACCAGGAGCCCAGCAACCAGGCCGCGGGGACGCTAAGCCCCGGAAGCACCTCAAGGTAACCTCAAGGTAAGGTAACCACTCGTTCGGCATTTGGTAGCAATATTTTCATCAGAATAGGGGTTTGTTTTGGGGGCGCCTATCTTTCTGGGTGCCAGACCCGGTCAATGACATACATAGAATGCTTCCAACCACACAGGGGTTTCTATAGGCCATTGCTCCTCATGCTTTTCTGAGGGGTCAGGTTCTGGCTTGAGGTCCCTGGTAGGCGAGAACTTCATGCACTTTGACTGATGCCAGAAATCTAATAGTTACATATCAGCCTGGATAACTCCGGGGAGCTGATGGGGCTTCCCCCAGAAAAGGCATCTCCTGTTTTCTGTCCCACATTCTAACTTGTTGAACTTGAAACCAATATTACTTGTTTGTGTTACATCTGACATTTTTAGGAATTAAGTGGCCTCGGCATTTTTCCCATCACTTAATAACCCTGTTCACCTAGCAGTTAATAGGCACCTAGGAGTTTGTCAGCTTGTTGTGGGATTGCATTCTGGAAAGGTTAAGTAGTTCAACCCTGGTGGGACATTGATATAATCCTAACATCTGGGGTGTGTGTGTGTGTATATATGTATGTATGTATGTATGTATGTATGTATGTATGTATGTATGTATGTATGTATGTATGTATGTATGTATGTATGTATATATATATATATATATATATATATATATATATATATATATATATATATATATATATATATATATATATATATACTGTAACCCCGCGATTATCCGGGATTCGAACATCCGAAAAATGCCCTTATACGGCCAAAATCGTGAACGGATAAAGTTATCACAATATCCGGCCAAAATAGCCACAGGGACCGGATTAAAGCAGGTTTTCTGCAGAAATTACACTATCCGGTCAGTCCCCCAGATAATCGTGCCTTTGTCCGTATATGAAAACATGAGGCAGGCCATATGGTATTAATCCCGTCTGCCCGAGACTCGAGGCGCATGGTGTAGGTGGGGGTTGGGTGGGTGGGTGGTGTTGGGAGGGTGGGAGGGGTGCGTCAGGAGGGACTACCTGGGTACAGGAATTACCATTAATTTTAGAACAATTAATCATAGCCAAAAACAAATAAAATAACTACTAGTAATTATGTAATAACAAATAAATAAGTTTCCTAAAAGCATTGTGCACAGGCTGAAGTTTCCTTAAAAAATATTGTGAATTTTTTTTCCTCCTGGCGGCCTACGTAACGCTATGGCTGCCCCAAGTGGACCTGTCCAACACTGGTCAACCCATGTGCGTCCGTCCCTCGTGTTATACACAGTGCTGCGCCATTAGTGAAATATTTTTTTAAATAACTTTTTTATTTTCATAGTAACTTTGAACATTTTTGGCCAAGACTATGTCTGGTAGCAGCATCAATCGTTCTGGAGGTGTTAAGAGGAAGAAAGTTGTCCTAACAATTAAAGACAAGTCACAGTTATACGCCTCAACCAGTGCGGCCTCACAGTGTTGCGCCATTAGTGAAATATTTTTTTAAATAGCTTTCTTAATTTTCATAGTAATTTTGAACATTTTTGGCCAAGAATATGTCTGGTAGCAGCATCAATCATTCTGGAAGTGTTAAGAGGAAGAAGATTGTCCTAGCAATTAAAGACAAGTTACGTGTTGTTCAAACAGTGAGGCGTCACAGGCAGCCAAGCGCCTTCAACAAGTGAGGCGCCACAGGCAAGCCAAGCTCCTTCAACAAGTGAGGCATTATAGGCAAGCCAAGCGCTTTCAACAAGTGAGGCGCCACAGGCAAGCCAAGCGCTTTCAACAAGTGAGGCGCAAGCAAGCGCCTTTAACAAGTGAGGCGTCACAGGCAAGCCAAGCGCCTTCAACAAGTGAGGGCATGCAAGCGCTTCAACAAGTGAGGTGCAAGCAAGCACCTTCAACAAGTGAGGCCTCACAGGCAACCCAAATGCCCTCAACCAGTGAGGCTTCAGCAGCTGGCAGTCAAAACTAACTTAGCTTAATGAACTGTACAGTAATTTTAAGTGTTAATTTTAGTGTTGTGTTAGTATAGGTTACGTAAATTGTTAAGAATTTTTAACTTCAAGATGTGTGGCATCAATCAAGAAGACGAACACCAACAAGGTAAGTTGAGGTTTCTAGTTGAATATTTAATAATTGTATGTGGCAAGGCAATTCAAATTATGTTGTTTGTAGTATAAAAATAGTTGGAAATGGTCACTTTTGGACTCGTAGGTGAAAAAGTACCATTATCCGAAAAATGTGATAATCCGGCTGGGGGTCCTTCCCATATAGTCCGGATGATCGAGTGGAGACAGTATATATATATATATATATATATATATATATATATATATATATATATATATATATATATATATATATATATATGCAAACAAGCCTGAATGGTCCCCAGGACTATATACAACTGAAAACTCACACCCCAGAAGTGACTCGAACCCATACTCCCACAACTGGTATGTACAGGGACGCCTAATCCGCTTGACCATCACGACCGGACATAAGGAAGTGATAGCCGAGGCTATATGAACCACCTCCCCGCCGGCACTCGGATGGTAATCTTGGGCATAGCATTTTATCAAATCACCTCATTCTTTGGGGCACACGTGAGGAACACAAATGCAAACAAGCCTGAATGGTCCCCAGGACTATATACAACTGAAAACTCACACCCCAGAAGTGACTCGAACCCATACTCCCACAACTGGTATGTACAGGGACGCCTTAATCCGCTTGACCATCACGACCGGACATAAGGAAGTGATAGCCGAGGCTATATGAACCACCTCCCCGCCGGCACTCGGATGGTAATCTTGGGCATAGCATTTTATCAAATCACCTCATTCTTTGGGGCACACGTGAGGAACACAAATGCAAACAAGCCTGAATGGTCCCCAGGACTATATACAACTGAAAACTCACACCCCAGAAGTGACTCGAACCCATACTCCCACAACTGGTATGTACAGGGACGCCTTAATCCGCTTGACCATCACGACCGGACATAAGGAAGTGATAGCCGAGGCTATATGAACCACCTCCCCGCCGGCACTCGGATGGTAATCTTGGGCATAGCATTTTATCAAATCACCTCATTCTTTGGGGCACACGTGAGGAACACAAATGCAAACAAGCCTGAATGCTATGCCCAAGATTACCATCCGAGTGCCGGCGGGGAGGTGGTTCATATAGCCTCGGCTATCACTTCCTTATGTCCGGTCGTGATGGTCAAGCGGATTAAGGCGTCCCTGTACATACCAGTTGTGGGAGTATGGGTTCGAGTCACTTCTGGGGTGTGAGTTTTCAGTTATATATATATATATATATATATATATATATATATATATATATTATATATATATATATATATATATATATATATATATATATATATATATATATATATATATATATATATATATATATATATATATATATATATATATATATATATGTCGTACCTAGTAGCCAGAACTCACTTCTCAGCCTACTATGCAAGGCCCGATTTGCCTAATAAGCCAAGTTTTCATGAATTAATGTTTTTTCGTCTACCTAACCTACCTAACCTAACCTAACCTAGCTTTTTTTGGCTACCTAACCTAACCTTACCTATATATATAGGTTAGGTTAGGTTAGGTAGGGTTGGTTAGGTTCGGTCATATATCTACGTTAATTTTAACTCCAATAAAAAAAAATTGACCTCATACATAGTGAAAAGGGTAGCTTTATCATTTCATAAGAAAAAAATTATAGTAAATATATTAATTCAGGAAAACTTGGCTTATTAGGCAAATCGGGCCTTGAATAGTAGGCTGAGAAGTGAGTTCTGGCTACTAGGTACGACATATATATATATATATATATATATATATATATATATATATATATATATATATATATATATATATATATATATATATGTCGTACCTAATAGCCAGAACGCACTTCTCAGCCTACTATTCAAGGCCCGATTTGCCTAATAAGCCAAGTTTTCATGAATTAATGTTTTTTCGTCTACCTAACCTACCTAACCTAACCTAACCTAGCTTTTTTGGCTACCTAACCTAACCTTACCTATAAATATAGGTTAGGTTAGGTTAGGTAGGGTTGGTTAGGTTCGGTCATATATCTACGTTAATTTTAACTCCAATAAAAAAAAATTGACCTCATACATAGAGAAAAGGGTTGCTTTATCATTTCATAAGAAAAAAATTATAGTAAATATATTAATTCAGGAAAACTTGGCTTATTAGGCAAATCGGGCCTTGAATAGTAGGCTGAGAAGTGAGTTCTGGCTATTAGGTACGACATATATATATATATATATTTATATATATATATATATATATATATATATATATATATATATATATATATATATATATATATATATATATATATATATATATATATATTTATATATATATATATATATATATATATATATATATATATATATATATATATATATATATATATATAATATATATATATATATCTTCTGCTCTCTCTCTCTCTCTCTCTTTCCCTTCTCACCTAATACAGTAAGCAGAATTTGGGGATCAGGTTGAAGTCCCTGTCTCCAGCACATGAAGATGCCAGACTCATATGGGCGGATGTCAGACAGGGTCAATTTTAGTGTAATTTTTCCATCTTCTGCCTGAAAAAATATTAATAAGAATCAATGTAAAAACAAAAACCAATGTAAAAATATTACCGAAAAGAGATGGTTGGGTTGACTGCATCTATCTGGACCTAAAAAAGGCTTTCGACAGAGTTCCACATAAGAGGTTATTCTGGAAACTGGAAAATATTGGTGAGGTGACAGGTAAGCTTCTATCATGGATGAAAAATTTTCTGACTGATAGAAAAATGAGGGCAGTAATCAGAGGCAATGTATCGGAATGGAGAAATGTCACAAGTGGAGTACCACAGGGTTCAGTTCTTGCACCAGTGATGTTTATTGTCTACATAAATGATCTACCAGTTGGTATACAGAATTATATGAACATGTTTGCTGATGATGCTAAGATAATAGGAAGGATAAGAAATTTAGATGATTGTCATGCCCTTCAAGAAGACCTGGATAAAATAAGTATATGGAGCACCACTTGGCAAATGGAATTTAATGTTAATAAATGTCATGTTATGGAATGTGGAATAGGAGAACATAGACCCCACACAACCTATATATTATGTGAGAAATCTTTAAAGAATTCTGACAAAGAAAGAGATCTAGGAGTGGTTCTAGATAGAAAACTATCACCTGAGGACCACATAAAGAATATTGTGCAAGGAGCCTATGCTATGCTTTCTAACTTCAGAATTGCATTTAAATACATGGATGGCGATATACTAAAGAAATTGTTCATGACTTTTGTTAGGCCAAAGCTAGAATATGCAGCTGTTGTGTGGTGCCCATATCTTAAGAAGCACATCAACAAACTGGAAAAGGTGCAAAGACATGCTACTAAGTGACTCCCAGAACTGAAGGGCAAGAGCTACGAGGAGAGGTTAGAAGCATTAAACATGCCAAAACTAGAAGACAGAAGAAAAAGAGGTGATATGATCACTACATACAAAATAGTAACAGGAATTGATAAAATCGATAGGGAAGATTTCCTGAGACCTGGAACTTTAAGAACAAGAGGTCATAGATATAAACTAGCTAAACACAGATGCCGAAGAAATATAAGAAAATTCACTTTCGCAAACATAGTGGTAGACGGTTGGAACATGTTAGGGGAGAAGGTGGTGGAGGCCAAGACCGTCAGTAGTTTCAAAGCGTTATATGACAAAGAGTGCTGGGAAGATGGGGCACCACGAGCGTAGCTCTCATCCTGTAACTACACTTAGGTAATTACACTTAGGTAATTACCTGTTGATTGACGGTTGAGAGGCGGGACCAAAGAGCCAGAGCTCAACCCCCACAAGCACAACTAGGTGAGTACAACTAGGTGAGTACACACTCGTTCACCACCACCACCATACCTGCACACACATGTTCACCACCATCACCACCACACCTGCATACACTCTTGTTCAAATGGAATGAAATGGTCCAAGGAATGGTCCAACAAATGGCTACTAAAGTTCAACCCCAAGTAAATGTGAGGTAATGAAACTAGGTGGAGGAAATGGGAGGCCAGACACTGAATACCAAATGGGAAATGAAGTCCTTCATGAAGCGGACAGAGAGAAAGATCTAGGAGTTGATATCACGCAAAACCTGTCTCCTGAAGCCCACGTCAAAAGAAGAACATCAGCGGCATATGCAATGCTGGCTAACATCAGAACTGCCTTCATAAACCTGTGTAGGGAATCCTTCAGAACCTTGTATACTACATATGTAAGGCCAATCCTGGAGTATGTGGCTCCAGCATGGAACCCCTATCTTGTCAAGCACAAGACGAAGCTGGAAAACATTCAGAGGTATGCCACTAGGCTAGTCTCAGAACTAAGAGTCATGAGTTACGAGGAAAGGCTGCATGAACTGCACCTCTGGAAGACAGAAGAGCTCAGGGAGACATGATCACCACATAGAAAATCATCAGGGGAATTGACAGGGCAGACAAGGAGACAATTTAACACAGATGGTATATGCACAAGGAGACACAGTGGAAGCTGAGTACTCAAATAAGCCACAGAGACATTAGAAATAACTTTTTCAGTGTCAGAGTAGTTAGTATATGGAATGCACAGGAAGTGATGTGGTGGAGGCTGACTCCATACACAGTTTCAAATGTAGATATGATAGAGCCCAGTAGGCTCAGGAATCTGTACACCAGTTGATTGACGGTTGAGAGGCGGGACCAAAGAGCCAAAAGCTCAACCCCCACAAGCACAACTGGGTGAGTACAACTAGGTGAGTACACTCATTCACCATCACCACCATACCTGCACACACTCGTTCACCACAACCACCACACCTGTACACACTCGTTCACCACAACCACCACACCTGTACACACTCGTTCACCACTACCACCACAACTGCACACACCCGTTTACCACTACCACTACACCTGCACACACATAGGGGCCAGTGGCTGAGTGGACAGCATGTGGGACATGTAATCCTGTGGTCCAGGGCTCAATTCCTGGCACCGGCAAGAAACAATGGGCACAGTTTCTTTCACCCTGATGCCCCTGTTACCTAGCAGTAAATAGGTATCTGGGAGTTAGACAGCTGTTATGGGCTGCTTCCTGGGTGTGTGTGTGTAAGGGAGGATGGGAGAGAACAATACAAAAAAAATTAGTAACAGCTGATTGATTGACAGTTGAGAAGGGGGCTGAAAAAGCAGAGCTCAACTAGGTCCGCCCTGCCCTGGTGACTCTCTATTATTCCCTCATCTATCCTTACCTCAACTATGGTATTTGTGCTTGGGGTTCTACTACCCAAAATCAATTACATCCTCTAATTACTCAACACAAAGCTGCTATTAGGACAATATCCAACTCTGGCCCTAGACATCACTCGGTACCCCTACTCAAATCTCTGAATATGTTAGATATTAAGTCACTGCACATTCTCTAATGTGTATTATACATATATAAAACGCTGAACTGTAATGCCAATCCTGACCTCAAAAGCTTCATTGTAGGTTGTAACAGAACCCATGAGCACCACACCAGAAATAAAACAGTTTTGATATTCCAAGAGTACGACTTAATCAAACTAGAAATGCTCTACAAATCAAGGGACCCAAAATGTGGAACAACCTTCCCAACCATGTTAAAGACTGTACCTCTCTCAACCAGTTTAAGATAAAAACGAAGCACTACCTAATAAATTCCCTGTAACCTACCTTACCCCTCTAATGTCAACCCATGTCTGTTTTTTTAAACAACGCTGTTTGTCAACTTAGTTGTATTTGTGCTGCTTTTTCAGCCATGTTCCCCCCTTTTTTATCTCTATTTTTTTTTGTTCTCAACACATTTTATTCTTTATACTCAATAAGTATTAAGCTTTAGTCATTAATGTTTTTCCATGCCCAAAACGCTTTGCATAATAGTGGCTTTAGGCATTGTATGTACTAGCTCTATCAATAAATCGATCAATCTTTGTAAAATCTCTTGTATGTATGTACCTTACCTAAATAAACATTTATTTATTATTTATTTATTAGGTGAATACAACTAGGTGAATACACACTCGTTCACTACTACCACCATCAAACCTGCACACACTTGTTCATCACCACCGCCACACAACCACTTAGTGGGGCACTAATCTCAGATGCACTAGTATCGAAGGTGAGACTCCAACTGGCCTGACAACTTTATTTTTGACAAGTTCCTTCAGCAGGTAGTAAAACTAATAGTAGGGTACAAGAACAAAAAATAAAAATTTGGAATCCCCCCAAACTGTCAACAGATCAGGATATCATACTGTATTGTATACTGTAGTCTGTAATATTGTGGTTCATCTCCTCTTCAATAGTATGATAAAATAGTTCCACAACCTGCCATCAAGTGCTACATAAGCCAATAACAATAAAGACTTTGGTTGCATAATACATACTTTGAAAGTTTCAAGTTGATATGAAAATATTGATATCATACAAGCCCCACTAATTAAAACACAAAATATTATCTGGTCAAAACTATAAAGTATCACAATCGAGGCTTCTACAGTTTAAACTACTGTTATGAGATTAAATAACAATATGTATTATATTAGCCTCACTGATATTAAAAGTGCATTTAACTGTGATAATACATATTGTCCCCTCCTTACTTTTAAGTCTAAAGCTAAGCTCTCTTTCAACTTTAACAACAAAAAAACTTTTACAATAGTTTCCACCTTTCCCTTATTACAAATTTTACCTTAGTATCAAGAGAAAGTCTAGGTTCCCCAACTGCAAGCCGTCGTCCAGAGCTCAGCACTTGTGGTCGTTTTGTTCCTGTGCGGATGTAAACCCATCGATACTGAAAGAATAACAAATACCAACAATCATGGGCTGCAAGTAAAAATTCAGCTATTAAATACAATGGAGAAACTTACTACAGTGTTGCAGTGCTTGAATGAATATGAAGGAAAGGTCCAATATATGTGTATTAAAACCAAGCTTTTAGTTGTAACCTTCATACTTTCTCAAGGTACTGTACTGTATAAGCAAGATTCTAGGATCTTGTTCAGAACATTGTACAAAGCACCTTGAGAAAGGATGTAGATTACATCCTTACTATAACTAAGTCTGTCGCTTTCTGTAGCTATGTCTTTAGATAAGTCTGTCTAGCAAAATGACAGGTACCTTAGCTGATCACCGCTAGAGACAGTAGCAAAGTTCATTTGGTGAAACAGCAAGGACCAACACTGTTAAAAGATGATGTTGTGGCTGGCTGTTGAGAATTGCCCGAAACGCTATGCTTACTAGTGGCTTTAGGTATTGTATGTACTAGCTCTATCTATAAATCTAACATTATGTTTGTAACTAATCCTCTATGTATGTACTTTTACCTGAATAAACATTTTGATTTGATTTGATTTGATTTGAATTGTTCTCAATGCTGTGATTCTCAAATCACAATTGGGGATCCTGGGTTTGATTGCCAATTAACCCTTAAACTGCACAAAATGTCATATGATGTGTGACATTGAACTCAGTTTTTTTTAAAATTTTCTGAAACTCTTTTAAATGTTTTGTGCATAATCTACTAGGCAAATGCTCCAACTTTGTCTAAATGATACCAGTGTAACTTGAAAAACACAAAAATAAAAAATAATTATAAAATTGAGTGTTTAGCTAGTTTATATCTATGACCTCTTGTTTTTAAAGTTCCAGGTCTCAGGAAATCTTCTCTATCGATTTTATCAATTCCTGTTACTATTTTGTATGTAGTGATCATATCACCTCTTTTTCTTCTGTCTTCCAGTTTTGGCATATTTAATGCCTCTAACCTCTCTTCGTAGCTTTTGCCCTTCAGTTCTGGGAGCCACTTAGTAGCGTAGCTACTTAGAACCGTAGCCACTTAGAGTAGCTACGTCTATGTGCCTTTACTCACCATGCAAGCTTAGATGTACAGTTATGCTGAACAAAACATGTAAATACTTATATATAACGTCTGTATATAAAAGCAAAAACAGTATGGTGGGAGGAGAATGGTGGCAAGTCAGGTGAGGTGAGGGAGGGAGGGAGTGGCAGCCAGTGGCGGGCTGCCACTGGATGCCATTGCCACTGCTACTCAGCATACCAACTTAGTGGTTCGTTATGGTGAACACGAATGTAGATACTTGTAGCATCTGTATATAGTGAATAAAAGCAAAAACAGTATGGTGGGAGGAGAATGTGGGCGAGTAAGGTATTGAGGGAGGGAGTGAGTGGCTGGCTGGTGTGTGGCGGTCACTCCTCGTTACTTTTTGACTCATAATAGCACCTTAGTGGTTCGTTATGGTGAACAAAACATGCAAATACTTATATATAACCTGTGCATATAGTGTAATAACCGACAAAGTATTTGTTCACTGTTTGATGAACATAATTGAATAAAAAATATGCACACCATATTTTTGAGTACAGCGATGATTTAGTCATTTTATTATATAAATATATCACACTACACACTATTGAATAATATTACAGCAAAAAAACTATGAAAAATCAATCAGAGACATTGAAATAATTAGGTAATTATCTCTTTGTGGCAACTCCGGCCTGACAGCTGGCGAGCAACAGACCGCCTGGGACGCACGCTGAGCTAGCGCCTGTTTTTTTGCCAGACTTTCCCGCCCTATAGCGGGCAATATATACCACTTACGATTTTTTTATTATTTTTCCCATGATCAGTGAACACAAATTAACAGGTTTAGAAGAAAAAAAAAAATAATTTTTTTTTTTGGTATGTGCCTGTGAGTGACACATGCTAAATATCCAGGTGCCATGCAAGGGTTGAACAACAAAAATTTATAACTGCAAACGTTTAGAGTTTATGAAAAATCAGCTGTGCACACTAGATGTAAAAATGGTGAGAATCGGTCAGAAACTAGATTTTTGGATTTTGAAGTAAGTTGAAATTCTAGTTATAGATATAATTGAAGTTGAAGTTATCGGCAATGAATAAGGCAGTTCTGATTCATGAATATACTTGTATGTTGTAATAAGCATTGTTTGGCATTTGTACTCAATTATGCGAAAGTTGTAGGTCAATGTGTGTAGAAATTGAAGTTAAGAAAAAATAACTCCTCAAAAAAACAAAATATAAGGATAATTATAATAATTATATTGTAATGATTTAGGGAATATATTTAGGGTATACTTTATATAAGTAAAAAAAGCCCTAATATGGCCCCTAATCATCAAAACAACCCTAAAGAAACAAGGAAAATAGATTTTGAAATCTGTAAAAAAAATCACCCCAAAAAAATTCTAAGCTCCAAGTTCTGTGAGTTGTAACTGATTCATTTGTTGACCAATTTAATTTTGGCTTCACATAGGAACAAGTATGACTTCTCCAGGATGTAAAGGTTAAAACAAATTCAAATAATAAACAAAGGAGGAAAATAAAACCTAAAAACCTAAAAAAAAAATCCCATAAAAAAAATATTTTTGGACATTGTTGAAAGTAACTGATAATAACATTGGGCAATGTGTTTATATGATACAGTATATATAACAAAATAGAGCATAATGTGTTTATATGATATATAACAAAATAGAGCATAATAACATAATTACTCAATATTATTTGTATTATTATGTATACTCACCAATGCTATTTATTAAGGCACCATAAAAGATAAAATATGTGAGAAATCTTTAAAGAATTCTGACAAAGAAAGAGAACTAGGGGTGGTTCTAGATAGAAAACTGTCACCTGAGGACCACATTAAGAACAATGTGCAAGGAGCCTATGCTACACTTTCTAACTTCAGAATTGCTTTTAAATACATGGATGGAGAAATACTAAAGAAATTGTTCACCACTTTTGTTAGACCAAAGCTGGAATATGCAGCAGTTGTATGGTGCCCATATCTTAAGAAGCACATCAACAAACTGGAAAAGGTGCAACGACATGTCACTAAGTGGCTCCCAGAACTGAAGGACAAGAGCTACGAGGAGAGGTTAGAGGCACAACCTTCAATGAAGCTTTTGAGGTCAGGATTGGCATTACAGTTCAGTGTTTTATATATGTATAATACACATGAGAGAATGTGCAGTGACTTAATGTCTAACATATTCAGAGATTTGAGTAGGGGTACCGAGTGATGTCTGGGGCTAGAGTTGGATATTGTCCTAATAGCAGCTTTGTGTTGAGTAATTAAGAGGACGTAAATGATTTTGGGTAGTAGAACCCCAAGCACAAATACCATAGTTGAGATATGGATAGATGAGGGAGTAATAGAGAGTAACCAGGGCAGGGTGGGGTACATAATATCTTATCTTAGAAAGAATGCCAACAGTTTTTGAAACTTTTTTTTATATATTTAGAATGTGTCCCTGGAAATTCAGCTCGTGGTCAATGACTACGCCAAGGAATTTGCCATCTATTTTGTTACAAATTAATGTAGATTGAGAAAGAGGAGAGGGCCAAGTATGCTGCCCTGTGGAACATCAATGTTAATATGTAGGGTGGGAGAAATGGAAATCTTCACAGAAACATACTGGAGCCTGAGTATTGGAGGGCGTGACCTCTGACTCCATAATGATGTAATTTAAGAAGAAGGTTTTAGTGGTTGACAGTGTCAAAAGCCTTACATAGGTCAACAAATAACCCAACAGGGAACTCATTTTTATCAAGAGCTGCATGTATCAAGTTAAGCATACTAATCAGTGCATCATTAGTGCTTTTTTTTGGTCTGAAGCCATATTGGCAAAGAGCTAAGTATATTGTGTTTGGTTAGATAAGAGTAAAGCTGCTTGTAGATTAGCTTTTCAAATATTTTTTACAAGGTTGGCTGAATTTATATAGGTCTGCTATAGATATAGTCTATAGATATCTGTTGTCTAAAGATATAGACTGCTTCCAACTACATGGGGGTGTCTATGGGTCATTGCTCCTCGTGCCTCTCTGAGGGGGCCAGATTCTGGCTCGTGGTCCCCTTGTAGAGGGGACCATGTTGCTGGAGTTCTAGGCTTAGAACTCCATCAACTGACTGTTGCCACGGTCGCTTATATACATATCAGCCCAGTATAGCACCGGGGAGCCTCCGGGTCTCACCCAGAAAGTGGTATTTCATTACATTCAATGCTGTTTTTTTTATGTTCCAACATAAATTGTGAAATAACTTTATAAAATAGATTTAAGACCAACAAAAAATTATTGATATAATAGGTAACATTGTTATATATGCAAACTTACCGAACGTAAGTGACTTGGCTGAGCATAGCAGGTAAGTGTAAGATTGCCTCCTGCCATTACCTCCATTCGCTTAATATCATCACGCTCTCTCTCTGAATTGCACTCTGAAACACACAAAAATACAAGTCACCCACAGAATATGCATACAAACAACAGAAGAGAAAAAGGTAGGTAAGTAGCTATGAGGAGAATGAGTGAAGTCAATAAGACTTTATCCTTTCCAAGACCACTTGGAAGGAATAAAGTATGGCTGGCTCTGTTTGTCCACACTATGTCCCACGATTTGTGGGATTTTGTGTCATCTCTGTAACGGTTCTATTGTTACGTAAAGTATGGTGACAATAAACACAAACACTAAGAGAATATATATATTTGGTCGAGTATACAGAAGTCTGCAGGTGATACTTTGGCGAGCAATGGTGTGAGTTGAGTGCACTGAGAGTCGGTACAGTATCTCGCAAGTGTCTGTTCTAGACCACACCTGAAAGTAGACTAGTTATTATTCGCCACTCTGCTGCTTATATGCTCGGGCAACACCTCACTGTTCTCCAAAGGTTGACAGGAATAGTATGTGGAAGTTGGGAAAGTTTTGAGTTCCATAATTAGTACCAAGAAGAGCTTTGCTTCTCTCATCTCTCATTAGGCTAATGTGTTTGGAGCGAGTATATTATTGGGATAATCTACTCCCTACAGAACTCCCCCTCCCAGGGGATGAAAGGAAAAACACTTGATCAATGAACCTAGCTGGTCAGTGAATTGTATGCCCTGCTCTCATTGTATAACCCTCAAAGTTAACTTCTTCCTCTTTGCTGATGTCATCTAACTGGGGTCATAGGGTGGGAGGTCGCACAGGATTGTCCATCGTCATAGGATCAGGTGGTGGTGCAGCTGGTAACTGGGGTTGTAGGATGGGAGGTCGTACAGGATCGTCCGTTGTCATAGGTGGTGGTGCTGCTGGTAACTGTGGTCGAAAAGTGAATGGCGTAGTCGGCAGATGTGTCTGTGGAGGGATGTCTGGGGCAGCATCACAGTGTGCTGGTTTAAGGCGATCGATGGAGATGTTTATCCGCTGTCCTCGGTGTTCAATGGTGAAGAACTTCTGTGTTTGAGAAACCACTTTAAATGGTCCTTCGTAAGGTGACTGTAGAGGGCGTCGAACAGCGTCGATTCTTACAAACACGTGTTCAGTTGTGTGGAGCTCATGAGGCACATATGTAGCACGAGTTGTCGGTTGGCGTGGTGGTATAGGCCGAATGCTTGTCATGGCCGCCCATAATTTCTGGACAAAAGTGGGGTCTGGGGGTGTGATGAGTGGCGTTAGGGTTAAGAATTCGCCCGAAAGCTGCAGGCTAGATCCGTATACTAAGTCTGCTACCAAGAATCCACTGCCCTCCTTCGTGGCGGAACAAATGCCAAGCAAGACTAATGGAAGGTTGTCGATCCAATCATCAGGGCGTGCTTGAGCTCTTAGGGCAGCTTTTAGTTGTCCATGAAAGCATTCTACCATTCCGTTCGACTCAGGGTGGTATGCTGTGGTTCGGTTGTGTGTGGTGCCAAGGAATTCCATAAGTTCCTTCCATAGATATGATTCGAACTGTCGTCCTTGGTTGGTGATGATGACAGAGGGGCTGCCAAAACTGGTGACCCATCCAGAGAGGAAAGCCTGGACCACTGACTCAGCTGATATGTTGATTAATGGGATTGCTTCCGGCCATCTGGAGAATCGATCAATGCAGGTGAGTAGATAAGAATATCCTCTTGCCAACGGTAACGGTCCAATGATGTTTACATGCACCACCTCGAAACGGTCAGAAGGTAACGGGAACTGTTGAAGAGGGCTCTTTGTGTGTTGATGTGTTTTCGCTCGCTGGCACTGGCGACACGAGCGAGTCCAAAGTCAAACATCGGCATTGATTCCTGGCCATACGACACACTCTGTTACTAGTTTCTGGGAAGCACGTACTCCTGGGTGTGCTTGGGAGTGAAATACTGAGAACGTTTTCCAGCGAAACTGGGCAGGAATGCAGGGCCTAAGTGCTCCCGTCCGTGAGGTGTCACAGATTATACTACCACCATCTTCCATGGGAATCTCGATGAACCAGAGAGCTGTGTCAGATGTTCGTAATGGCTGCAGATCAGGGTCTTCCCGTTGTGCCTTGCTGATTACACAATAGTCCACCTGAGCTACGTTTTTCACGACGTGGTTTATGGTGGGTCGAGACAGTGCATCGACTATGATATTGTTAGTTCCTTTGACATGGTGGATATCTGAGGTAAATTGGGAGATAAATCCCAGGTGGTTGGCTACTTGAGGAGAATGAGCATCACCCTTGGCCGCCAGTGCATACGTGAGGGGGTTTGTGGTCTGTGAGGATGTGAAAATTCCGCCCCTCGAGGAAGTGCTGGAAATGTTGTATGGCTGCGTAGAGGGCGAGCAGTTCCCTATCAAAAGTACTGTACATCTCTTCAGCGGGAGACAGGCGTGCTGAAAAGAATGCAATTGGGTGCCATTCTCCTTCAATGAGCTGTTGTAGTACAGCACCAATAGCTGTGTTTGAAGCGTCGGTAGAGAGATTGGTGGGAGTGTCAGACACTGGGTGTGTGAGTAAGGTGAATTCCGCCAGCTTGTGTTTTATGTCGGTGAATGCTGTCTCTGCCTGAGGAGTCCACTCCAACGGAAAACGGGACGTATGTTTCTGACCACGTAAGAGGTCGTATAAGTGTCACAAGATGTCCGAACAATGTGGGATGAATCAATGATAAAAATTCACCACACCAAGAAATTCTTGCAACTTCTTTGGAGTGGATGGGCACGGGAATTCCTTGAGTGCCTCGATTTTCTTCTCTAGTGGTTAGACCCATGCTGCTGACACATGGTGTCTCAAGAAATCCAGCTCTGGAACATGGAAAATACACTTCTCGGAGTTGAGCTGCAAGCCGAAGTTGCACAGACGGGTGAGAAGGAGTCGGAGGTGTAGCAGATCAGATGTTCTGTTGGTGATGTACTGGCCACCAGCAGATCATCAATGTAGGCGTAGCAAAAAGGAAGGTCCTTAACTACTGGGTCGATGAAGCGTTGGAATGTCTGGGCTGCATTCTGTAGACCAAAAGGCATCCAGACGAATTCAAACAGTCCAAAAGGTGTTGTGATCGCTGTTTCCGGAATGTCTGCCAGTTCCACAGGGATCTGGTGTCCGAATGTCCGAACAATTCTGGTGACCTCTGTGAGCCTGAAAACCCTACTGCTGCCAGCTTCCTCAACTGTATGAATTCCTGCTTCCTCATACCCTTAATCACTAGACCTACTAGAATCACTGATAGTACTGCCATGGCTCTTGATCACATCTGGACCAACATAACCTCTCCACATACTTCAAGGATAATCATCGATAGCATTACAGACCATTACCCCACATTTCTCCTAACTAACATTAACAAACCACCTCCAGAGACAAGGGAGATCAGCTTTAGGCTGCACAGTGAAACTGCCATAGGCAATTTTATAGCTGCTGCTGCTAATGTCAACTGGGAGTCCGAATTAGGTAACATAGGGGACATCAACCTAGCAGTGCAATATTTTCTTAAAAAAACTCTCAGCCTTTATAACACCCACTGTCCTATTTATTTATTTATTTATTTATTTATTTATGCATATACAAGAATGTACATAAGGAATGTGAGGATACAAATATGGTAATTACAGTCTTGTAAAGCCACTAGCACGCGCAGCGTTTCGGGCAGGTCCTTAATCTAAGAAAATTTTAAGGAGGTAAATACTTGCAAAATTTATAGACAAAAACATGATAACAGTTACATGAAATGAAAAAAAGAAGATGAGAGAAAATTGTAGGTACAGTATATTAAAGCACATAGGTAGCTAAGATTGATTGCAATGACAGCTTGAATGGTAGTTGACAAAGACCTATGCTAACAAAATAAGTCAAAACTAAAAGGCTAAGCAATTCTTGGCTTACAAAGGGAATACTTAAATCCATTAATAAAAAACATGACCTTGAGAAGAAGTATAGGTTAGGAATCATCTCCAAAGAATTTTCAAAGAATTACTTGTCATTGCTATCTAAAATAATTAGAAGAGCCAAAACTAAATACTACGAATCATGTGTGCTTCGACGAGATTTCCAGAGGCGATCCCAGTGCAGGAGGTGACATCGAGATGCGTCATGGGACACCTTCAGCGGTTCTTTGCTTGGGTAGGTGTGCCCAAGGAAATCCAGTCTGACTGCGGGAGTATTTTCCAGTCAAAATGGTTTAGGCAGGCTGTTGCAAGCTGGGGAATAGCCCAACTACGATCATCACCTTATAGACCGCAATCGCAGGGAGCGATTGAGAGGTTTCACTCCACTCTGAAGACCATCTTAAGAGTGTATTGCGCAGAACAGGGAGCAGAATGGGATGAGGCTGTCTATCCAGCCCTGTTTGCAATCAGAGATGCTATAGTTGAGTCTCTGGGATTCTCTCCATTCCAACTAGTGTTTGGGCACAAAGTAAGGAGCCCGTTATTGATGCTGAAGGAGCAGTTGACGGCGGAGAAGACGTTAGGGACAGTGGAAGAGTATGTGCAGAGATTCCATAAACGATTGAAAACGGCGAAGGAATTGGCTGCTGATCACCTGAAGATAGCGCAAGAAAAGATGTCGATCTGGTACGACAAGAAGGCTGTCCCAAGGGAGTACGAGGCAGGAGCCAGAGTGATGATGTTGCTACCTGGGAGAGGTAGAGTGACGGAATCACGCTTTGGTGGTCCATACTCGGTTATTCGGCGTGTGGGTCCTGTAAGTTATGAGATCAGCAAGCCGAATCACCCCCGCAAGACACAGGTATGTCATATCAACCGTTTGAAGCTATACTTCCCAGAGGAGCAAGAGAGTGCGAGAGTGAAGGGAGTAACACAATCGCAAGAAGGGAAATTGGTTCTGTGTATGAAGATGAGCCAAGTGTTGCCAGCAGAGGAAGGAAAGTGGGCCCGTGCTGATGGTACGCGCCTGTCAAATACAAAAAGTTTGATACATCTAGAAGAGAGGCTGCATCATCTGGATAAAGGGAAAAGGAGAGATCTAGTGACCCTGATAAGAAAGAACAAGTC